TCCATGCCGAGGACCGTGCGCGTCACGAGCGCCGGCACGGACTTGGGCACGACGACGCGCCGCTCGCCGCGCGCCTCGAGGTTCGCGCGGATCTCGTCCAAGTTCGCGGCCTCGTGGCGGTAGTCGAACTCCGTGTCGAACTGGCGCCGGATCTCGTCGAGCATGGCGAGGTAGCCGGGGCTGAAGAGCTGGCAGAAGACGCGGCAGCCCGCCATGTCGCTCTTGAACTGGCGGCGGCACCGCTCGTCCTGGACCTTGACGCAGACGTCGCGGCCGCCGAAGCGCGCGCGGTGCACCTGGCCGATGGACGCCACGCCCAGGGGCGGGCCGTCCGCGAGCGTGAGGTTCCGCGCGGTCCGGCCGAGCGTCCGGCGCACCTGCGCGCGCACGCCGCGGAACGGCCGCGGCGGCAGGGCGTCCTGGAGCGTCGACAGCTCCGCGACGTACGCGGCGGGCAGCTCGTCCGTGCGCACGGACAGCACCTGGCCGACCTTCGTGTAGAGGCCCTTGAGGTTGTGGATCATGGCGAGGACTCGCGGCGCGTTGCGCGCGTGCATGGCCTCCATGGCCGTGGCGTTTGTTCCCGTGTCGAGGCCGTGCTTGTACTCCACGGCCACGGGAATCAGCGTCTTGTAGCTGCGCAGCGTCCGGCCGACGCCGAGCAGCGCGTGGCGCTTGAGAAAAGCGATGGCCGCGAGGAGGAGGCGCACGCGGCCGATCATCGTCAGCGCGGTGATCGGTGAATGGGCAGCCTTTTACGGCGAGGGAACATGCACTGCTCGTGCAGCGGTCGCTAAAAGAGTGGAGCGCGCTCCTCCTCGACAAGCACAAGAAGGCGCCGGCTTCTGCCGCAGCTCCCGCCATGGCGTCCTTCCAGCCCACGGCGCTCACGCCGGCGAGCGCGGCCTGGCCCTACCTCGCCGCCTTCCAGGACGGCGCGTCGACCTTCTTCGTCGAGTACCTGAGCATCGGCGCCGACAAGCAGCTCCAGGGCACGCTCTACACGCGCAAGGCCTTCATGAAGCTCGCCCTCAAGGGCGCGGGCGTGCTCGTCGAGAACGGCCTCGGGCCCGGCGCGTCCTGCGTCCACTACTTCACGGACAACCGCTTCGAGGACCTCGTGTACCGCCTCAGCGCGGTGCTCGCGGGCACCGTGCCCGTGACCGTGAACTGGCAGGCGGACACGGTGGAGCGGAGCCTCTACAAGTTGTCGGCGACGTCGAGTTTGGTCGTCCTCGTCGATGACGGCGTGCCGAAGGAGTTCCTCGACGGCGTCGGCGAGAAGGCGGCCGTCGTCGACGCGGCCAAAGCGCTCGCGGGCGACGACTACCTGCCGCTGTCGCCCGAGTCCATCTGCGGCGAGACGCGCGAGCCGGACACGCGCATCGTCATCTTCACGTCGGGCACGACGGGCAACCCCAAGGGCGTGAAGCTGAGCTTCGGGTCCTACGTCTGCAACCGGGCGACGTTCGAGCAGTTCCTGGACTGCGAGGACCCGGCGACGGCGCTCGGCGGCGTCGTCACGAACCCCTTCCACCACACGAACTCGACGGCGATCACGGACTGGCTCACGCGGCGGCCCGCGGCGACGATCCGCCTCCTCCAGCGCTACACGACGGCCTACTGGAACGTGATCGGGGCCGCGTGCACGGGCGCGTCTTTTGGCGACTTCGCGGCGCTGTCCAAGCCCGACGTCGACGCGCTGGTGGCCAAACCCCGGCCGGCCCAGCGCGTCGTCTGCCCCCTGGTGTCGCGCCACATCGACTTCCTGGAGAAGCTGTGCGCCGAGGGGAAGCTGCCCCTCGGCCGCGACGCGTTCAAGCGGTGCGCGTCGACGCTCGGCGCGACGCTGCTGCTGGGCTCGGCGCCCGTGGGGCCGACGACGGTGGCGCGGCTCCGGGACTGCGCGGGCTGCCTGCCGACGGTGCGCTTCGGGAGCACGGAGACGTGCCTGCAGGTCGCGGGCACGCCGCTGGCCGTGCCGCCGGCGACGCGGCTCGAGGCCTTCGAGGCCGGCTGGGCCCACGAGTGGCAGGGCAACGGCCAGTGCGGCTACTACATCGGCCGCGCCCACGCGCCCTTCACGGAGGTCGCGGTCGTCAAGTCCACGGACAAGGCGTCCGCCGACTACCTCAAGCCCTGCGCGATCGGCGAGCCGGGCCAGCTCGTGACGCGCGGCCGCAACCTCATGTCGGGCTACGTGGGCAACGACGTCGCGACGGCCAAGGCGCTGGACGCCGCCAACGGCGGCTGGTACACGAACCTGGGCGACGTCGGCTTCTGCCTGACGAACGCCGTCGACGGCGGCGCGGACCTGTACTGGCTCTCGCGCGACAGCGCGATGCTCATCCGCGGCGGCGCGAACTACGCCTACGAGCAGATCAACGCGGAGCTGACGGCGTGGGCCGCGGCGACGTGGTTCGACGGCGACCTCGCGGCCTTCGAGGTCGCCGTCGTCGGCCTCCGCGTCGACTCGGAGCACGAGGACTCGTGCTGCGCGACGCTGCAGCTCAACACGGACGCCGCCAAGGCGAAGCGCGGCGCCGTCGAGGCCGAGTTCCTGGCCAAGGCCAAGGCGGGCGTGTCCAAGGGCGCGAAGCCCGACAAGTTCCGCGTCGGCGACCTGCCGAAGAACTTCAAGGGCGTCGTCCTCGTCAAGGACCTCGCCGCGGACTTCAAGGCCCACCTCGGCATCTGACGGTGCTCCGTCCTTTTTTTACTCACGACGCCGGCCCCGCTAGAAGGGGATCTCCCAGAGGCTCTTCGTCGTGACGCCCGGGGGCATGGCCTCGACGGCGAGGCCGAGGTGCTCGTCGAAGACGACCTCCCGGTCCGCCTTCTTGCCCGGCTCCGCGTAGTACGCGGCGACGACGCCGTCGTGCGTCGCGCCGCCGCCGCCGTCCTCGCCCTCGACGATCTCGACGTCGTCCTCGATGTGGCGCTGGAGCACGTCGTCGAGCTGCTTGGGCTTCGTCTCCGACTCGTGGGACACGCCGAAGATGGGGTTCACGGCGAAGACCGCGTGGAGCGACGTGATCTCCTTCAAAACGCTGTCGAGCCGCTCCGCGGGGTCCACGCGGAACCCCAGGATGTAGCCGCCGGAGTGCTGGCTCGTCTCGACGACGAGCGCGGGCCCGAATTTCGACGACCGCACGCGCACGTCCTGCATCTGCATGTAGGGGATGGACACGTTGAAGTTCTGCGCGAGGTTCGCGTGCCAGACGAGGCGCACGTTCGTCACGAAGAACGTGCCCAAATTGCCCTGCTCCGAGCTCAGGTTCCAGACGCCCTTGAGCTGGGAGTAGATCGACTCCTCGGGGAGGAGCACGAGGTGGCCGTCGCGCACGATGGAGCCCCGGAGCTTGAGGTCGCGGTAGAGCTTCGTCGTCTCGTACGCGCGCAGCACGGCCTGCACGGTCGTGAAGAGGCGCGGGCTGTGCTGGACGAGGGACGTGAAGATGAACTCGAAGCGGCTCCCGCCGAACTTCGTCATGATGTAGAGCGCCTGCGTCGCGCCGCGCAGCTTGCTCTTCGCCTTGCGGATGTTGATCGACACGACGGTGTTGAAGCCGATGGACAGGTTCGTCCGCGAGTTCTTGTGCGAGATCCACATGATCCGCAGGTTCGTCACGACGAGGCTCCCGCGCTCGCCGTTGTTCCCCTTCGTGTCCTCGACGCTGTTGATGCTGTCGATGACGGCCTCGCCCTTGCGGTTCTGGAGGTGCGCCGTGGGCGTGTCGAAGCGGATCTCGCGGTCCTGCCAGACGGCGACGAACTTGTTCGTCTTGTGCTTCGACTCCTTGCGCTTCTTCTCCTTCTTTTCCTCGTCCGGCATGGTGCCTCAAGGTGTGCGCGGCGCGACGCTGCCCGCCGCCGGCCACCAGCCCGGCTTGTAGGTTCAATATCGATGTTGAGGTTCACGATGTTAGATTGGCGCGCATCAGGACGTGCAGAGCGTGCCATAAAGACATTCGGACGTGAACGCGCGCGCATAAAGACAGTAGCGATGCGCCAGCTCTTGCTCTCGGTGCTCTCGGCGCTGTCTCTGCAAACGAGTGCCTTCGCGCCGTTGCAGCTCGCATCGTCCAAGGACATGCACATCCTTGCGAGACGACGACACTGCCTGGCGCCCGCAGCCATCCCTAAGAAGAAATCGGACGCGGCGTCGAAGAAGGAAGAGCCGGTGACCTCTGTCAAGGGCCAGCGCACGGCGCTCTTCTTCAACTTCTTCGTCGCCATCGCGTGGGGCTGGAGCTTCGGCGCGCGACACCCGCGTCCGCACTCGCGCGCTCGCCCACGAATTCGTCGCAGGTCATCCTCGGCTTCCTGCCGCCGCCCAACGAGATCCTCGCCGCCGGCGCCGATCTTCGATGAGGACCGCTCGAGCGACGCGACGCTCGATCGAGTAACCGCGGCTCCGGGCACGCGCTTAGAGAGGCGCGCCGCGTCGGGGAGGGGGCGGGGGGAGGGACGCGCGGGCGCGGGCGCGCGGCCGCCGCTCACTTGCCGGAGTAGGACACGTCGGGCGTGAGCTCGACGGCCGCGCCGGCCTTCTTCGGCTCGAAGTCCGTGGGTTCGAGCGTCGGGACGGCCTGCCAGATGTCCTTGCCGGCGTTGCGCTGGGCGATGAGGTAGGCGATGCCGGAGCAGAGGAAGAGGGCGCCCGTGAGGTAGACGACGGACTGGAGGAGGACGACGAAGACGCCGCCGGCGCCGGGCTCGCCGACGACGCGCGGCTCCTTGGCCTCGGACGGGTGGGGCAGCGAGCGGATGATGGCGATGGGCGCGGCGTCGTCGTCGTCGTACTTGAGGTCCGCCCACTCGCGGTAGCCGTCGTCCCACTCGTAGTCGTCGTCCCAGTACGCCTCGTCGTCGTCCCACCACGCGTCGTCGTCGCCGAGCGCCGTGAAGTTCGACGCGCCGATGGGCCCGCAGTCGCCGCAGTCCGTGCCGGCGACGCAGGGCCCGTCCGTGCGGTCGTCGTCGCAGGACCCGTCGAGGGCCCAGACGCACGTGTTGTCGCAGCGGCCGTTGCTCAGGCCCTTGACGACGGCCGCCGCGCAGTCCGTGCAGTCCGTGCCGACCTCGCAGACCGTCGCTTTCGACGCGCCGTTGAAGGGGGCATACCCATAAGCGTCGTCGTAGGCGTAGAGGTGGTCGTAGCCGTAGTAGTCGTCGTCGTACTCGTGGAAGTCGTCGTCGAAGTCGCCGAAGCCGCCGTAGTACCAGCCGCCCTCGTAGAAGTAGCCGTAGGGCGACTCGCGGTCGAAGACGCCCGCGTCCAGCCCGGAGAGCGTGCCGTCGTCGCAGACGCCGTCGTTGGCGAAGTCGCAGGAGTCGTCGCAGATCGCGCCGTCGGCGTCCTTGAGCACCTTGGCGACGACGACGCCCTCGCGGCCGTTGACGTTGATCATGCCCGCGCCCGTGTTCACCTTGATGACGCGGAGCTCGGGCGTCGCGCCGTCGGCCACTAACGCCGGCGGCACCCAGGACTTGCCCTCCTTGAGCTCGAGGACGACGGACGTGGACAGCACGGACGCGACGACGTAGTCGTCCGCGCGCGTCGGCTCGAGCGTCAGCGACGCGTCGCTGTAGAGCGCGAAGCCCGTGCCCCGGATCGTCAGCCGCTTCGTCAGCGAGCTGTAGACGGACCGGTCCGGGCTCGCCTCCACCGTCGGGTTCGCAAGGATCGTCGCGACGGCGATGCCCTCGCCGCCGGCGAACGTCACGGTCTCCTGGCCGCCGCAGGTCAGGGAGACGAGCTTGAGGGCGCCGGCGGTGTCGCGCCACTTGGCCTCGGGGGCGCGCTCGAGCTGCATCTCCGTGGGCGTGGCCTTGAAGATACTGTAGGCGCTCTCGGGGAGCGGCGGGTCGAAGACGAGCTTGGGCTCCGGGGCCACGCCTTTAGGGCAGAGGCCGCCGCCGTTGATGGCGAGGTGCTTGACGGCGCCGCTCTGGTAGATGGTCTGGCCCGCCGTGCGGTCGACGTAGAGGCCCGACGCGTGCGCGTCCTCGTCGTCGACGACGGAGGCGACGGGGACGCTCATCGCGAGGTCGTCCTTGCCGCGCGTGAGCGCGTAGCGCGCGCCGACGGTGCCGGCGCCCGTGTCGATCTTGGCGATGGCGAGCGTGCCCGCCTTGGGCGCCCAGGCCTTGCCGTCGAGGAGCGTCACGAGCAGCGCCGTCCGGTTGAAGACCGTGAGCACGTAGTCGTCGTTGAGCTTCAGCGCGGGCTCGAAGGTGAGGGCCGTCGTGCCCTTGGTGAAGCCCTGGCCCCGGACCCAGAGCTCGTGGGAGTGCGTGCGGTAGAGCGTGGGCAGGTCCGAGGCCTTGGCGGACTGGACGCCGGGATCCTCGTAGACGGTCGCGACCCGGCGGCCCTTCTTCGCCTCCGTGGGGCCCACGGGCACGAGGCCCGCGCCCGCGTTCACCGCCAGGAGCAGCAGCGGGCTCGGCAGGTTCTTCGGGTTCGAGCGCCACTTGGAGAACTCCGCGAGCCGGAGCTCGAGCGAACTCGTCGATCCCGAGACGATCGTGTAGTTGATGCCCTTGCCCCGGAGCGAGTTGCCCCACTTGAGCGCGTTGAGGGTCGTGCTTTCGTTGAAGCCCGACCCGGAGACCTTGACCGTGGGGGAGGACTGGTAGATCTTCTGGTCGCTGTACGTCGTCTCGACGCGGACGCCGTGCGCGCCCAAATCGACCTGGACCTCGGCGACGGTGACGCCGCCGTACTTGGCGTCGATGCGCAGGAAGCCCGCGCCCGTGGAGATGCGCCGCAGCTTCAGCGGGCCCGGCTCGCCGTCGGAGCGCCACTTCTTGCCCGTGCGGAGCGTGAGCTGCATGAACGTCGACGACCGGACTTCCAATATATAGTCCTCGCCCTGGACGAGCGGCGGGTCGAACGCGAGCTTGACGTCCTTGGCCCGGAAGCCCGTGCCGTTGATGTTGAACTTCTTCGTGCCCGTCATGTAGATGACCTTGTCGCCGCCGCGCATGACGGACGGCGCGGCCGTCGACTCGGCGACGGGGACCGGGTCCGCGAGTTCGTTCTCCTAACGAAAGACGGGGTTTTGGGGGAATGAACGGCAAAAACGGGGACGCGGCGGAACGCGCGGTCGAGCCCTGCTTCTTGAGGCTCAGGAGGTAGATGGTCTGGCTGCCCGCGTCCGGGTCGGCCGGCACGGGCCACGTCTTGGGTCCGCCGCCCGCGCGCCTACGAGCTTTTGCGTCGCCGCGCGGGCGTCCGCGACGTCGCCGGCGCCGGGCGCGCGCTTGAGGGCGAGGGAGATGACCTCGTCGGAGACGACCGTGAGCTCGTAGGTCTCGAGGCCCATCTTGGGGAGGAACTCGAGCTCTGGCTTGTCGCCGAGCTCTGCGCGGATACGCCGGCGTCGGCGGCGGCGCGCGCGCGGGTACGCCCCCGGGGCGCGTCGCGCGGTCGCCCCCCCTCGGACGCGGGGGCGCGTGCCCTTGAAGCCCTTGCCCGAGATGCGCAGCTTGTCCGACAGCTCGCCGTAGAGGACCTGGGGCTTCATGTCGACGGTGATCTCCGCCGCCGCCGTCGCGAGGAGCGAAAGGAACGCGAGGCCTACGGTTCCGGGGGTCGCGGGGCGTCGCGGGGCGTCGCGGGGCGGCGTTTCGGGGGGGGGCATCACCTCTCATCGTCGACGACGACGATATGAATGACTCGTCGTCGGGCGCTCGTTCGCTCACGAAGACGCCCAGACCTCCAAGCTGGCCGGGGGTCGGCTGGTGATGGCTCACGGCTCACCGCCGACCTCCCCGGCCCCCAGGCGAAGCCGCGACAGCCCGTCCGCGCAACGCCCAGCAGCGCCCCACATCCTCGGTCCGCATCCACGGCCTGGCCTCGCCCCGATGCCCTCACAGGTCCCTCGGGCCAGAACGACGCGCGCGACCGCGCAGCCACGAGCCGGCCGCAGCGAGCCGAGCTGAGGAATTGCATTACCATCATGTTCAACAACGAGCGTTGTAGATACCCAAAGTATCCGGGCAGCCGGGCTATCTCCAACGCGGCCCACTCTCCTTGGGCTGCCTGGTAGCGCTCAGCGGTCCAGTGCCGCCCGGTCCGCCGCCCTGGTACCCCCCGGCGGCGTGGCGTAGCGCACAGGCACCTGACGACGGTCCGCGAACCGGTCGGTCCTTGGGCCCCCGGGTGCGCCGAGTTGCCCGGCGGCCGTGGCGCGGCCGGAGACCATGGCCGACGAGGCCGACGCGCCGCTCCTGGCCCGGCGCGGCGGCGGCGAGAGTGCGCGGAGGCCGCGGCCCTGCGGCTGGCGGCGCTTCGGCCGCGTGCCGCAGCGGGACAAGCTCCGATGCAAGGTCGCCTTCCTCGTCGTCGGCGCGCTCGGGTGTTTGGCGTACGGCGGCGGCGCGCCGGTCGCGCGCGCGTCCTACAAATCCCTGCGGAGCTGGGCGCGCGGCGACGCGGACGCGCCGACCTTCGCCGAGCGACGACGGCTCGACGTCGAGAAATCCGCCATCTGCCGCTCCGTCTACTACAAAGTGCAGCCGAACGCGAACAAGATCCGGGGCAGGGACCGCTCGGACGGCGAGAAGGAGCAGATCCGCGAGGGCCAGGCCTGCACGGAGACCATGAACACCTCCATCCTCCAGTTTTTTCTCTCCATCATCTACGTACGGCATCTCCGCGTCTCCTCTTTTCGCGGGCGCCCCCGACGCGCGCGCCTCCTTAGGTGGTCTACCTCTTCGTGGGCATCGCGATCGTCTGCGACGAGCTCTTCGTCGCGTCCCTCGAGGTCATCTCCGAGAAGTGGAACCTGAGCGACGACGTGTCCGGCGCGACGCTCATGGCCGCGGGCGGGTCCGCGCCGGAGCTCGCGACGTCGTTCATCGGCACGTTCCAGGGGTCGACGGTCGGTTTGGGGACCATCGTCGGGTCCGCGGTCTTCAACGTGCTCTTCGTCATCGGCATGTGCGCCATCTGCACGCCCAAGGAGTACGCGCCCCTGAAGCTGACGTGGTGGCCCCTCGCGCGCGACTGCTCGTACTACATCGTCACGCTCGGGACGCTCGCGACGTGGTTCACGGTGCCGTCGCCGGGCCTCATCCAGGCCTGGGAGGCGGGCGTGCAGTGGGCGCTCTACTTCGGCTACGTCTTCCTCATGAAGAACAACGAGCAGCTCGAGGCCTGGGTCAAGGAGAAGACGAACGCGAACTCGAAGGTCGAGCCGACGCCCGTCGAGCACCTGTCGACGGACGAGCGGCGGTCCGCGGTCGCGAACGGCGCGTCGCCCCAGGACGCCCACTTCCTGCGCCCGTCGACGTTCCGGACGTCGGTGATGCACATGCTCACGAAGGGCAAGGACATCTCGACGACCGCGGGCGTCTGCGTCGTGTCGCGGATCAAGGGCGACGTCTCGGAGACGTTCAACCAGCTCGACACGGACAGCAACGGCCGCCTGGACTTCAAGGAGATCAAGCAGCTCCTGGCGAGGTTGGGCGACCCCGAGGTCGTCTCCGACGAGAAGGTCGAGGAGCTGAAGACCCAGCTCGACATCGACAAGAACAACCACATCACGCTCGACGAGTTCACCAAGTGGTACATCTCGTCGGAGAGCCGCCTCAAGTCGCAGACCAAGGCCGTTTTTGATACGTTTGACCTCAACAAAAACAACTCCATCGACGTCAACGAGGTCCGCGAGGTCGTCAAGAAGCTCAGCGAGAACAACCCGGGCCTCCTCGGCGGCGTCGACGAGGCCGTGAAGAACTTCAAGGACCACCTCACGGAGGGCAAGGACAACTGCAACTACGACGAGTTCCAGGCCTGGTACGAGTCGACGGTCTTCTGGAAGCAGCAGAAGCAGGAGGCGCTCGAGGCCGCGGAGCACGTCTCCGGCATGCGCGCCGCGGTCATGGAGGACCTCATGGGCGTGCTCAAGGGCGAGAAGGACTTCAGCGAGGCGGCGACGATTTTGGCGCTGCTCCCGCTGAACTGCGGCCTCGCCTTCACGATCCCCGACTGCCGCGTGCCGGGCCACGAGCACTACTGCTACTTCACGTTCGCCGGGTCCATCGTGTGGATCGGCGCGTACTCCTGGGGCATGGTCTACGGCATCACGCAGATCGGCTGCTTCACGGGCATTCCCATCTTCATCATGGGCCTGACCTTCCTCGCCGCGGGCACGTCCGTGCCGGATTTACTGTCCTCCGTCGTCGTCGCGAAGCAGGGCAAGGGCGACATGGCCGTGTCGTCGTCCATCGGGTCCAACATCTTCGACGTCGCCGTGGGCCTCCCCCTGCCCTGGCTCTGCTTCGTCGTCTACTACGGCTGCCCCGTGCCCGTCGGCGGCCACGCGGAGGGCAACGGCCTCTCCGTCGCGATCCTGCTGGCCATGGTCGCCGTCGTCATCGTCTCGATCGCGAGCAGCGGCTGGAAGATGTCCCAGGGCCTGGGCTACACCATGTTCGGCCTCTATTTCGTATTCGTCGCCCAGGAGCTCTTCCGGAACTACAGCTAGTCTGGGCGCCGGGGGGGGGCGCCACCGCGGACTGACGCGGCGGGGGCCGAAGCGCTTGCCCGCGGAGACGACCATCGAACGAGCCCCGGACGCGGCGCCCACGCGCGTGCCGCGACGCGACACACTCGGAAGGCGACGCGGGCCGCCGCCGCCCCAGGCGCGGCCCCCCCCACCACCCCAGAACGACCGACTTCCCCTCTCCTCCCTCGCAACCCCTCGCAACCAAAAAAAACGACTTCGCCGCGCGGACGCCGAGCGCGCCGCCGCCTCCGTGCGCGGCGCGCCGCTCGGCCCCGGCCGACGGCGTGGTGCTGAAGAGCCAAAAAAAACAACCAAGAAAAACAACATCTCGCCGATCCTCCGCGGAAGCGCGCGGCCTCGCGGCCGCCGCGGCGCGCGCGGATCGGACTTAACTATAGCTCCGTCGCACCTTGCCGCGTTCTTGCTGGTTGGCGTACTCGCCGGACGCGGCGAAGCGTCGGCCCTGGCCGAGGAGGTGGTGCGGCGACGCTTTGTTGAAGGTCAACACAGGGGTCAACATCTCGCTTCGCCGATCGGCGCCGCCTATGTCCTTGTGCTGTCTCGCCGCGCAAAAGACGATGAGCTGGCTCCTGCTCGCCGCGTCGGCGGCGGCGCTCACGGCGCCGCGGCGTACCGCCGTCGCGCCGCGCGCCGCCGTCGCGCTTCAGGGCCGCAGCGACGCGCAGCTCAAGCGGGGCATCGCCGAGTTCTACGACGAGTCCAGCGGCATCTGGGAGGACGTCTGGGGCGAGCACATGCACCACGGCTGGTACGAGCCCGGCGAAAAGGCGGGGACCATGGAGCGCGACGTCGCGGCGCAGTCCACGATGATCGACAAGGCGCTCGAGCTCTGCGGCGCGGCGGACGTCGCCGCGCGCTGCGAGGCCGCGGGCCGGCCGATGCGCATCCTCGACGTCGGCTGCGGCATCGGCGGGTCGTCGCGCCACATGGCGCGGCGCTTCGCGGGCGCGCAAGCGACCTGCGTCGGGCTCACGCTGTCGCCGGAGCAGGCGCGGCGCGGCAACGAGCTCAGCCGCGAGGCCGGTTTGGACGTGACGCTCGAGGCCCGGGACGCGACGAACACGACCTTCGCCGACGGGTCCTTCGACCTCGTCTGGTCCATGGAGAGCGGCGAGCACATGCCCGACAAGGCAAAGTTCGTCGCGGAGCTCGGCCGGCTCTGCGCGCCCGGCGGCCGAGTCTCGGTCGTCACGTGGTGCCACCGCGACCTCCAACGCGGCCGGAAGCTCAGACTCCCCGAGCGGGCCGTGTTGGGCCTCATCAACTACTGCTACTACCTCCCGAAGTGGTGCAGCGGCGCGGACTACGCCCGGCTCTTCGCCGCGCAACGCGGCGTCACCGCGCGCTCCGTCCGCGATTGGACGGCGAACATCGCGCCCTTCTGGCCCGCGGTCGCCCGGTCGTCGCTGAAGTGGAGCTCCCTCAAGAAGCTCCGCAAGACGGGGCTCAAGACCATCCGCGGCGCCGTCGCCATCCTCTTCATGATCCTCGGCTACAAGCTCGGCACGGTGAAGTTCGTCGCCGTCGCCGCGGCGAAGGACGAAGCGCCGGGCGACGCCAAGTGGGCCTGGAGCGGGCCCGTCTTTTAAACTGAGGCGTTAGGTGTCGTCGTCCGCGGCGAAGAACGCCTTCGCCTGCGCGGCGAGGTCGGCGGCGTCGGCGGGCGGCGGCCCCAGCGGCGCCGCGAGCGACGCGTCGACGTCCTCGTCGCGCATCTCGAGGTCGGCGAGGAAGTTGTCCGCGAAGGTCTCGAAGGCCCGCCGCTTCGCCGGCGGCAGCCGCAGCGCGCGGGCCGCGACGGCGTGCAGCCGGCCGGGCTGGGCCTGGTCCGGCCGGTGCGGCGGCTCGAGGACGGCGACGTCGCCCGGTGCGCAGAAGTCCGTGCCGCAGGGCGCCACAAAGTAGGCGCAGCCGGGGCAGTCGCGCTCGAAGACGACGGCCGCGTCGCGCGCGACGCGCGGGCAGTGCGCCGGCGAGGACACGAGGAAGACGCGGTCGACGGCGCGCTCGCGGCAGACCGCGGCGGCGCGCTCGAGCTCCTCGCGCGTGTTCCGCGACCGCGCGTCGACGACGGCGCCGTCGAGCAGCGCCTCGAGGGACCCCGAGGGGGGGTCGAGGCCCAGGGCCGCGCGCAGCGACGCCGTCGCCGACTCGACGAGCGTCGGCGCGCCGGAGACGGCGCCGCGCCGCTCGCGGAGCCAGCGCAGCGTGTAGGCGCCCTCCGTCTCGCCCGTGTCCCCGTGCGTCGACGCGCCGCTGCCGACCATGAGCAGCTCCGCGCCGAAGGCCTCGGCGACGCGCGCGCCGTGGGCGATGCGGCCGGCGCCGCCGCCCCAGACCACCTCCTCCCAATTCGGCGCCTCGAGGTGGTAGCCGTGCACGAGCACGGCGGTCTTCACCGCGACGCACGCGCCGAGGTGCGCCGCGAGGCAGAGGAGCTGGAGCATGGGATGGACCATCGGCCGACGCAGGCGCAAGGGATGTACCATTGGCCACGGTGGCTGGCCAATCATTTCGCTTTTTTGCACCTGCACCTTTGCGCCACCTAAACTTCATGCTTCAATCGCCGACACGCGTATTAGAGCGTATGATGGCCGCCTCTCGGCGTCCCCTTAAACAGCCGCAGATGATCGCGCTCGCGGCGCTGCTCCTCTGGAGCGCCGCGGCGCAGGAGATCGCGGCGCCGGGCGCCGGCGGCAACTCGAGCTACGCCTACTTCGTCATGGTGGGCCCCATCGACGCCGCGCGCACCTACCGGGCCTGGCTCTTCTCCGCCGTGGCCATGGCGAACCGCCTGCGCGGCCTGGGCAGCGGCGCGGACGTCGTCGTGCTCTGCGCGGCGCGGCGCGACGGCGCCGTCCGGCGCGGCGACGCCGGCGCGCGGCTCACGGCGGTGGAGGAGTCGGCGCTCGCGGCCGCGCGGTGCCGCTGGCGCTACGTCGAGCCGCCGACGGGCGGGGGGGGGGGCAAATCGGGCTACCACATGGGCCACTACAAGCTCCTGGCCTGGCAGCACGTCGAGTACGACGTCGTCCAGCTCCTCGACGCGGACCTGCTTCCCGCGGCGGCCATGGACCGGCTCTTCGAGCTGCCGCGCCTCGCGGGCGCCGAGGTCGTCGCCTGCCCGGGCAAGGTGTCGGCGCTCAACGCCGGCTGGCTGGCGCTCACGCCGAGCCTCGAGCGCTTCGCGGGGCTCGTCGCGAGCGTCGACGGGCGCCTCGCGCGCCTCGACCGCGACAGGCCCTTTGGCCACGCGCTGCCGTCGTGGTTCGCGGCGAACAAGGACCGGCAGCCGCCGGGCTGGAAGTTCTTCGACTCCTTCGGGAACCAGGGCCACATGTACTCCTACTTCCGCTTCGACGTCCGGGACCTCGCCATGATCTTCGACGGGCCGCGGAACGGCGTGGAGCTGCTGCACTACGCGGACGCGGGCGAGCCGGCCTTCGCGGCGCCCTCGGACGCCGTGCGCGCCATCCTCGACGGCGGCTTCCCCTGCCCCTTCCCGGCGCGGTCGTCGTCCGCGCGGGCCCAGATCGCGCTCGCGTACCACCACTTCACGGGCGCGTCGAAGCCCTGGTCCAAGTTCCGGCCGAACAACCCGCGGAACCTCGCCTGGTACGTCGCCGTGTCCCGCGACCTCACGGACGCCGCGCCGCTCCGCGCGCTCTTCCCGGACGTCGACGACCACCTCGCCGTCTTGAGGCCGCTCGTGAATAAAAAGTAGTTGAAATTCATCTTGCAGCATCGGTGAAGTGCAATCCGGAGCCGCCGGCGAGCTCGACAACGGTTATGGCTGCCCGCGGCACCTCGCCTGGTGCGCTTCCGTGACCGTACCATGGCGTCGAACGTGGGCCGCGCCGGGCTGCGCGCCGAGGATTCCGTGGAGATCCACGGCTGCGTCGTCGACGCGACGCGGCCGGGCGAGGCCTGGGAGCGGCTCGTCGCCTACAGCGCCCACCGCTACCCGGCGAGCGCGCTCCACGACGGCGGCGACGGTGCGCCGCCGGGCAAAGTGCGCTGGGTCTTCCTCAGTGACACCTGCGGCCTCCACCACGCCATGGCCGACGTGCCGAACGGCGACGTGCTCGTGCACTGCGGCAACTTCTCGACGACGGGCAGCGTCGAGCGCACGCGCGAGTTCGTGGAATGGTTCGCGGGCCACCCGCACCGGCGCAAGGTGCTCGTCGCCGGGAACCACGACACGTCGCTCGACGCCGATTTTTACGACGCGCACTGGCGGCGCCTCCACCCGACGCGGCGCGACGACGCGGCGCTGCGGGAGGCGCTCCGGAGCGACGGCCGCTTCGCGTACCTCGAGCACGCGTCGGCGACGGTCTTGGGCTACGAGGTCTTCGGGTCGCCCCACACGTCCGACGCCTACGGGAACTGGGCCTTCCACTACGACCGGGGGCCCGAGGCCGCGAAGCTCTGGGCGGCGATCCCGCCGAGTACGGACGTTTTAGTCACGCACGCGCCGCCGCTGGGCGTCGGCGACGCCGGCGGCGACGGCGCCTGGCGCCGGGGCTGCGCCCACCTGTTGCAGGCCGTGCTCCACGTCGCGCGCCCCGTCGTCCACGCCTTCGGGTCCATGCACGAGGCCGCGGGCTGCTACCGCCTCGAGGCGAAGATGGGCGACGCGACCGTCGAGGCGCCGACGGACGCCGTCTTCCTCAACGCGTCCATCTGCGGGCCCAGGGCGAAGCCGTCGAACCCCTGCGTCGTCGTCGACCTGCCGGATCGCGCCGCGGGCGCCGAGGAGGCGAAGGACGACGGCCTCGGCGTCGGCCGGCGGGCGCTCGAGGAGGCGCTCCGCGCGCGGGGCCTCGGCCCGGACGCGGACCTCGACGCGGCGACCTGGGCCGCGCTGCCCGTCACGAAACCGCCGCCCCTGCGGGGCGACCTCGTCGAGGGCCCGCAGCGGCGCATCGCGCCGCCGCCGAAGGCGCCGCCGCCGCCGGACGCCGACGGGTCCATCCCCATGTCCGGCCTCGCCGCATCGCCCGCGACGAAGGCGCTCTGGTCCGCGTCGGCGTCCGCGCCGAACCCGAGCCTGAGCCCGCGCGCGCCGACGACCGCGCGCGCGGCGGGCGCGTCGCCCAAGGTGTCGCGCCGCGGCCGCCAGCTCAAGCCCGCGGACCTCGACCCGCTGTCGCCGCCGCGCGACGGCGGGGGCGGCATCCCCACGGCGGGCGTCTGGGTGCCCTCCGAGGCCCTCGACTGGCGGTCCGCCGACGTCTGGCGGCCCGCGGAGAGCCTCGTCGTGCGGCCCTGGGACTTTGGGCCCAAGAAACTGGACCGGCCGCCGCCGACGCCCGAGCTCGTCCCCACGGACAAGTTCTACCGCCGGTCGACGCCGCCGACGGGCCGACGACGGGACTATATGTGATTCATCTAGAGAGCTCGGGGTCCGCCCCGCGCCTGGCATGAGTAGACCATGCCGCTCCCTTACCCCCGCCTGAGGCCATAACTTCCCCCCGGCGGGGCACAGGAGAGGAGGGGCGTGGTCTACTCACTGGTAACTCAGGTCAGGCCCCGCGCGAACCCCCAGGGCTGGATACGCAGACACACTTTATGTAACTTGGCTCCGGCCACGCGGAGGGACCCCCAGCAGACCTCGATTTTGACGTAAACCATAGCCGCGTTTAGAGGACCGTTGTTCCGTCGAAACACCCCGATTCCTCGTCGATTCCGCCTCCTTGGAGGCATTTTCATTGAAATCCCCGGGAATTATGCTCCGCGGGACGCGCGCGCAGTGGCGCGGGAGCCTCCTCAGAGCCGGAGCCACTTGATTTGATTCTTGAGCGGAGAGGATTGAGCCGGTTAGCTCCGCTGAGGGGCGTCGTCGGGCCGCTGGCCGTCCGCGACGACGCGTCGGATGCGGCCGACTTGGTTCGTCGCGTGGCGGCGCCAGAGCTTGCCCGTGTGGTCGCCGAGGAGCGCCGCCGCGGGCGAGGGCGCGACGACCGCGCGGGCGTCGTAGGTCGCGACGGGGTCGTCGATGAGGGACCGCACGCAGGACGTCGTCACGGAGATCGTCGACGACTCCGCCTGGGAAGAGCACGGCCAGAGCCGCGCGAGGAAGCGGCGCCGCGCGGAGCCCGACGACAGCGACGAGAGCCGGAGCGACCGCGGCTCCGACGGCGGCGAGCCGTTCGACGACGCCGCGAGCTCGTAGTCCCAGGCGAGGCGCTCCTTCTCCGCCTCGACCTGCGCGACGCGCGCCCGCAGCGGCGCCTGCGCCCGGAGCCAGAGCGGCGCGAGGTAGCAGCGGACGACGGCGTTCCCGGTGACCGAGCAGGCGACGCAGATGACGGCGGGCGCGACGACGGCCAGCGAGTAGCCGCCGCAGAGCCGCGCGACGACCGCGGTGGACATGAGGTTCCAGACGTGGAGCGAGGCCTGGAACGCGGGCTCTCGCGAGATCAGCGGCCAGGAGAACGCGACCCAGGCCTGGAACATGGCCTCGAGGCCGAAGTCCTCGGCCCCGGTCCGCGTCGCCTCGGCGAGGGACATGACCGTCCAGTGCTTGCGCTTCGCGAGCGCGGCGGCGAGCCCCGCGGCCTCGGCGGCGACGGCGTCCTCGGGGAGGAGCGCGAGCTTGAGGAACCGCGCGGTGTGGACCATGGAGATCATCGTCCCGAAGACCTTGTGGCCGTGCTTCATGAAGCGCGCGCGGAAGCGACCGTCGTTGATGACTCGCACGCTAAGCGCGAAGTGCACCGGCGTCAACGCGCAGAAGACAAGAGCCGCGAGGGCGCCGGGGCCCAGATCGACGAGGTCGCGCGCCCAATGCGTCGTCCAGTACTCGAAGATGAAGGAAGAGACGGAAATCAGCAGGTGGAGCGCGAGCGTCTTCGACCGGAGCTCCAGAGCGAAGCGCTCCTCGTCCGACTCGTAGGCCTCCTCCTCCCAGTCGTCGTCCTCGTCCGATTCGTAGACGGTCACGTCCTCGTCCGGTACGTCCGGTTCGACGAACGTTGTTCCCAGCTTCTCAGGCCGACGCATGGCGTCGCGAGAACGCACGCGCCGCGCGATCAGGCTCGGATCACGAGGAGGCGTCAAGGTGCGTGCGAAGGGTAGCCGATTTGCAAGATCAATTTGAAGTGAAACTGGCCGGATGCCTCGGCATCTTGCCTCGGCGCGCCGTCCCAAGCGCGCATCCCGCTGGCCTCCACCGAACTCGCGCTCCGGCGGACAAGCATCCATGAGCAGCGCTGCAGCCAGCTGTAGACGATGACCCCGAGGGACCGAGCGGCAACCCCGGCGCCTGCCCCGGCGGTAACCCCGCTCGCACCGGCGGCGCGGCGCGAAATCCGAGCTCGGCCTCGAGACCACCCCGGGGCCGACGAGCGTCAAAGAGGCGTTACTCGCTCGCGCCCCGCCCGGGGACGGCCCGCGACCTAGAGCTCGGACTTGTCGATGCCCGCGGCGGCGACGATGAAGTCGACCATGGAGTCGAGGTCGCGGTCGCCGTCGTAGGGCTCCGTGGAGCCGTCGGCCTTCTTGAAGATGAGCGTCGGGTAGCCCTGGACCTCGATGCCGCTCTCCTTGGGCGGCTCGTTGGCCGTCGCGTCCATGGCGCCGATGACGACGGAGTCGACGGCGGCGAACTTCTCGCCGAGCTGCTTGTACGTGGGCTTGAGCTGCTGGCAGTGGCCGCACCAGGGCGCGTAGAACTCGAGCATGGCGTCCTTGCCCGCCGTCTCGTCCTCGAAGTTGTCCGTCGTCAGCACGGTGACGTCGCTGCCCTCGTAGTCGGCGCCCGCGTCCTCGTCGCCGGACGACCCGTAGTCGTCGTCGCCGGAGCCGTAGTCGGGCTCCTCCTTGATCTTCGGCGTCAGCTTCCCGTCGACCAGATCCTGGGCGAAGGCGCGCAGGTTGTCGACGTTGAACTTCTCCGTCATGTGGTAGTACTTGTCGCCGTCGCGCGCGCCGACGCCGACGTCCTTCTTCGACTCGAGGACGAGCTCGTAGTCCTCGAGCTGGTACGAGAAGTCCTCCTTGTCGCCGATGTTGAAGCTGAGCTTGCCCACGAAGTCGGCGGCCACCTTGCGCAGCCGGTTCGCGAAGTAGTCGAAGCCCTTGGGGTTCTTCTCGAGGTCGATGGCCGCGAAGAGCGTCACGACGGGCACGTTCTGCTTCTCGTAGCGCTCGTTCGACTTCCACGTCTTCTGGCCCACGAGGGGCACGGCCTTCTTGAAGAGGAACTTCTTCAGCGCGTCGGCGTCGAGCTTCGCCGACGGGTAGCGCGCGCGCTTCTTCTCGTACTTGTCGCTCACGAACCGCGGCGGCGGGTAGACGAGCACCGCCGGGCCCTTGGCGAGCTTCGCCGTCGCGCGCGCGGCCTCGTCGGCGACGTAGGCGAAGCGCAGGTCGTAGCGCGACCCGTCGGCGACCTCCTTGAAGGTCTCGAGGGCGTCGGCGTCGCGCTCCTCGTCGAAGAAGCCCACGACGGACGGCTCCGCCTCGTCGTCGCCGACGAACGTCGCGATGGCCTCGAAGTCGTCGAGCACCTCGTAGGCCGGGCTCGGGTCCCCGCCGCCGCCGTACTCGTCGTCCATGCCGCCGTAGCCGCCGCCGTCGCCGCCGCCGCCGTAGGAGTCGCCGCCGTAGCCGCCGCCGTAGGAGTCGCCGCCGTAGCCGCCGCCGTAGGAGTCCATGTCGCCGTCACCGCCGAAGTCGTCCTCCTCGGCGCCCTCGAAGTCGTCGCATCGCGACACGGCGACCAGCGCGAGGGACACGAGGACCTTGCTGAACATGGTTGCAAGCGGCGCGTTCGGCACGACGGCGAGGTGCTGGACACCTGGAGCTCGACGGCGGAGTCTTTCGGCGAGGTGCCGTTTTAGGAATCCTGAAGTACTCGTGCCTGCCGCACCTCGCGGCGCGCCGTCGCGGGCCATGCGCCCCCTGGCCCCTCGTCACGCAGAAGTCTACACGCGAACCTTCCGTTAACCGGCGCCACCGCCTACTTCTTCAGCTTGTCGTGGACGGCCGTCGCGCGCGGGCGGAGCTCGTCGATGCGCCGGTTCAGGCCCTTCCGCTCCTCCTTGGCGACGGTCTTGCCCGAGTGCAATTCGGCGGTGCAGACCTACGTTTCGCCGATGATGGTTCGCACGCGCGCGACGGCGGCGCGGGGCCGCGCCGCGTCGACTTTCGTCGCCTGGATCTTGTCCAAGTCGCCGCAGATCTGCCGGATCTCGCCCAGCGCGTTGAGCTTCTTCTCCTCGTCGGACGGGTCCAGCTTCTCGAAGGCGACGATGCGCGCCTCGATGCCTGCGGCGGGTGACCTGCGCTCTCCCAGGGCTGCCTCGACTCGTCCCCGAGCAAAGCTGCGCCGCTTCGCGCCGTCGATCTCGGCCGTCAGGTTGTCCAGCGTGTTGAGCGCCCCGGTGGAGAGCACCGAGAACTGGCGGCCGCGCGACGCCATGTTCGAAACGAGCAGCTCCTTCCTGGCCGCGGGCAAGTCGGGCAGCTTTGCGCAGAGGCAACGTCGTCCTCCTCACCAAGGCTCTGGTCAAAGTTGCTCCTTGATGTGGCATCGTGGGACCGCCTGATGTGGTACGCTCTCGTGATGCTCGCGACCATGCGCGCGACCCACGCGCTGCGGTCGACGACGCCGCGCGCCGTCCGGCGGTGCGCGCCCTTGAGCGCCGGGCGCGCCTCCGCGGCCGTGAGCCAGAAGGAGCAGGCGCCGGCGACGCCGGAGACGCAGGCGGCCCTGGACCTCAACCCGCCGCGGGGCACGCGCGACTTCTACCCCGAGGAGCTCCGCGTGCGGAACTGGCTCTTCGGCCAGTGGCGCGCGACGGCGGCGGCGCACGGCTTCGAGGAGTACGACTCGCCCGTGCTGGAGAGCGAGGCGCTCTACGTGCGCAAGGCGGGCGAGGAGGTCACGCAGCAGCTCTACAACTTCGAGGACAAGGGCGGCCGGCGCGTCGCGCTGCGCCCGGAGATGACGCCGAGCCTCGCGCGCATGGTCATGGCGCGCAAGAACGCGCTGCCGCTGCCCGTGAAGTGGTTCTCCGTGCCGCAGTGCTGGCGCTACGAGCGGACGACGCGCGGCCGCCGCCGCGAGCACTACCAGTGGAACATGGACATCTGGGGCGTGCCCGGCGTCACGGCCGAGGCCGAGGTCCTCGCCGCCGTCGTCGGCTTCTTCGAGCGCGTCGGCATCGACAGCGCCGACGTCGGCATCAAGATCAACTCGCGCGAGGTGCTCGCGGAGCTCCTCGCGAAGACGTGCGGCGTGGACCAGGCCGACGGCGCGCGCTTCGCGGCGACGTGCGTCCTCGTCGACAAGCTCGAGAAGGTGCCCGCGGCCAAGCTCTACGACGACTTCGCGGCGCTCGACGTGTCGCCCGACGCCGTCGACGCGCTCGTGGAGAAATTGGGCGAGGGCGGCTCCATCGAGGCGCTGGAGGCGCTCCTCGGCGCCGACTCGCCGGCGCTGGCGAATTTGCGCGAGGTCTACGCCCTCGCGGAGGCCTACGGGTACGCGGACTGGCTCGTCTTCGACGCGTCCGTGGTCCGGGGGCTGGCGTACTACACGGGCGTCGTCTTCGAGGCCTTCGACCGGTCGGGCGAGCTGCGGGCCATCTGCGGCGGCGGCCGCTACGACAAGTTGCTGGAGAGCTTCGGCGGCGACGCGTTGCCCGCCGTGGGCTTCGGCTTCGGCGACGCCGTCGTCATGGAGTTGCTGGAGATGAAGGGCCTCGTGCCCGACCTCGACTCGTCCGTCGACGCGGTGCTCTTCGCGCTCGCGTCCGGCGACGGCGACAACGACGCGGCCCTCGCGCGCGACGCCGCCGGCGTGGCGTCGACGCTGCGAAAGCTCGGGCTCAGGGTCGACCTCGTGCTCGAGCCCAAGAAGCCCAAGTGGGCCTTCAAGCACGCGGACCGGAAGAACGCGCCGCTCGCGCTCATGCTCGCGCCCGACGAGTGGGCCAACGGGCGGGCCCTCGTCGTCAAGGACCTCGGCACGGGCGACCAGGCGAACGTGCCCCTCGACGAGCTTCCCGCGTGGCTCGAAGCCCGCGCGTAGGGACGGTCGTAAGACGCGTCGTCTGCAACGTTGTAAGATCGTGGTCGTGATGTTTCAAAGTGCAGTGCATGCACCCGAGGCAGCGTGGCTGCCCGCAAATTTGCCCGGACAAGCATGGACGCGCGGTAACGAATCGCGCGATGGAGGCGCGGCGGCGGCCTCGAGGCCCGCTCCCGGGACTCCTGGCGCTGCTGCTGCTGCTTCGACCGTGCGGGTCCCAGACCGTGTCCAGCGTCGTCTGCGTCGGCGACAGCATCACCTACGGCCGCACGAAGGTCGCGGAGGACGGCTCCGACGGCTATCCCCACAAGCTCGAGGCGCGGCTCGGCTGGAGCCACTGGTCCGTGACGAACCTCGGCGAGTCCGGGTCGACGGCGCAGGACGTCAAGGGCGACGGCTACGTCCGCTACAGCGGCTTCTACGACGAGGCCCTGGCGCTCGCCGCGGACTTTTACGTCGTCATGCTCGGCACGAACGACGCCAAGCTCGAGCATTGGAACGCGACGGCCTACGAGGCCGCGATCGTCGGCCTCTGCGAGGCCTTCGTCGCCGTCGGCGGGCGGATCGTGCTCGGCGTGCCGCCGCCTTTGGTCAAGGACGGCCACCGCCACTGGGGCGCCGCGGAGGACAACGCCATCAACACGGAGCTGCCGTCCATGCTCGCGCGCATCGCCGGCGAGCGCGGCTACCGCCTCGCGGACAACTACGCGGCCTTTGGGGGCTACCCCGTCTCCGAGGAAGACGCCGAGGCGTTGTATGTGGACGACGTGCACCCGTCGGCCGCGGGCTACGATTTGATCGCGAAGACGGTCTGGGCGGCCCTCGACGTCAATAGGACCTGGACCTACGAGCCGTCCTACGCGCCGACGGCCGAGCCCACCGCGGCGCCGTCGCGGTCGCCGAAACCGTCGCGCGCGCCGACCGCGACCGCGGCGCCGACCGCGCGGCCCTCGGCGCGGCGGCCGCCGACCTACGCGCCCTCGGCGCGGCCGACGTACGCGCCGTCGTCCGCGCCGCCGTCGTCCGCGGCCCCCTCGGCGGCCCCCTCGGCGGCGCCCGTCGCGGCGCCATCGCCGGCGCCGACGTCGTCCGCGCCCACGGCGCGCCCCAGCGCGCGGCCGACGACCGCGGCGCCGTCCGCCGCGCCGACGCGCGCGCCGACGACGCCGCGCCCGTCGCCGGAGCCGAGCCCCGCGCCGACGGTCGCGCCGGGGCACCCGACGGCCGCGCCGCTGCCGCCGTCGCCCGGCCCGACGCGCGGCCCGACGGCCGCGCCCTCGACCCTCGCGCCCTCGACGGCCGCGCCCTCGACGCGACGGCCGTCGACGGCGCCGCCGTCGCCGCCGCCGTCGCCGCCGCCGCCGCCGCGGCCCGCGCCGTCGCCGACGGCCCCCGCCGCCGCCGCGGCGCCGGCGACGCCCGCGCCGGCGGCGCCGTCCGCGGGCGACGGCGGCGCGGACGCGGCGAGCGGGTCGACGGCCGCCGTCCTGGTCATCGCCGCGGCGGCGCTCGGCGGCGTCGTCGCCCTCGCCGTCTGCGCGCACGGCTACTGCGTCTTCTCCGGCAACCGGGAAAAAACCATCGACATCAAGGCCATCGACGGCCTCGAGCTGCCCCACATCGTCGACATGGACAGCGACTTCGTCGACGAGGACGACGCGGGCGGCGCGGCCGACGAGGCGCCGCTCAAACCCTCGAAGCGGCCCTTCGGCGACGGCCTCGGCGAGCTCAGCGACCTCGTGGGACGCCTCGAGGAGGCCAAGGCGGCCATGGGCGACGACGTCGAGGACGCGGCGCCGCGGTCGCCGCGGGACGGGCTCGCGGCCGACCCCGTGACGCTGCCGCCGGCGGCGACGCCGCTGCGGCCCGCGGTGCGCCGCGACGCGCCGCCCGTCGCACTCGCGCCGGCGTCCGTCGTGCGGCGCATCTCGTCCCTCGAGCCCCTCGAGCCCCTCGAGCCGCCGCCGCCGCGGGCGCCTACGCCGTCGCTTTTCCTGCCGCCGCCGCTCCCGCCGCCGCCGCTCCCGCCGCCGCCGCCGCCGCCCGCGGCGCCCGCGGCGCCGCCGCTCGCGCCGCTCCCGCCGCCGCCCGCGGCGCCCGCGGCGCCGCCGCTCGCGCCGCTCCCGCCGCCGCCGCGCGACGTCCTCGTCGAGATCGGCAGCGTGTCGAGCTCGCCCGAGGCGACGCGGCCACAGCTCGAACAAAAAAGCGCCGAGCGCGACGTCGACATCGAAATCGGCAGTGTGTCGAGCTCGCCCGAGCCACGGCGGCCGCGCGACATCGAGTTCGTCATGAAACCGCCCGAGGAGGAGGACTTCGACGTGCCGCGGTCCGGGAGCGGCGCGAGCCTCGCGTCCCTCGACGCGCCGCCGCCCTTCGCGCGCCACTCGACGGACGTCGACGACGCGGACCTCGACGGCGACGACGACGACGAGCCCTCGCTCTGGGACGACTCGCTGTCCCCGACGCCCTACGTCCTCGGCCTGCTCTCGGCCCTCTCGCCCGCGCGGCCGTCGACGCCGCCGCCGCCGCCGCCGCCGCTGCCCGTGGTCGTCTGCAGCCCGAAGCGGCGGCGCGACGGCGACGGCCCGGACCGCGAGCTCGCGTGGCGCGGCGGCGGGTCCGCCAGCGACGACGGCGGCGGCGACGACGGGCCGGAGGCGTCACTCATGGACAGCATCTCCAACGCGGTCGCTTGCGGCCGCGACACGGCCCTCCGGGACGACGGCGACGATCCCCCCGAGGACTACGCGCCAATCTCCGCGACCCTGTCCGCCGCCCTCGACGTCTAAAGCACGGGGTCGTCCAGACCCGCAGCGTATCTAACACTTGCACTTATCGTTGAAGTGGTTGCAGACTTGGTTGAGTCCAGAAGACGATGTGGGCTGCCTCTCTCTTGCTGATCGCGCCCGCCGCGCTGGCGTCGGACAATGGACTCGCGCTCACGCCGCCGCTGGGCTGGAATTCGTGGAACCAATTCCAGTGCAACGTCTCCGACGCGCTCATCCGGCGCCAGGCCGACGCCATGGTGTCCCTCGGCCTCGTGGACCTGGGCTACCAATATGTCGTGATCGACGACTGCTGGCAAGCCGACGCCCGCGACGTGTCGGGCCGGCTCGCGCCCGATGCGACGCGCTTCCCCGCGGGCATCGCCGCGCTGTCCGCGTACGTCCGCTCGAGGGGCCTCAAGCTCGGCATCTACTCCGACGTCGGCACGAAGACCTGCGCGGGCTACCCGGGGAGCTTCGGCCACTACGACCTCGACGCGCGGACGTTCGCGGACTGGGGGATCGACTATTTGAAGTTCGACACGTGCTCGCTGACGTGGAAAGAGACGCTCGACCCGCGGCCCTTCTACGCGCGCCGCGGCGTCCCTCGTATCGGAAACCGACGCGCCCACGCGACTCCCCCCCCAGGCGAACATGAGCGCCGCGTTGAACGCCACGGGCCGGCCCGTCCTCTATTCCATGTGCAATTGGGGCAGGCACGACCCCTGGCTCTGGGCGCCGGAGATCGCGAACATGTGGCGGACGACGATGGACGTCTGGCCCCAGTGGCATCGGGTCGCGTCGATCCTCGACAGCATGGCCGGGCTGTCGGCCTACGGCGGCCGTGGGGGCTTTAACGACGCCGACATGGTCGAGGTCGGCGTCGATTCGAGGATCTTCAATTGGGCCGGGATGCCGGAGACGAATCTGACGGAACGCGAGGCCGCGGCGCATTTCACGATGTGGGCGATCATGGGCGCGCCGCTCGTCCTCGGTCTGGACCTCGAGGCCGCGGAGCGATGGGCGCTCGACGTCGTCTCACACGCGGGCGTCCTCGCCGTCAACCAGGACCCCCTGGCCTACCCGGGCCGCCGCGTGACGTCCGACTCGGACGCGGTGCTCGGCGTCTGTCTCAAGTCGCGCTGCGCGAGCACGCAGGTCTGGGCGAAGGATTTGTCCGGCGGCCGCGTCGCCGTCGCCTTCCTCAACGCGGGAGATGCGTATAGCCAGTACTCGTCCCACTACGGCGACGAAGCCATCGCCGTCGACTTCGACGAGCTGCACATCGCGGGCCGCTTCCGCGCGCGGGACGTCTGGGCGGACGCGGACCTCGGCGCCTTCGAATCGTCCATGACCTCGCCGGCGGTCCCCCCGCACGGCGCGCACCTCGTCGTCCTCGCGCCCGACCCGTGACGACGATGGGCGTTAAAACAAAAAGAGGCGGCGGTGGGCCCCTCCTACAGCACGGCGATGGCCTCCTTGACCCTGGCGGCCTTGTTGTTCTCGGCGGAGTGGCGCTTCTCGTTGTCCGCGCCCGGCCAGGTGACCTCCTTGGAGAGGGAGGGCAGGCCGCCCGACAGCATGCGGCGCACGACGCCCGGCTTCGCCGGCTTGTCGGCGACGGCGTCCATCATCGCGACGAACTCGTCCTCGTCCAGCTCGCCGTCGCCGTCCGCGTCCGCGTCGGCCATCATCTTCCTGATCTGCTTCCGCGTGAGCTTCGTGCCCGACAGCACGGCTTCCAACTCTTCCAGGTCGAGGCTGCCGCTGCCGTCGGCGTCGGCCTTGCGGAACTCGGCGACGAGCTGCTCCCGGTCGCGCTCGGAGATCTCCGCCGGCGGCGACTTCACGAGGTCCCAGAGCGACTTCGTGGTCTTCGCGTTTTTCATCATCTCGACGAATTCGTCCAGGTCGACCTCGCCGTCGCCGTCCGCGTCCGCCTCCTTGATCATCTTGGCGATGTTCTGCGGGCTGATCGACGTCGACACGAGCGACTCCGCGACCTCGCCGTAGCTCAGGGCGCCGCTGCCGTCGGTGTCGAGGCGTCGGAAGAGGTCCTCCAGGGCCTTCTGCTCGAGGGGCGAGAAGACCTTCCGGTAGGGCGTCCAGGAGAAGAGCCGCCAGGGCTTCTTGCCCGGCGCGGCGCCGGGCTGCTCCCCGGGCTCCTCCGGCGCGGCGTCCTCCGGCTCGGACACCAGCGGCGCCGCCGGGAGCGTGGGCGTATTCCGCGGCGGCGGCGCGGACGCGAGGTCGGCGAAGATGCCGGGGGTCGCCGCGAGGCCGTGGAAGATCTTCGTCGGCGCGTCCGGCCCCTCCGGCGGCGCGGGCGCGTCGCCGTCGGGCGGCAGGACGCCGGCGGTCGACGCGTCGCTCTCCTTGCGCTTCTTGCGGCGCTTGGGGCTCTTCCGCAGCTTCTTGACCGGGCTCTTCGACGGGCTCCGGCGCGGCTTATTGGGCTTGTTTTTTGGCTTGAGGGGCTTCTCTTCGATATGCTTTGCTCCGAAGAGGCCGTCGTCCTCCTGCGTCGAATCGTAGCCGCAGGCCGTTCCCGAGCAGGAGAAGGCTGTCCCTCCATCGCAGATGGCCATGCTGCGGGCTGGCCGCCGACAGCGCAGGAGGTCGGGCTGCCCGCGAGTCGAAAGAGGAATGCCCCGGAGCTGACTGTGATGACAGGATTTACGGACTTCAAGTTAAAGTTCAAGTCGAGGAATTACGACCGCGCAGTCCGGGGCAGAGCGGCGAGCTCGAGAGGACCTTATCCCGCCGGCGGGATATGTTACTTCCCGTCTAACCCTCGGACGGAGCGGGGGCAGGTTTCTTGAAGAGCGTCCAGGAAAAGAGCCGCTTCCGCCAGGGCTTCTTGCCCGGCGCGGCGCCGGGCTCCTCCCCGGGCGTGGCGCCGGGCTCCTCCGGCGCGGCGTCCTCCGACTCGGAGGACGGCGGCGTCGCCGGGAGCGTGGACGAGTGCCGCGGCGGCGGCGGGGGCGCGAGGTCGGCGAAGATGCCGGGGGTCGCCGCGAGGCCGTGGAAGATCTTCGTCGGCGCGCTCGGCCCCGCGTCGCCGTCGGGCGGCAGGACGCCGGCGGTCGACGCGTCGCTGTCCTTGCGCTTCTTGCGGCGCTTGGAGCCCTTCCGCAGCTTCTTCGACGGGCGCGCCTTGAGAGGCTTCTCTTCGATATGCTTGGCTCCGAAGAGGCCGTCGTCCTCCTGCGTCCAATCGTAGCCGCAGCCCATTCCCGAGCAGGCGAAGGCTGCCCCGCCGTCGCAGGTAACCATGCTGCGGGCTGGCCGACGACAGCGCAGGAGGTCGGGCTGCCCGCGAGTGGGATCCTGGGGTGACAGCCGTCAGACGATCCCACTTCCCCCGGTGTTGGAGACTGGATTTACGAACTTCAAGCTAAGTTCAACGAATTACGACGCGACCGCGCAGTCCAAGGCCGTCCACGCCGCCGGCGGTGCCGCCTCGGGATCCTCCGGCGCGGGCAGCGCGACGACGAGCGGCAGGTCGAGGCCGTCGGCGGCGAGCGCGAGCGGCACCGCGACGAGGCGCCGCCGCGCGCGGCGGAGCGCGGCGTCGCGCGCGTGGGGCCGCGCGGCGCCGCCGGACGCGGCGCAGACGAGGCGCACCCAGGCCGCGTGGCCCCGCGTCCGGAGCACGGCGGACTCGTCGGCGCCGTCGGCGACGAGCGCCGCGAGGTCGCGCGGCGTCGGCGCGGGGCCGCCGCCGTCGTCGTCGTCGTCCTGCGCGAGGTCGTCGAAGGCCGCGAGGGCGACCTCGAGGCCCGCGCCCGACGGCGGCGCGTCGGTCCAGTCGCACGCCCGCAGGTCCGGCGACAGGAAGAGCCGCGGCGCCGGCGCGGCGCCCGCGCGCAGCGCCGCGGCGACGTCGCGCCGCGTCGGGTTCGTGATCGCGAGGACGACCTCGTAGAGCGCGGCGCCACGTCCATCGACGCGCCAGCGCGGCGGCAGGGCCAGCGCGACGCCCGGCACGGCGCGGTGCGCGGACGCGTCCTTCTTCGCCCAAACCCCGGCGCCCGCGCGCGACGACGAGTCGCCGTCGAGCGGGTGGGGCTTGGGCTTGTAGACGATGCCCGCGCGGCCCTGGTCGACGTCGAAGCGGCAGCGCCGCGTGCAGCGCGGCGCGAGCCGCGGCCGCCGCGGCGCGAGCTCGTTGAGCGCGCGCGCGTCCTTCCGAAAGTCCTGGGCGTCGCGCTGCGCGAGGGACGCGCGCTCGGACGGTTCGAGCCGGTCGCCGAGGGCCTCGGCCTCGGCGTCCTCCTCCGTCTCGAGGTCCGCGGCCTCGGCGGCGGCGGCCGCGTCGCCGCCGCCCGCGACCTCGGCGTCGCCGCGCGCGATCGCCGCGCGCGCGGCGAGCGCGCGCGCGAAGGCGTCGACGCGCGGCTCGTCGCTCTCCCACTGCGCGAGCGTCATGGCCAGGTGCGCCGGCGACTCCTCGCTCAGGCCGATGGTCAGGCTCGACCAGCTGCAGTGGCCGCACGCGTACGCCCACCGCTTCTCGCCGCCCGCGGGCAACAGCGCCGCGCGCGCGGCCGTCCCGCAGGCCGGGCAGAGCACGCAGCGCGCGCAGCGGCCCCGGTGCGCCGCGGCGTCGGACTCGGAGACGAGCTCGAGGCACTCCGGGCAGTACACGGCGTCGACCTCGAGGCTCGACGACTCGAGGGCCGCGGACACGAGTTGTTTCGCGTCGCCGCTGAAGAAGAGCTCGCCGAGCGGCGCGTACCGGCCGCCCGCGTCGGCGTAGTGCACCGACGCCGTGCGCAGGCGCGGCCGCGGCGCGTTTGAAAGCGAGGCCATAGGCGCGTTTGAACCAGCCATCATAAGCCCTCGAGGGCGCGGCAAGGTTTTGGCGATTTGAACTGGGAGCTGCCCTTTTGGCTCTCTCGCCACCACAAGCAAGCGCCGCTCGACAACCTCCCCTTCTCCGTACGCGCCGGCGGCGGACCGGAGGGACGCCATGTTTCGGACCTGCGAAGTCTGCGGCGAGATCGCGCCGAAGACGATGCGCTGCACGCGCTGCCTCAACGGGGACTACTGTTCGAATTCCTGTTTCAAGAAGGCCTGGCCGGAGCACAAAAAAATCTGCCAGAAGCCGCCGGCGCAGCACTACTGGCCGGACGCGTCCCACTACGAGGTCCTCGGCGTCGACAAGCACGTCAACGACGCGACCCTGAAAAAGGCCTACTACGCCAAATCCCGGGACCACCACCCGGACCGGAATCGGCACGACATGTACGCGCAGGCGAAGATGGAGCGCATCGCCAACGCCTACGCCATCCTCTCCGACCCGAAGCAGCGCACGGCCTACAACCAGTCGAGACGGCTGCGCGCCGACGGCCGCGAGGCCGCGTCGCCCTGACGGCGCGCCCCTGGGTCCGCGCGACGCTAGAGGCGGCGAATTCGAGCTTAGCCGGGCGGCGGCGGCGGCGGGAACGGCGCCGCGCCGGCGCCCGCGGGCGGCGGCGCGGGGAGGTCGCCGTCGTCGTACGTGTCGTCGTAGTCGCCCTCGTCCGTCGACGTGTCGTCGTCGTCGCCCCCCCACGACTCGCCGCGGCACTCGCGCCCCGTCGCGCCGCAGCGGGGCCAGAAGGGCACGCCGCGCGGCGCGGTCCGGAACCAGGACTCGGGCACGGCGTCCTCGAGGCCGTCGACGGTGTCGTCGAACTCCGCGACGAGCCAGGCCCAAAAGTTCGCGCCGACGACGGCGATGTCCTCGCAGCGGTGGAGCGCGAAGACGGGGTTGCCCTCGCCGTGGGGCACGCCGGGCATCATGCGGTTGGCGAAGAGGGGCACGAGGGGCGCGCACGCCGGGTGCGGCAGGCCCGGCGGCGTCGCGTCGCGGGCGACGGCGGCGCGCGGCGCGTCGTCGACGCGCGCGACGGCGACGTCGGCGCCGATGCCGTGCTTCAGGCCCGCGTGGCGCGCGAGGACGCGCAGCAGGCCGAGGCACTCCGGCAGGTCCACGGGGTTCCACGCGCTCGGCAGCGGGAACCGCGTCTCGCCGAGCGCGTCCGTCGCCGAAAGGTAGCCCTGGAACGCGTCGCCGTCGGTCCACCACTGCTCGTAGGGCACGTTCCCCGGCGGGCCGGCGACCCAGGCGAGCGTCTCGACGACGTGGGTCGCGTCGTCGCCCCACGCGCCCGCGCGCACGGCCGCGGCCAGGCCCACTTCGTAGTCCGCGCAGTCGTGGTCGCCCGTGTGGACCCAGAAAACGCGGCCCGCGTCGGCGTCGAAGGCGAAGGACACGTCGCCGCAGGGGCCGGGCAGGAGGACGCGCTCGCAGGGCGGCAGGTCGCACGTCACGCGCGCGCGCCGCGCCATGTCGCGCAGGTCCCGGAGCGCGTCCGGCAGCTCCGCGCCGTCCCAGGCCTCCGGCAGCGGGAAATAAACCGTAGACTCGCCGTCGGAGACGACGAGCTGGCCGACGAAGAGCGACGCGTCGAGCCACCAGGGCGCGTAGCCCGGGTCGGCCGCGACGGCGTCGAGCTCCCACCGGAGCTCGCTCACCTCGCGCACGGGGCCGTCCTCCGGGAAGAGCTCGCCCGTCGACGCCGCCCGGGCCTTCGCGCCGTCGCCGGCCTCGTAGGCCGCGCACTCGAAGCGGCCCGAGTGGCGCCAGACGAGCCGCGTGGACGAGCCGGCGGACGCCAGTTGGAAGACGACGTCGCCCTCGGGCCCCGGCACGGCGCGCTGGTCGTCGGGCGCCGTCGGCTCGGGCACGGCGAGCCGCGGCGGCTGGCCCTTGACGCGCGCGAGCTGCCGGTGCCAGTCGTGCCAGCCGCCGCGCGTCGGCACGCCCAGCCGCAGCAGGTAGCGCGGCTCCGGCGGGAAATGCCAGCGGTAGTGGGCCTCGAGCCGCCGCACCTCGGCCTCCGTCAGGCCCTTCTGGACGCCGTAGCCCGCGGCGTCGAAGAGGTGGAGCACGCGCGACAACACGGCCAGGTCGTCCGCGTGGTGGTGCGCCTCGAAATCCTTCAGGGGCCGCTGGTGCTTCGGCAGGGGCTTCCAGCGGCCGGGCCGGTTGCAGACGGCGGCGACGTCGCCCTCCACAAAATCCCAGGCCGGCTCGGGCGCGCCGTCGAGGGGCCGGATGCGCAGCGGCACCGGGTCGTAGGGGTCGCACTCCGGTTTGATGGGCTTGTCGACGTAGTTGAGCAGCTCGTCCTCGGGCGTCTGCGCGACGAACTCGCGGTACTTCTTCGCCCGGACGGACGGCGTCTCCGAGGGCGCCTGCGAGGCGCCGTCGGAGGAGGCGTCGTCGTCCTCGTTCTCTGAGAGGGCAGCCTCGTCTCCCATCGCGATCAGTTCAAGGGTGGCTTGAAGTTCCAAATGTTGGTTTCATCGAGTTGCGGCAAGCATGGCGCGTGGCAATCGCATCTTCGCCTGAACGCTGCGCTGGCAGGAGCGCCTCGAGGGCCCCCGCGACGTCGTCGCCGGGAGCAAGCTTAGCTGTTGACGTGCACCGACGCCGTGTCCCAGCAACCGATGGTCCGCTCGAAGCAAAAGCCCAAGCATGTCGTGCGCCTGACCTGCGGCGCCGCGCACACGGACGTCGCGCGCTACGAGGCGCGCGAGGACCGCCACTTCGTCGTCGAATCTTCGCGCGGCGCCGGCGCCGGCGCGGTCTGCGACGACTTCGCCGTGGACGCGGAGAGCGAGCTCTTCGCCTGCGTGCTCGACGGCCACCGCGGCGCCGTCGCCGCCGAGACCGCGCGCGCGCGCCTGCCGGGCGCGCTGCGCGCGGGCATCGACGGCCAGCGGGCGCCGCTCGCGGACGCGGAGGCGACGTCGGCGCTGGTCCGGGCGTTCCTGGCGACGGAGGCCGCCGTCGTCGCGGCGGCGCCCGAGGGCGGCGGCGCGTGCTGCGTCGCCGCCGTCGTCCGCGCGCGGCGGCTCCACGTCGCCTGGCTCGGCGACTGCCGCGCGCTCGCGGCGACGGCGGCGGGCGGCGTCGAGCGCCTCACGCGCGACCACACGCCGGACCGCGAGCGCGAGCGCATCGCGGCGGCCGGCGGCTTCGTCCACGAGGTCCGGGGCGTCTGGCGCGTCGGCGTCCTGCCGCCGACGACCGACGGGCCGGCGCCCAAGAAGCGCAAGATCGACATGCTCGCCGCGTGCCGCGCCTTCGGCGACGCGGACTTCGGGCCCGTCGTGGCGGCGTCGCCGGACGTCGTCCACGTCGACCTCGCGCCGGACCTCGAGTTCGTGCTCCTCCAGTCCGACGGCGTCCACGAGGCGCTCGCCGACGACCTCGCCGCCGCCGCGGTCCGCGCGGCCCTCGCCGACGGCGGCGACGCGGCCGCCGCGGCGCGGGCCGTCGTCGACGCGGCCAAGGCCGCGGGCTCCACCGACGACATCACCGCGGTCGTGCTGCGCTGCCACGTCGCGTAATCATAAGGACCCTTATAAAAGGGCTCGTGCTTACGCGGCTCCGGCCTCGTCCTCGGACGACGACGGCTCGTCCCAGCGGACGGCCTGGCGCCGCGGCGTCCGCTTCGTCGGCGCGGCCGCGTCCTGGATGGCCGCGAGCGGCGACCGCGCGCCGCCCGGCAGGGCCGGGCTCTTCGCCGCGGGCCGCGCCGCGGGCTTCGGGCTCACGGCGCGGCGGACGTTCGCGCGGCAGAAGTCGGCGAGCGCCCTCTTCGTCGTCGGGTCCGCCAGAATCTCGTCGGCCGCGGCGACCCAGGACGACATGCGGCTCGCGTCCTCCATGGCGCTGGAGAACACGTTGCCGTCGAGGCGCAGGTAGGGGATCGCCAGGTACTCGAAGATGGACGTCGACGCGCCCTCCTGGATGTTCGCCGACGCCTCGAGCGAGCCCTCGACGAGGTCCTTCGCCAGGTGCCAGAGCCAGGGGTTCGGGTCGCGCGTGCGCACGTCCACGGGCAGGCGCCCCGTCCCCAGCGACACGACGGACCCGACGATGCCCAGCGTCGACGCCTCCGCGAACGCGAGGAGCACGGGATTGTTCGCGACGAGCCCGCCGTCGACGTACTGTTTCGCGGCGCCGTCCGCGTGGATCGTGCAGGGCTCGAAGTAGGTCGGCGCGGCGGACGTCGCGCGCGCCGCCTCCCAGACCGCGGCGGACCGCGGCGCGCGCTCGAAGCGCGACGCGGACGGGTCGATGTCGTAGTTCGCGAAGATGGCGACGCGGTTCGGCGCCTGGTCCCAGCGGTGCGCGACGACGGCGACGTGCGTCGTCGACGGGGCCGCGAGCCTGCGGTCGCCGAACTTGGCGCGGAGCAGCGCCTCGAGCTTCTCGTGGTCGTACGCGTGCGCGCGGCCCGCGCCGACCCTCCACCGCTGGAACGCCTCCGCGCCGAGCTCGCGGTAGAGGTCCATGCACTCCGGGATCGTGAAGCCGCAGTGGAACAGGGCCAAGGCTAAAATGCCGCCCGTCGACGTGCCGATGACGTAGTCGAAGAGCTCCTGGACGGGCTGCCGGCACTCGCGCTCCAGCGCCTGGAGGAGCCGCAGCGTGAAGATGCCGCGCAGCCCGCCGCCGTCGAGGCTCAGGATGCGCAGGCGGCGCATCGCGCGGCGGCGTCGAGATCAGCGGCGTCGAGATCAGCGGCGACGAGATCAGCGGCGACGAGATCAGCGGCGACGAGATCAGCGGCGACGAGATCAGCGGCGACGAGATCAGCGGCGACGAGATCAGCGGCGACGAGATCAGCGGCGACGAGATCAGCGTCGTGGATGCGAATCCGGCAGGATCCGCACCCGATCGGCAGCCATCATCGTGCCAAAACGAACTGCCTGGGTAAAGATCTGGTAAAGGTCGATGTTTCGGGCTCGCGGTCGGCCGAGTTGGCGCGCGGGTGTCTCGCGAGTGGCGCGTCGAAGGTCCAGGCGCCGCGCGACTGAGCGCGCGAGCCCGCCCCAGCGCGCGAGTCCGCCCCCGCCATGACGAGCCGCTATGACCGCGCGATCACGATCTTCAGCCCCGACGGGAAGCTGTTCCAGATCGACTACGCCTTCGAGGCCGTGAAGAAGGGGGCGGCGACGGTGGGCGTCACGGGCGCGACCTGCGTCGTGCTCGGCGTGGAGCGCAAGGCCGTGGCGAAGCTCCAGGAGGCGCGGACGATCCGCAAGGTCGTCAAGCTCGACGAGAAGATCACGCTGGCCTTCGCGGGGCTGACGGCGGACGCGCGCGTGCTCGTGCAGAAGGCGCGCGTCGAGGCGCAGTCCTACCGGCTCACGTGCGAGGACGCGCCGAGCGTCGAGTACATGGCGCGGTTCCTCGCGCGGACGCAGCAGCGGTACACGCAGCGCGGCGGCGTGCGGCCCTTCGGCGTGTCGTCGATCCTCGCCGGCTTCGACTCCGCGTCGGGCAAGCCCCTCATGTACCAGATCGACCCGAGCGGCACCTACTTCTCCTGGAAGGCCAACGCCATCGGCGGCCGCAACTCCAAGTCCATGCGCGAGTACCTCGAGAAGGAGTGGTCCGCGGGGCTCCAGGACGACGAGGCGACCGAGCTCTGCGTGAAGACGCTCCTCGAGGTCGTCGACTCCGGCGCCAAGAACATGGAGGTCGTCGTCCTCAAGCGCGGGCCCGACGGCGTCCAGACGGAGCAGACCCTGCCCGACGACGTCCTCGACGCCGTCATCGCGAAGATCGAGGCCGCGCGCGAGGAGTCCAAGGAGGAGGCCAAGGACGCGGAGATGAAGGACTAGGAGCGCGTGCCGACGGCCGCCGCCCCTACGCCGAAACCCGGGCGTCCCGTTCCGAAACCGAAACCTAACCGATACGACGCATCTTTTTTTAAGGTCGCTCCTTGAAGTCTCGTTGAAGGCTGAGAGTGCGAGAGCATGGGGGGCTGCATGGAGGAGCCACCCGGCGCGGAGCTCGCGCCGTTGCGCGACGGCGCCTCGCCAGCGCTGGACGTCGCGCGCGGCGACGCTGCGACGGAAGTCGCGGGCGATGCACCGGCTGCCGCGCTGCCGCCGGATGCCGCGCTGCCGCCGCCGGATGCCGCGCTGCCGCCGGATGCCGCGCTGCCGCCGGACGCCGTCGCCGTGGACCTGCCCGAAACGCGGTGCTTCGCGACGGCCATCGTGCGCCTGAAGGTGCCGTCGTCCGTGTCCGAGAAGGCGCTCGCCGACTACCTGCGCGGCGTCGGCGACGCCTGCCGCCGCTTCCCGGGCTACGTCTCCCGGAAAGTCATCGAGATGCCCGGCAGCGCCCGCGCGCTCGTGCCCATCTTGAAGTTCGAGGGCGAGACCGCCGCGGCGGCCTACGCGAACGTGCGGCGCTGGACGGAGAGCGAGGAGCTCGCGGCCTGGCTGCGGAGGGCGGAAGACATGGGCATGGAGACGGACCACGAGCTCAGCGGCGCCGTGGGCCGCGTGCGGCTCCGGAGGGACGACGAGGGAGCGCCCAAGGGCCCGCCCAAGTGGAAAATGGCTATTTTGGTCGAATTCTGGGTGTTCCTGGTCGTGCTCGCGCACGCGCTCTGCGGCACGAAGCGCGCGCTCGTCGGCGCCTTGGGCAACGCGCCCTTCGCGTCTCTCATCGTCTTCTGCCTCGTCGTGCCCGTGCTGACCTACGCCGCGCTGCCGCTGACGCTGTCCGTCGCGTCCGTGCACGCCTGGACCCACGCGCGGGCCGCGAGGCCGGGCGAGATCCGGCGCGACCGACGAGGCAACGAGCGAGAGACACCCGAAGAGGACACGAGCGACACGTCGCGTTTCCGCAGGCGAGCTCGCGCAGATCCTCGAGGACGGCTTCGGCATGTTCGCCGCCACCGAGGACCCGAAGCTCGCGCGGCTCCTGGACCGCGTCGAGGCGCTCGAGCGCGAGGTCGACGCGCTCGCGGCGAGGGCGGCCCGCCCGCCCGCCGCCGCGGAGCCGGACGACGGCGGCGACCGGCGGCGCGCGCTCGCGGAGAACGCCGTGCCCGCGGGCGCCGCGGACGACGACGAGGAGGGCTCGGGCGTGACCGTCGCGGCGCGGCACTTCGTCCGGCCCGAGAAGCGGCACGAGTTCCGGCGCTGGTGCGACGCGATGGCGGCGGCGATGCGCGGCTTCGCGCCCGGCTTCCGCGGCTCCGACGTCTTCCACGCGCCCGGCGACGCCGCGCACGTCGTGCTCTTCCGCTTCTCGGGCCTCGACGAGATGGAGCGCTGGCTCGCGAGCGACGCGCGGGGCGAGCGGCTCGTGGAGCTGCGCGATCTGGTCGACCGGCCGAGCGAGTACGCGCCGCTCGGCGGGCGGCTGAGGCTCGTGGCGGACCCGGGCGAGTCGAACCTGCTCGGGGACCTGCTCCGCGCCGAGGGCCCGGGGTCCAGCCCGCCCCCCGCTCTCCACAAGGCGACGGTCCTCACGATCCTCGGGCTGTTCTTGGTCGCGTGGCCCGTCGACGCGCACCTGGGCCCCGCGCTCCGCGCCGCGCCGCTGCCCGCGGCCGTGCTCGGCGCGACGGCGCCCTGCGTCGCGCTGAACACCTACTTCGGCGCGCCGCTCATGTTCTTCTTCTTTCGCGGCTGGCTCCACGGGGCCGCGGCGGCGGACGGGCCGGCGGCGCGGGTCCTCGCGGCCGGCCTCCCGGGCCGCGCGCGCAAGGCCGGCGTCCTCGTCGCGAACTTCGCCGTCTTGCTGGCCGTGGCGTTCGCGAAGTAAAACATGTGCCGCACTTGTCCCACGTCGTCGTTTGAGGTTGAAGTCCAAGTTGAAGCGGCGTTTAACATATCCCGCCGGCGGGATATGGTATGGCGCGCGCATCAAGGTGAACCTCAACATACCGTCGGCTGACCTGGCCAGTGAGAGCTCGCGCCGTCGCCTCGACGTCGACAGCGCCTCCAGCGATGGCACCGATGATCCACGTCGCACGTGTTTTGGCCATGCTCTGCATCGCGCGCGCCTGGGCGCCGCCAGCAGCGCTGCGGCGCGCGCCGCACCGCGCGCGGACGCCGGCGGCAGCGTCGACGGCGGACGAGCTGCTCGAGGAGGCGCGGCGGCTGCGCGAAGAGGCGGACCAGCTCTCGGGCGAATTGACGCCGCGCGTGCGCGCCGACGACCAAACACGCAGAGCGCCGGACCCGAGGACGGCGCCCGCGCTTCCGGAGTCGACGTGGCGGTTCGCGTGTAACCTCGAGGGCCGCGAGTCCTTCGCCTTCGAGGCGACGCTGCTCCGCGAGGAGCGCGCGGGCTTCGCCGAGGACGACAAGGCGCGGGGCCGCGAGTCGGGCCTGCTCGAGCTCGTGTCCGGCGACGCGATCACGCAGACGTACGGGTGGCTCGCGGAGGACGACGGCCCCAAGGGCGAATTCGCGCGCGTGACCGTGCGCGTGCGCGACGGGCTGCTGGAGTCGACCGACGGCGACACGGTCTACCTGCAGGCGCGCGTCCGGCGAGGCGACGACGGCGTCGCGCTGAAGGAGGGCACGCTCACCGTGCGGCGGCCGCGGCCGGGCACGCGGTTCCTCCTCTTCGAGGTCCCGAGCCTATTGGCTGACCTGAAGATCGTCGGCCGCTTCACGGCGACGCCCGTCGCGCCCTCCAGTAAGGACTAGGACACCGCATGTTGGCCTTCAACCAAATCTTCAAGCAAAATTGAAGGCTTGCTTATGGCTGTGCTCTGAGTCGCAATACTTTGACATCGAACGCAGCACTGTGACATCATGGCGGCGCCGCGCACGCCCGGCGCGTGGCCCGGGCTCACGAGCCCGCGCACGCCCGGCTCCGGCGCGGGCACGTTCGCGCTGCCGGACCACCGCCTCGACCTGAGCGCCGTGCCGTCGAGCAGCCTGAGCAACATCCGCCTCATCAGCGGGTCGTCGTCGGGCGACCTCGCCGCCGAGGTCGCCGCGCGGCTCGGCGTGCCCCTGAGCCCGGCGAACGTGAAGCGCTTCAACGACGGCGAGGTGCAGATCCAGCTCGCGGAGTCCGTCAGAGGCTGCCGCGTCTTCGTCGTCCAGAGCCTCGCGCCGCCGGTCAACGACGCGCTCATCGAGCTGTTGCTCCTCCTGAGCGCGGCGCGGCGCGCGTCCGCGGAGAGCGTCACCGCCGTCGTGCCCTACTACGCGTACGGCCGGTCGTCGCACCAGCGGAGCCCGTCGGGCCCGCTCGCGGGCGCGGACGTCGCGCGGCTCGTCGAGGAGATGGGCGCGGACCGCGTGCTTTCGGTAGATTTGCACAACGCGCAGATCCAGGGCTTCTTCTCGCCGCGCTGCCCCGTGGACAACGTCTACGCGGCGCCCGCGGCGACGGCCTACTTCCACAGCAAGCGGCTCGACGCGCCGGTGGTCGTGAGCCCGGACGCCGCTGGCGTGCCGCGGGCCAAGCTCTTCGCCGAGGGCCTGGGCCTCTACGGCGACGACGCCGCGTCGGCCATCGCCGTCGTCGTCGCCGTCGAGAAGCGGCTCACGCTCGTCGGCGACGTTAAGGGCAAGGACTGCGTCATCGTCGACGACCTGGTCGACAGCGGGTCGACGCTCGTCGGCGCCGCGGACCACCTCCGGGCCGCGGGCGCGCGCCGCGTCTTCGCCTTCGTCACGCACGGCATCTTCTCGGGAGACGCGCCGGACCGCGTCGAGGCGTCCGCGCTCGAGGAGGTCCTCGTCGCGAACACGATCCCGCTGCGGCCCGACGTCAAGGCGCGGACGAAGAAGATCCGCGCCTTGAGCGTGGGCAAGCTCGTCGAGTCGGCGATCCGCGCCATCCACGGCGGCGTCTCCGTCTCCGCGCTCTTCGAGACGAACCTCGCGGGCGCGCAAGTGTGCTAAGAACCTAGGAAGAGCGATTGTGTTACGAACCTAGAGGAAGAGCGCCGCCGCTGCGCCGTCGGCGCGGGCCTTGATCCAGTGTGATAAGAACCTAGGACGAGCGGGCGTGGGCCTTGATCCGCGCGGCGAACTCCGGCGACGACGCGCAGAGCGCGTTGAAGCGCGGGGGCGCGGGGCCCGCGGACCGGGGGTCGGCCGCCATGCCGTCGAGGTACGCGTAGGCCGCCGCGAGGTCCGACGCGTCGTAGTCGCGCCGGCCGGGGTCGACGGACCGCGTCGGGCTGCGGAACAGGGCCGCCGCGGGGTTCTTGACGCTCCCGTCGAGCTGCCAGGGCGGGCTCCGCGCGTCGAGCGCCGCGGCCGGCGGCCGCAGGGCCCGCGCGAGGTCCGCCGTCTTGTACGCGTCGCCCGCGGCCCCGTGCGCCCGGAGCTCCAGGCCCTCGAGGGCCTGTAAAGTGGTCCAAGCTTGCCGGTGGAGCCGCTCGAGGTTCCCGCGCGGCGGGCTCGGCGGCGTACCGTGCGATGGTTGCGGCGGCGCCGCGCGCGGGCTCGGCGTCGCCGACGCCGGCGAGGCGAGCGCGGACCGCTGCTTCGGGCTCGCCGACGCCGGCGACCGCTGCTTCGGGCTCGCCGACGCTGGCGACGCGAACATGGACCGCTGCTTCGGGCTCGAGGCGGCCGCGGACTTGGGGCTCGGCGTCGCCTCGAGGTCGCGCACGGGCACCGTCCGCCGCGGCGCGGGCCGCGGGTCCACGGCGCCGCGGCGCCGCGGCGCCGCGGCGCTCCGTTTCGCGTCGTCGATGCGGTCCCGGTCCGCGATGCGCTGGTGCCGCACGATGCTCTCGCGCGCGAGCGCGCGCGCGCGCGCGCGGCTCCGGCTCCGCTCGACGCGCGCCTCGTTGAGCTTCCGCTCGTCCTCGGGCGACCGCGCCTCGTAGGGCGGCGCCTCGTCGTCCTCGTCGGCGGCCGGGTCGTTCCACGCGCCGCCGTCGTCGTCGTCGTTGCCCCACGCGAAGGTGACGGACTTCGTGCCGAACTCGACGTTGTCGTCCGCGAGCGGATCGTCCGGCTCGGGCTCCGGCAGCGGCTCCGGCAGCGGCTCCGGCGCCGGCGCCGGCGCCGCGCGCGGCGCCGGCGCCTCCGTCTCGGCCTCCGGCTCCTCGGCGGCGGCGGAGATGATGGCGAGCTCCGGGGGGCAGTCCCAGGTCGTGATCTGCCGCTTCGGGTTGTGGTAGTACTGGCAGCCGCTCTCCGCGTCCACGAACACGACCCAGGCGTCCATCGCTGCGCGCGGCGGGGCTGCCAAATTGAGTCAGCGCACAGGAGCTCCTGCTACACCGCGACCAAGTGAAATGCCTCGCAAGGTGATGGCATATGCCAAACTAAGCCACCCATACTCTCGTGATACTGTTGCTTACTGTTTTTCTAGCGCTCATCTTGAAGACTTCAAGCGAGCGAGTTATGGCCCTCGAAGACGGCGCCGGAGGTCCCAGGATCGTCAACACCGGACTGGGAGGTCGGGGTCTTGACGCGTACGCTGCAGAGCCCTGTAGGGCCCTCGCGTTTTTGGCATTGCAATAGCCAGCGGTGGGCAGGAACCGGTCGAGTCTATTTCCTGACGGCGTGGGAGAACAGGGGGAGGTCACAAGGTCGGGGAGAGGAATCGAACGCGCCGGCCAAAAAAGAAGAAGAGGCCTCAGAGCGCGGCGCCGGCGAGGAGCGGGTCGCGGTCGTCGCCCGGCGCGACCTTGCCCGCGGCGCCGCGGACCCAGAAGTCGCGCGTCCACCACTCGACGCCGTTGCGCGCGTCCTTGGCGAGGGAGACGATGCCCTTGATGCCGAGGCCCGTGGCGACGATGATGGCGACGAGCGAGTCGGCCCACCAGATGTCCGTCGTGTCCTCGAGCACGGCCGACACGAGCACGCCGCCGCTCATCACGGCGCCCGCGAGGCTGCACATGCCGTCCTTGGTCAGCGCCGGCGAGCGGATGGCCTTGCCCACGTGGATCTTCGCGCCGCCGAGCGCGAGGAACATGGCCATGGACGGCGTGTAGAGCGCGATGAGCTCGACGAGGTCCTTGTCGCGGTCGTGCGCGATGAGCTCCTTCGTCGCGTCGTAGGTGACGACGCAGGCGAGGACGACGAACATGGCCGAGATGCCCGCGTCGGCGCGCCGCTCCCGCGACTCGAGCACGTCCTTGGGCACGGAGTCGCCGCCGCCGGAGAACCGCCAGAGCACGAGCACGCTGCCCAGGAAGTCGACGCCGTTCTCGAGCGTGTAGCCCAGGGCCGTCGCGCTCTGCGACTGGTAGGCGGACACGCCGCCCATGACGAGGGCCATGCCCGCGGCGACGAGCGACACGATGCTCAGCTCGTAGGCGAGGCGCAGCCCGGAACGCGCCGTGCACGACTCGAGGCAGCCCCGGCGCCGCTTCGCCACGCGGGCCCGCAGGCCCAGGTTCGGCGCGCACATGGTCCGGGGAGGCCTAGGGCTCCAGCGCCGTTCCGCGACCACGGGCAGCCCGCGGCGGTCGACGACGTCGAGTGCGCACAATATGCCGCCTTGGAATTCTTTCTGTTCAAGGTCAACTCACGGGTGGTGCAGTCGTCGTCGGCGCGGACTTTGGCCGACGCGATCAACATCTCGTCGAGTTCGCCGCCGTCTCCCGACATCAGTTCCCGTCCGGGGGGGTCGCCTACGACACGCCCTATCATGCGCTCGATCATCCTCGCTCTCGCGGCTCGGGTCGCGGCCGGCGTCGACTGCTCGTCCTGGGACGGCGACCGTGTCGGATGCTCGGGATGCGTCGCGAGCGGCGAGTGCGTCTTCGACGAGGTCACGGGAACCTGCGGAACCGTGGCGGACACGGAGAACTGCCCCGCCGGCGACTTCGGGCCCACGGGCGGCGAGGAATGCCCCGCGACGTGCTTCGGAGATACGTGCGACGCGTGGGCGACGAAGGCCACCTCGTGCGCCGAGCTCGAAGAGTGGGGCTGCGACTGCTTCGGGTGCGCGTGTGCGGTCGAAGACGGCGACAAGAACGACGACAAGGGCGGAGACTGGGGCGACAAGAACGACGACAAGGGCGGAGATTGGGGCGACGACAAGGATTGGGGCGACAAGGACGGCGACTGGGGCGACAAGGACGGCTACACGGCCGCGCCGACGGCGACGCTGACGGGCTCGTGGCGCGTCGAGAGTCTGGGGAACGCCGGCGGCGCGACGCGCTACTACTGGGTCTACGCGCCCGACGCCGCGGAGTACTCGGGCATGATGCTCTTCTTCCACGGCGCGGGCGGCGGCGCGTCCGTGCGCCACGCGTACCGCGTCGCCGAGAACGCCGACACGTACGGCTTCGTCGGCGTCGTGCCGATCGGCAGCCCCGGCGACGGCGAGGACGGCGGCAAGCGCCGGCTGGCGGAGAGCGACGATACGGAGTGCTGCTATTACTGGAACGTCGACGTCGCGGACGGCGTGGACGACGTCGGCTTCGTCCACGCGGTCGTCGCGGCGGTCGCGGAAGACTACGCCGTCGCCGCCGACAGGCCCGTCATCGCTCTCGGCTTCTCGAACGGGGCGGCCATGTCGGAGCTCCTCGGCTGCCACGATAGCCACGATTTGTGGGTCGCGCACGTCGGCGTGCACTACCGTCCGGAATCGGACTGGCCGTCGACGTGCCAGTCGAAGACGTCGGCATGCCCCGAGTGGAACGCCGTCGGCTCCGAGGACTGGTTCCTCGACGGCCTGTCGCCGACGCCGACGGAGGGCATCCTGGCCCAGTTCGAGGCGAGCCGCGACGCCGCGGGCTGCCCCGAGGAGGCGGCGCGCCAGGACGGCGAGTGCTACGAATACGCGAGCTGTCCGTCGCTGGGGCGGCTCTGCGTCTACGACGGCGTCATTCACATGATCACGGACACGATGACGGAGTCCGCCTGGACCTATTTGACGGGCCCCGGGCTCAGCTGCGGCGAATCCGCGGCCACGACGCAGGACGGATGGTGCGCGGACTCCGGCGTGCAGCTCTGCAAGATGCTGTGCGAGACGCCGGACTGCCCGACCGGCCAATGCGCGATGCGCGTCGGCACCTGCTGCGACTACACGTGCGCCTACGCGACTCGCGACGGCGGGTTGGCCTTCGGCGAGTTCGCGGAGAACGCGACGACGACCGAGGCGTTCGCCGCCGAGTGCCCGACGACGTGCTTCTTCGACACGTGCGACGCCTGGGCGACGGCGGAGACGACGTGCGCGGACCTCGAGCGCGAGTACGACTGCGACTGCACCGGCTGCGCGTGCGACGGCACCGGCAGCGTCAAGGACGACGATAAGGGCGGCGACAAGGACGGCGACTGGGGCGACAAGGACGGCTACACGGCGGCGCCGACGGCGACGCTGACGGGCTCGTGGCGCGTCGAGAGCCTCGGGCACGCCGGCGGCGCGACGCGCGCCTACTGGGTCTACGCGCCGGACGCCGCGGAGTACTCGGGCATGATGCTCTTCTTCCACGGCGCGGACGGAGGCGCGTCCGTGCGCCACGCGTACCGCGTCGCCGAGAACGCCGACACGTACGGCTTCGTCGGCGTCGTGCCGATCGGCAGCCCCGGCGACGGCGAGGACGGCGGCAAGGGCGACGGCGGCAAGCGCCGGCTGGAGGAGTCCGGCACGGAGTGCTGCTATCACTGGAACGTCGACGACGCGGACGGCGTGGACGAGGTCAGCTTCGTCCACGCGGTCGTCGCGGAGGTCGCGGCGGACTACGCCGTCGGCGCGGACAAGCCCGTGATCGCGCTCGGCTTCTCGAACGGGGCGGCCATGTCGGAGCTCCTCGGCTGCCACGATAGCCACGATTTGTGGGTCGCGCACGTCGGCGTCCACTACCACCCCGAGGCCGACTGGCCGTCGACGTGCCAGTCGAAGACGTCGGCGTGCCCCGAGTGGAACGCCGTCGGCACCGAGGACGAGTTCCTCGACGGCCTGTCGCCGTCGCCGACGGAGGGCATCCTGGCCCAGTTCGAGGCGGGCCGCGACGCCGCGGGCTGCCCCGAGGAGGCCGCGCGCGCGAGCCGAGGCGGCGAGTGCCACGACTATCCGAGCTGCCCGTCCCTCGGCGTGCTCTGCGTCTACGACGGCGTCATTCACATGATCACGGACACGATGACGGAGTCCGCTTGGACCTATCTGACGGGCCCCGGGCGCAGCTGCGGCGAATCCTCGACGACGACGACGAAGGCCAAGAAGGACCGGTGCGCGAAGAAGACGAAGCGGAAAAAATGCACGGGGAACTGCGTGTGGAAACGGGGGCAGTGCGTGGCCTCCTCGGGAGTCTCCTGCAAGAAGCAGAAGAAGGAAAAGAAGTGCACCAAGGCCGGCTGCGCGTGGAACGCGAAGAAGGAGAAGTGCGCGGACTGCGCGAAGCAGAAGAAATCCAAAAAGTGCAAAAAGGCGGGCTGCAAGTGGAAGAAGAAGAAGGAGAAGTGCCGAGCGAAGGGTAAGTCGAGTGACTAGATTAACGCCCGGGCTGCTTCCCGACGGGGAGCGGCGCGGAGAAGACGGGGACGTCCCGCCGGCAGTTCGGGCACGACGCCGCGGACGTGAGGCGCCCGGCGGCCGCCGTGTGCACCGCCGCGGCCTCGCACCAGCTCGCGAGGCAGTGCGCGTGGATCTCCACGCGGCAGCACGGCATCACCGTGCAGTCGATCGCGTCCCCGAGCGCCTCGAGGCAGATAGCGCAGACGTCGCCGTCGTCGCGCGCGAGGGGCGGCGGCGACGCGCGCGTGAGGGGCACGAGCACCGCCGTCGGCGCCGCGGGCGCGCGCGGCGCGCCATCGTCGTCGTCGTCGTCGTCGTCGTCGAGGAGGAGCTCCCAGCTCGACGGCGCGGCCTCGGCGAGCGGCGGCCGCGGCTCGGGCTCCGCGGGCGGCGCGGCCGCGGCGTCGCGCGGCCGCTCCCAGCCGGCCTCGGCGTCGGCCGTGAGGCCCGGCCACTGCTCCGGCTCGGCGCGCGGGCGCCGCGGCGGCGCCGCGGGCCGCGGCGGCTCCGGCGGCGCGCCGCGGCGCGCGGCCGCGGCCGAGAGCGGCGGCGCGGGCGGCGCGGAGTTCGTCGACCGGCGGCAGCGCAGGTAGTAGGGCCCCGCGCCGTCCATGCCGGCGCCGTAGGGCTCCGCGGCGAGGCCGTAGAACGCCGCGAGGTCCGCCGCGCGGTCGCGGTCGCGCGCGGCCGCGCGCGGCGGCAGCGCGACGTCGAGGCTTTGCAGGTCGCAGGCGCGCGCGAGCTTGCGCTCCAGCGCCTGGAGCGCCGACAGCCCGCCGTCGAGGCCCAGCGTCTCGCCCGCGGCCGTCCGGTGCGCCCAGTCGAGGAGCGCGTCGGGGTAGCTCACCGTCGCCTCGGCGCGCTCGGGCGCGACGCCGAAGGCCGCCGCGAGGCGCCGGTTCCGCGACAGGGACGTCGTCGTCGCCGCCGCCCGCGTCGGCGCGGGCGCGGCGGGCGCGGCGAAGAGCGTCGCGGACCGCGGCGGCGCGGCCGCGCGGCGCGCCCAGAACGCGTCGGTCGTCGCCGCGGCCGCGCGTTGGGGCGCCGCGAGCGACGGGTAGGCCTCGGCGTCGCCGGCGTCCGGCGCGGGCGGCGGCGCGCGGCGCGCCGCCGCCGACGCCGCCGCGTCGGTCGTCGAGAAGGCCGTCGCGTCCTCGTCCCTCACGACGAAGCCGCCGCCGCCCGCGACGGCGGCCCGCGCGGAGCCGTCCTGGAGCCGCCGGTGCCGCGCGCCGAGCGTCTCGCCGCCGCCGTCGCCGCGGCGCGCCGAGGCGCCGAAGAGGCTGGACATGATCGCCGCGGACTCGGCCCGGAGCGCGTCGCGCTCGCGCGCGCGCGCCGCGTCCTCGTCGCCCGCGAGCTCGAGCGCGCGCGCGACGCGCGCCTCGCCGAGCGCGTGCGCCACGAGGTGCGCGTCGAGCGCTTCGCAGTTCGCCGGCGTCAGCGGCCGCCGCGTGAGCGGGTTCTCGAAGACGCTCGAGGACACGAGGTACGCGGCGAGCACTCGGCCGTCGAAGCGGTAGTCGTGGCCGTCTTCTTTCAACACGAAGGGCGCCTTGCGCAGCTTCTTTAAAGGTTCGAGGCTTATCGGGTCCGTCTCGGACGCCGGCAGGCTCTTCCACCATTCTTTCTTTCTTTTTTCAGCCGTGCGCCACCAGCCCTTGATGGTCGCCTTCATCGTCGCCGGGTCCCGCGTCGCGAGGCAGCTCGCGAGCGCGGCGTTGCTGACGTGCGCGGGCGCGACGGCTTTTAAATGCGCGATGGCTTCGGTCATCGCGGCTTTTGGGTGTGCGGCGGTCGCGCCCGGAGCGGGACTGCCCAAGCTCAATGCCCTGCCTCAAACGAAACACTCGCCGGCGCCTCAGTGAAGCTTGCAGCAACGCGCCCGGAACGCGCTTTCGCGCAGCCGCGGTCGCCGGCGCGCCTCGGCTCGCCTAGGATACCCGTAACGCAGTCTCACTCTGATCTGGGCTATGCTCCCGCTTTCGCGCTGTGAGCCACCTAGTCGTCGTGGAGGAAGCCGCTGAAGGGACCGCCGGGCATGCCCCAGACGAGATAGAATGCAAACATCAACATGAGCATCACGACGATGAAGCAGACGAACGATTTCCACTTGATGAAGCCGAAGACTCGAGTCGGATGGGCATCTCGTACATCTTGTCCTAGACACGCGCGCGCCCGCCGCGGCCTACCTGCCCTTTGAAGATTCTCACGCACTCGAGACAAATGTCAGTGGACGCCAGCCGGCCGAACGTCTCTGCCTCTGCTACACGGACGAAGACGGACGCCGCCATGAGCAGGCGCGCGACGTCCCTGCGCGCCCGGCCCGGCCCGTCGGCGCGTCGAGGAACTGGCGGAATTGCGCCGGATGCGTCGTCGTGGTCCAACTACCGCCGAAGAAGGCAGGGATCTTAGTCCTAATCTCGGGGAACCGGGCAGTTCCCGGGCGGTCTGCGCGAGGGCCGCGCGCGAGCAAGCGCCCGAGGCGGCGTCCGAGCCCCGGCGGCGGCACGCTGGGGCCTCGCTCGCACAATGGTGCACCACTTGAGCTGAGCGCGCAGGCCTGCGGCCACAACAGCAGCACCAACCATGGACGCGGTCTACCGCCAGGCGCGCGCCTTGCTCGAGAGCGCGGCGCTCGCGTCGGGCAAGGAGGAGAAGGTGTCGAAGATCGCGCTGCTGGTGGAGCTCTGCGTGCACCGCGCCGACGCGGCGCTCGTCGACGAGCTCGTCACGGGCGTGTCGAACTTCACGACGGACCGGTCGTCGTCCGTGCGGCGCGCCGTGCTCGACTTCCTCGAGCGCGTCGTCGTCGGGAGCGAGCACGGCGGCGACGCGTGCGCGTCGCGCGCCGTCGAGACGGCCGCGTACCTCGCCTGCGACGAGCACGAGGGCACGGCGACGCGCGCCCTGGGCGTCGCCGCCGTCATCCTCGGCGCGCCCAAGTTCGGCGCCTTCGAGCTCGCGGACGTGAGCCGCGAGCGCCTCGTCGCGGCCGTCGACGGCGACGCGCGAAAGCAGCAGTCGGGCGCCGCGCCCGGCGCGGCCTACCTGTCCGCCGCGGCCGAAACGCTACTGGCCCTCGTGCTCCGGGACTGCCGCCACGAGACGGGGACGCGGCCGTCCGCGGCGACGAAGCGGGGCACCGCGGCGCTCGCGGCCGCGGCGAAAAGCGGCGCGTCCCAACAGCTCCTCGACTGCTGCGCCGTCGCGCTCGCCGCGGCCTTCGGCCTCGTCCACAAGGAGTTGGTCGCCGCCGTCATCGCCGCCCTCGAGGCGGCGCCCGAGGCCGCCGCGGCGACGGCCGTCGCGGCGCTCCACGCGGCCGAGACCGCGCGGCGCGCGGGCGGCGCGGGCGCGGTCGCCGCGGCGGCGAACAAGCTCGAGGCCGCGCTCCGCCGCGGCGGCAAGGGCGAGGCGGCCGACGAGGCGTTGGACTGCGCGCGCGGGGGCCGGCCGCTGCCGCCGCGGCCGCCGCCGGAGAAGCGCGGCCGCGACGAGCCCTCGGACCCGCGCGCGGCGAAGCGGCGGAAGCGCGACCCGCGCGCGCGGCGCGAGCGGTCCGAGGCGGCGGTGCCGCGGCGCGCCGAGGATTTGGAGGAGGACCGGGAGGACGCGGCGCCGGACGACGACGACGACGACGACGACGACGACCCGTCGATGCCGCCGCCGCCGCCCAAGGGCGCGGACGCGCCGCTCACGGCCGCGGCCGCGGGCAGCGTGCGGTCCCAGCCGCCGTCGGCCCCCGGCGGGCGGCCGACCCTGAAATCGAGCGCCAACGCGCTGAGCGACGCGCACGCGCGGGCCATGCGCGCGGCGGCCGCCGCTCGGTGCGTCGCCGCGCCGCCGGAGCTCGTCGCGCGCGAGCGGCTCTACGCGACGCGCGACGCCGTCGTGAGCCGCCTCGCGCGCTTCGAGGTCGACCGCGGCGACGTCGAGGGCGGGCCGGGCGCCGTCGCGGCGACGCTGGCCAGGGCCGTCGCGGACAAGAAGGGCCGCCGCGACGGCGTCGAGCTCGCGCTCCGCGTGCTCTTCGAGGCCTACGCGCGGGAGCGGGCGCTGGTGAACGGCGATGCATGCGCCGCCGACGACCCGCGGCGCCGCGCCTACGACGGCGCGCTGCTGACGCTGCTCGCGGCGCTCCGCGACGGCCTCGAGAGCTCGGAGCGCGCGCTCTTCACGGACGTCGTGTTGGGGGCGCCGCGGCTGCCCGGCGCGGCCGTCGACTTCCTCGTGCGCTGCTGCGACGCAAACGACGCGCCGGCGGCGGGCGTCGCGCTGGGGCTCACGGCGCTCCGGGACCTCGCGTTCCACCGGCCCTCGGCCCGCGGCGCGTGCCTCGCGCGGTGCCTGGACCTGACGCGGCGCGCCGACGTCGCGGCGGAGGTGCGCGAGAAGGCCGTGCGCCTCGCGTCGAACCAGCTCTGGGCGCGGCCGAGCCTCCGGGACGCGGTCGTCGCGCACGCGACGGCGTCCGTCGCCGGTGCTGCGAAACCGACGGGCCGGAAAGCCGAGGGCGACGACGAGCGCGCCGCAGCGCTTGAGGGCGTGCGGCGCGAGCTCGCGCTGGGGGTGGCGCTCTGCGTCAAGGACGTGAGCCTCGTGCCCGTGCTACTCCGCAACGCCGCCGCGACGGCGGGCCGCGCGGACGACAGCGTGCTCGTGCAGGAGGCCGTCGCGCTCGAGCTGCCGCGCCTCGCGCCGGCGCTCGCGACGCTCCACGGGCCCGAGCCGACGCTCGCGACGGCGGCGCAGGCGCTGAAGAGCGAGGCGGGCGACGCCGTCGACGCGGACCGGTCCAAGGCGACGGAGGCGCTGCTCCTGTCGCTCCTCGAGGCGCTGGCGGGGCCGGGGACGAAGCGGACGCCGGGCCTGTGGGACGGCGCGGCGAAGCTCCGCGAGGCCGTGCAGGCGAGCCGCGCCGCGGCGTCCGCTTCGGACGACACGGTCCGCTTCCTCGTGCCGGCGCTGGGCTCCGCGTCCGCGGCCCAGTTCTTCGACGCGCTGCCGGCGCTCCTGCTGCACCTGGACGACGCGGCGCTCGCGGCCGCGTTCCGCCGCGCCGTCGCGGCGACGCTGAGCGCGACGAACAAGGTGTCCGGCGCGGCGGCGACGCTCGGCGCCGCGGAGCTCGTCGTCGGCCTCCACGGCGTCGACGACAAGGTCGTGCCCGTGAAGCGCGTCACGGAGGCGCTCAACGTCTGCCTGGCCGCGCGCGACGTCTTCGGCGCGCTCTGCCTCCGCGACGCGCTCGACAAGATGACGGACGTCGGCGCCGACGGCGACGACAAGGCGAGGCTCGCGAAGCTGCCCCAGCTCCTCATGCGCACGTGCATCCTCGCCGTGAAGACGTACCCGGCGCAGCTCAGCTCCTTCGTCGCGTCGACGGTGCTCGTGCGGCTCGTGAAGATGAAGGTCTGGACGCACGGCGCGCTCTGGAAGGGCTTCATGATGTGCTGCGGGCTGCTCGCGTCGCCGACGGAGGACCACAGCCACACGTGCTTCGCCGCGGCCCTCGCGCTCCCGGCGCCCCAGCTGTCGCACCTCCTCAAGCTCGCGCCCAAGCTCAAGCTCCCGCTCAAGCGCCACGCGGAGAAGCTCATCAAGGCCCGCGACCTCGGCGGCGTCAACCCGCCGTCGCTCAAGCTCCTGGGGCTCGAGGCGCCGGCGGCGAACTAAGGGTCCGGTTCGCTCGGGCTGACGGGGTGGGCGTGGCGTCTGGCTCGACGATGCCCCGAGGCCTCGTCCGTGGCCCTCGCCGGCCGTGGGTTAGGCGACTGAGGCTGTGCACTAGCCGCTCGGCGTGGTATTCTTAATGGAGACGGCTTAGAAGAATCTCCGGCCGGCCGGACGCTTAAGGGCAGTTGCACTGCAAGGTCTACTCTCGCGACAGTCGACTTCATAACCGACGAGGTCGCCGCCACTGACACGGCCGACTCGGCAATTCAGGAGATGGAAGCCTTCCATAATAACAATTGCTAGTAAGACCCCGCCTCGCGCGCGGCGTGGTAGTCGGCCATGACCTCGGCGCCGATGGCCCGCTCCTCCTCGGCCCGGCGCGCGTCCGCCTCGCGCTTCCGCGCGGCCTCCGCCTCCTCGCGCTCGCGCGCGTCCCGCGCGGCGTCGGCCTCCCGGGCCCGCTCGCGCCGCCGCGTCGCGTCGGCCCGGTCGCGCGCCGCCGCGGCGTCGCGCTGCGCGGCGGCCTCGGCGCGGCCCGCCGCGGCCGCGGCCTCGCGCTCGCGGCCCGCGCGCGTTGGCTCGACGACGACGACGCCCGGCGCGCGCGACGCCGCGGCCGCGAGGACGTCTTCCAGGCCCGGGCAGTGGGAGACGTCGAGGCGCGCCGCGCGCGCGACGAGCTGCGGGGGGAGCGCGCCGCGGAGGCCGAGGACCGGCGCCTCGGCGGCGCCGGAGACGTCGACGACTCGGAGCCGCGGTAGGTCGCCGAGCGGGTCCAGCGGCCCGGCGAAGGCGCAGCGACTGACGTCGAGCTCCGCGAGGTGCGCGCACGCCGCGAGGGGCGCGAGGTCCCCGGCGAGGCGCGCGCAGCCGCCGAGGCGGAGCGCGCGGAGCCTCGGGCAGTTCGCGAGCGGCGCGAGCCCACCTTCGAGATTCGCGCAGCCGCCGAGCGACAGGACCTCGAGCGCTGCGCAGCGCGCGAGGGCGTCGAGCCCCCCGGAGACGCGCGCGGCGCCGTCGAGGACGAGGACCGCGAGCGACGGCGCGGGCCCGTCCGCGAAGACGTCGCCGAGGTCGCCGGACGCGTCGTGGAAGCCCGAGACCTCGAGCGCCCGCAGCGACGGCCGCGCGACGCCCCGGAGCGTGCCCGACAGGTTCTTGCAGCCCCGGAGCGTCAGCGTCTCGAGACGATCCAGGGCCCGGAGCGGCTCGAGGCTCCTCCGCAGGTGCCACGCGTTCTCGAGGCGGAGCCGCGCGAGGCCTCGCGCGCGCCGCAGCGGCTCGAGGTCGCCGGCGACGTGGTCGCAGCAGAGCGCGAGCTCCTCGACGCCGTCGTCGACGAGGGCGCTCAGGTCGCCCCGGAGCACGACGTTGCCAAAGGCCGCGCGCCGCAGCCCCCGGAGGCCGCCGCCGGGCGCGCCGTGCGGCCCCGACCCCGCGCCGTCCAGGACGTCGCAGCCCGCGACGACCGCCAGCGCGCCGGCGCCCAGGGCCCCCCGGAGCTTGCGGCAGCCGGCGACGACGAGCGTCGCGAGCTTGGCGCAGGACGCCAGCGGCTCGAGCGGGCCCTCGAGGCCCGCGCAGTTCCGCGCGTCGAAGACGCGGAGCTCGGCGAACTTGTCCAGCCCGTCGAGGGGGCCCGCGAGGCCCGCGCAGCCCGCGACGACGAGCTCCTCGAGGGCCCGGAGCCCCCGCAGCTCGAGGAGCGCGCCGCGGAGCCCGCGGCAGTCCGCGACGTCCAGGACCCGGAGCGCCGCGAGCCGCGGCATTCCCAGCGGCCGGAGGCTCCCCGCGAGCTCGCAGCCGCCGAGCCGCAGCTCCGGGACCCCCGACACGTCGAGGGCGTCCGCCGGGTCGTCGTCGAGGAAGCGGAAGGGCCCGCTGCCCCGGAGCCGCGCGGCGCCGCCGCGGCGCCCGAGCCGCGAGAGCCACGCGAGGACCGCGCCGTCGACGCGGCCGCTCAGCGCGGCCGCGTAGCGGAGCCCGAGCCGCCGGAGATTCGTCAGCGCGACGAGCGGCGCGAGGGGGCCCGCGAGCTTGGGGCACTGGGACAGGTCCAGCGCCTCGAGGCGCGTCAGCGCGGCGAAGGGCTCGAGCGTGCCGCCGACGTCCGTGCCGCTGCAGTCGAGGGCCGTGAGCCGCCGGAGGCTCCGCGCCGCGCGGCCGTGGAGCGCGCCCTCGAGGCGGCTCTCGCGGAGCACGAGGGTCGCGCACTCCGGCAGCGCGTCCGCGAACGCCCGCGCGTCGTCCCACGTCGCGACGCGGCGCCGCGCGGCGCGGCAGCCGACGAGCGCCGCGCGCGGGTGCGTCCGCCGGAACGCGCGGACGGCGTCGACGTCGAGCTCCGGCGCCCGGCACGTCTCGCCGAAGAACCTGGCCAGGCTCAGGTCGCAGGCGAGCGGCTTCGACCGCACGGTTTTCAGCGCCTTCCGGGAGCACCGCTCGAGGCGGAAGAACGCGCGGCCGCCGACCGCGTCGACGAGCCGCTGCGCGCAGGCGCCGACGGCCAGCGCCGACTCGAAGGCCGCGCCCGCCGGCGCCGGCGTCTCGCGCGCCTCGAGGCGGCCCGGCGCCAGGACGCCGGGCTCGGCGACGAAGTCCGCACCCGCACCCGCCGCCTCCCGCGCGAGCGGCCGGCCCGTCAGGTTCGCGCTGCCGTCGACGTAGCGCATCTTCACGCGGCCGTCGACGCCGCGGACCGTCTTCTGCCGCGCCTGCGGCATGGGCTGCTATCGGTGGCGTTTGCTCTCCATCGTGTACGGTTTTGCTGGCTTCCTTGAATTCATTCTTTTGGCAATTCGGTGGTGGGCAGCGCCCCCGCGCACGGGAGAGTCTAGACGAGCTCCGAGCTCGGGCGCCTACGCTTACTCACTCCGGCATGGCGTAGTCGAGGTCGCGCTTCCAGAGCGCGATGCCGCCGCCGCCGCCGCGCGCCGTCGCGATGTCCGCGTCCGCGGAGATCCAGTTGAAGAAGGGCTTCTTCGACTCCTCGACCATCTTCACGTTGTTCTCCGAGCCGAGGCCCGTGGACGCGCCGATCTTCGCCGCGCCGCCCTTGGGCAGGTCGATGCGGCCGAAGTTGAAGAGCGCGATCTGGTCGAAGTCGAACTCGACGCGCCGCCGGTCCATGAGCCACTCGAAGTCGCCGAAGAAGCGGATCAGCGGGAAGTCGCCGACGAGGATAGAGTTCGAGATGCGGCCCCGCGCGACGTCAAAGGTCTGCACGGCCTTGAGCGGGAAGTAGTTGATCTTGCCGACCTTCTTCTGCGTGTCGATGGTGCCCGTCGTGAAGACGAGGCGCCAGCAGCCGTCGAGCTGCTCGACGGTCCGCGCCGACACGTCCGGCGACGCCTTCGCCGCGGCCCGCATGCCCTTCTCCAGCGCCAGCAGCGCGGCCACGACGTCGTCGGAGTCCTCGCCCTTCGTCGCCGCCGCGGACCGGCAGACGGCCAGCGCGGCGTCGATGTCGGCGTCGACGGCCGTCGCGCGCCGCGGCGTCGGCGCGCGCGCGCGCGCGGGTGTCTGGAAGGCGCCCGCGGCGGCGACGAGCGTCGCGATGCGCAGCAAGCGTGCCGCCATGCTGGAAGATCGGGTTTGTACACCTCTGAAGATCGCAGGAGGCGCTCTATACTCGAGCTCTCGAGCTCTGCGGCAAGCGGCACCATCTCGGCACTGTGGTGGAGTTGACGCTCTCAAGGGCTGCCCACGAGCTGCCTCTCGCGCGCACGCCACACGCCGCTCGACGCCCTCAGCCGCGGCCGCGCGCCCGCGCTGCCCGCGGCCTCCGCCCCATGTCCTGGGGCGGCAACAAGACCGTGTCCTTCGCGCACAGCCAGCTCGCGCAGCTCGCCTGGGCCATCAACAGCGTCGACCGGTCGCGGCCGCTGCGCGAGATCGAGGAGCACCTCTGCCAGATCGCGCGCCAGATCGACAACATCAGCACGCGGCGCGACCGCGAGCTGCGGGCGAAGCGCAAGGCGCTCATCAAGAAGATCGAGAAGCTCGTGGGCGAGATCGACGAGTCGAGCAGCTCGTCGAGCGAGTCGTCGCGGAGCTCGAGCTCGTCGAGCAGCTCGTCGAGCGACGGCGACGACCGGCGCCGCCGGCGCGCCAAGAAGAAGCGCGACGCGAAGAAGCGCTCGTCGCGGGGCCGCAAGAAGAAGCGCAAGCGCGGCGACGACGACGGCGGCGACGAGAAGAAGCGCGCGAAGGGCGGCGGCGACGGCGCGGGCGACGACCGCCGGGAGGCCCGCGACGACAAGAAGCCCGAGAAGCGCGAGAGGCGCTAACAACATAGATACGAAAGCCGGGGATCGCGCGCGCGCCGTCACGCGGCCGCGGCGGCGGAGTCCTCGGCGTGGCGCGCGGCGAGCTCGTTGAAGAGGTCGGCCGTGGACTCGCCGCTTTCGGCGTCGCCCGGCTCGCTCGACGGCAGCGGCGACTCCGCGCGGTCGTCGAGCTTCCGCTTCTTCGACCGCTTCACCGACGGCGGCGGCCGGTCGCGGAGCGCCTGGAGCTCGGCGTTCGCCGGGCCCACGGGCTGCCAGCGCACCACGGTGAAGGCCTGGGGGCCCGGCCCGCCGAAGACCTTGTCCCGCTTCTCCCACCGCCGCGCCTTCAGGTGCCGCGACGCGCGGACGTAGTCCACGCCGTCGCCGGGCCGCGAGTCGCCCGTGTAGAGGCTCTGGAGCCGGGCCGAGACGCGGCCCCGGTTCGGGTTCGGCGACGCGAAGTTATTCGACGAGCTCGCGTTGCGCTGCCGCTTCCGCGGCGGCATCGCTCAGGTTTCGGTGTTTCTCTTTGCGACGCGCCGCCGGGAGAGCGGCGACGATGTTTTTTGGCGGTGGGTTCCGTGCGACTGTGCTGCGTGCGTGTGGAGGGCTCTTCGAGGTCGCGGGGCGCGTGGCGCGGGGCGCGCGTACGGGGGCTTGCGCCGGCCTGTGGCAAAAGCCAATGTTGCCGACCTCACCGGCAGAATCGGAGAGCGTGAGGACAGAGCAAGCCAATCACAGCTCCGTCACCGGTGCAAAAGAATTGTCGACAGGCGGCGCTCGTGCCCGACATTAGGAATCAGAACCGATCTCGCAACGCTCGCACACCGCGCCCGACGCAGCGTTCCACTCATGCGCCTGCTCCTCCTCTGCGTCGCCGCCGCGACGGCCTTCACGCCGCCGAAGCGCTGCACCTCCGCGCCGCGCCTCGCGCCGCTCGCCGCGAGCGACCCCAAGCTGGGCGTCGGCACGCCGCTCTTCGACAAGAAGGTGAGCAAGTCGAACTTCGTCCCTCCTGGGTCCGAGCCCGACGACATTCCCGAGGAGTGCACGTTCGCCGTCGACGCCGACGGGAACATCGACGAGGCGATGCTCGAGGCCTGCAGGGAAAAGGCCGCCGACGGCTTCGTCCAGAAGTCGCACGGCGTCCTCGACGAGAACAGCTACTAGGCGCCGCGCGCCGCGGCGGCGGGGCGCCGCCGGCCGGCCGCGGCGCGACGCGCGCGCGAAGCGCGGGTCTCATCATTGTTAGTACGAGCTCTCCTCCATCCAGTCGAGCGCCCCGGTCCGCTCGTCGACGAAGGGCGCGTAGGCGCTCACGGTCATGGCGAGCCAGAGGCCGTACTTCTCGACGAACGCGGGCGACGCGCCGCACTCCTCCGCGGCCATCATGTGGGACCCGACCCACGAGTCGCGCTGGTCCGCCGTGAACCTCCGGTTCGCCTTGCGGTGGCCCGCGGGCAGGGCCCGCTGCTGCGACGCCGGCCGCATGGGGCACTGCTTCGCCTTGTTGTGCGTGCCCATGACCGCGAACGCGCCGGAGAAGCCGCGGCCCAGCGACGCGAAGTAGCGCGTGCCGTGGCACTCGTCCAATAAAGTTGCCGCGATGCGCTTGCCGTGGTCCTGGGAGGGGACGGCGCGTCATTTCGCGCGCGTCGACGAGCGTCGTTTTCGCGTCATTTCGCGCGCGTCCCGTCGTCGACGAGCGTCGTTTTCGCGCGCGTTCGCGCGCGTCGGTTTCGCGTCGCGATCGGGCTCGTCGTCGCCTGGGACGCCGCGCCGCGCCATGGCGCTGGCCGCCGTGTCCGGGTCGCGCGTGTCGAAGAGCACGCGCATGCGCGGGTTCGCGAAGAGGTTGCAGTAGTGGAGCCCGCAGAGCGTAAAGTACCTGGGGACGGTTTCGCGGGAGCGTTCTTTTTTTCTCGACGACGCGGTCGTGTCGCACCCGTCGGGCCCGCCGAGCTCGCGGTCGAGCTCCGCGGCCGTCGGGAAGCCCGCGGGGATCTGGCCCGTGCCTGCGGCGCGCGGCGTCGGGGACCGAGCGGGCGCCGCGGGGCGCGACGCCGCCGCAAGACTGCCGCTGTCGCGCGGGGCGGGCTTGCGCCGCTCGTTGGCCCAGCGCCCGCGCGCCAGGGCGTCGTCGCCCTCGGGCGTGGTCGCCTCGTCCTCGGGCTGGGGCTTGTTTACAAAGGCCGGCGGGAAGGTCGTCGACGCCTTTTCGGCGCAGGCCTTCATCCTCGCGAGGCGCTCGCCCGTAAGGAGGCGCTCGTTGTAGCCCGGCGAAGCGGTGGCGTCGTGCACGCACGAGCGGCGCATCATGGCTGCTGCCCCGGGGGTGGCAGAAGTGGAATGCTTGGGCGGTCGAAGGAGAAGCCCCGGCTAGCTCGTCAAGATGCCTTTTGCACTGGCAGAAGATGCCTTTTGCACTGGCATTGAGGATTTGACATCTCCGCGAAGCAAGCTCTGCCCTCCTTGGCATCTCCACCGATCTTCGCTGCCATGCGCGCCATTTTCAGCCGGAGCGGCAGCTTCGGCAGTCTGCGAGCCGCCCCACCGCGCCAGGCAACCCCCGCGGGAAAAAAATCCCCGGACGACGAGCTAGACGACGGCCATTTCTTCGACGAGCTCCTCCTCGAGCACTCGGACACCTTCGAGACGCAGCGCTCGGCGCGGAAGCGCTTCGCGGGCTACATGCACGCCCGCCGGACACGCGCATACCGCTTCAAGGCCTGGCTCGCGCTGCAGCGCGATGCCGCTCGAGATCGGGTGGCGCGGCGGGCGTCGCGCTCCTACGCCGACCCGCTCTCGACGGCGCGCCACTCGCCCAAGCATCTCCGCCAGCTCCTCGGCGCGCCGACGCCCTCGCGGCGGGACCCGACGAAGTCCGCGATGGCCTCGATCCTCATCAATCTCTGCATCGCGTCGACCAAGGTCGGCGAGCGGCGGTCGCCGCCGTTCGCCTCGCGCGCCATCAACATGGACTTCGCCGAGCACGCGCTCGACGCGCCGTTCGCCGCGGCGCCGGGGCGGCCCGTCTCGCCCCCCAACGCGCCCGGCCCGTTCACGAAGCGGAACCCGCCCAGCCCGCCCGCGAACACGCGGTCGCTCTGAGAAGGCCGCGGCGTTTGAGCGCCGCCGCCGCTGTTTGTTGTACACCTCCCGTTCGTTGTGACCATAACCTGATTGATCATACATATCTCTCTATCTATCTAGCGCCGAGGATGCCGCTGCGTTCCAAACTTCAATATTGGCGCGCCGCGCCGAGGACGCCGGCGCGCGGCAGCATCTTCGCGAAATCAAAACATCGAGTGTCGCGCCCGAGGATGGGACGCTGGTATTTTGGAAAACGTGTTGGTGTCTGTCGCCCTTACGACACGGCCCTCCATGCTCTCCTCGAAGCAGAGGCAGACAAGATGAACGTGAGCGTCGACGACCTCGTGCGGAAGAGCGACCCCTACGAGCTCGGCGGGCCGCTCCAGCGCGCGGGCATGGCGTGGAACGGCGTGTGCGGTCATACGGTCCTCCAACGCTACCGGACTCACTTCGCTCCGCCCGCGTCGGGCCGCAACGACAATCATTTTCGGAGCGACCCGCAGGACGACGAGGCCGTGACGCGCGGCGAGCACGATGGCGCTATCCGCCGCGCCGCAGCGACCGCCATCCTCGCCCTCGGGGCGACCCGCGGCATCAACGCGTGCTACGTCAACCATTACCTCGACGCCGTGCAGGTCACAATCCCAAAGGTCAGCCAGCGGCTCAAGGCGATGGGCGCGCGCACCGCCGTCATGCGCGGCTGGGCCGAGGATCTCCGCGCGGAGCACGCGGCGGTCGAGGCGAGCCTCGCCGGTTCGTGCTTCTACGAGCTCGACAAGAACGGCGAGCGCGAGAGCGACGACGAGTGGGTCCTCCTCCGCGTGGGCGTGCACGCCGACTACACCGAGACGGTCGCGTTCTGCGCGCTCGCCGACGTGGCCGAGCCCGACGAGGAGGACGAGGAGCTCTTCCTGCTCGAGGACGTCGTCGGCTACATCGAGGGCCGCGGGTCGGCTCCGCCGGAGGAGCCCGAGGCCTACGAGGCGCCCGCGCCGCCGCCGCCGCCGGTGTCGCCGCTCAAGCGCACGCGCGCCGAGCGCGACGCGGCGGAGCTGCTCGAGACCCAGCGCTCCTGGCTGCGATCGGGCGCGCGGACGCAATCCAAGGCCGCTCGACGGGACCGCGCGGCCTGGGAGGCCGAGGCCAAGGACGACGTCGAGGACGACGACGAGTACTTCATCTGGGAGCCGCCGCGCCTCGAGTTCGGCGAGGATTCCCGCCCGACGAAGAAGCTCCGTCGCTACGCGCTCCTCGACGAGTCCGACGTCAAACTCCTCGCCTCGGAGCCCTTCGAGTGCATGACGGCCCCGTTACTGGCCAAGGGCGTGCCGCGGTCGAGCGGCCTCGACATCCTCCGCATCGGCCGCGTGTCCTACGAGTTCGTCGGCGACCCGACGGGCGACCTCCTGAGGACCGCCATCTCGATCGTCCGCGACCACATGGACGCCAAGGCGATCAACGCGCGCGGCGAGGGCCTCGACGTCGTCTCCTTAGCCGACGGCGTCAACATGTCGCGGAAACGCGCCCAGGCCAAGTGCCTGTGGCTCCACGGCCACAACGACGGCACGTTCTCGGAGGGCTCGAGGAGCGTGGTCGGCTGGGTCGAGCACCTCGCCGCGCAGGAGCGCGGCAAGCGGAAGAAGGCGTTGACCTTTTTCGCCGCGCTGCTCAAGCGCGGCCTCGAGACGCGCACGCTCGAGGGCGAATTGGCCTGCTACGGCGAAGGCGACCAGGGCAACGAACACGTCGACGCGGAGGTCAAGGAGCGCTTCCTCTACAACGACCACACCTACCGCGGCGGCCAGCCCGCGGGCACGATGATCGCGGGGCCCATCGTCTTCCGCCTCGCGCTGTCGGTCCAGGGCAGCCGGAGCATGTCGATCTTCGGCAACCGCGGCGCGATCGCGACGATCCAGCGGAGCGCGGCCGAGCGCACCGGCGCGCTGTTCCTCGGCGGCGCGCACACGTGGCAGCGCGGCGAGTTCCGCCACCGGAACGATTACGGCGAGGCGAAGGGCACGACGCTCATCCTGACGTTCCGCAAGGACGTCTCCGGCAAGTTCGCGCACATGTCGGAGGCCGAGCGGCTCCTCGCCCACTACGGCCTCGCGCTCTCCAACGCGTAAGCGACCCGTCGCGACGACGACGACGTTGACGAGCGCCACGCGGCGTCGCCGCGCGGCCAGCAGGGCCTCTCGCCCTTCAAGCGATTCGCGGACGCGCAGTCCGCGGCTCGTATCACCCCACGACCCCACGCTCCCACGACCTCACGACCACGACCCGACGCTCCCACGACCTCACGACCACGACCCGGCGCTCCCACGACCTCACGACCACGACCCGACGCTCCCACGACCTCACGACCACGACCCGACGCTCCCACGAATCACGACCACGACCCCACGGCCTCACGGCCTCACGACTTCACGACCACGTCCCGGTCAAAATTGACCTACTTTCTGCACCAAGGCTTTAAATAGTAACATCACAGACACACACACTATCCTTCATTTCTATGGCATCCTGATGATACGACGCGCCCACCGGTGGCTCTAGATATGCCGGCGCGGCTATAGCCCCGCCCCAGTCCGCCAGGAAGTCCCTCGCGAGCCCGTGGCCGGGCCGCTACGCGCTCGGGATCCGCTGGGAACCGCTGGGTGCCCCCCATCCCGTCCGCCGTACGACGAGAGAGCTTGCGTTAACGGGGGGAGGTGGGACGACGGCGGTGGCCTAGTTGTCGGCCGGCGGCACGGTGTCCGCGTCGTCGTCCGGCGGCGGCGCGGCGTCGTCGTCGTCGTCGGACGACTCGTGGACCGCGAGGATCGCGTTCTCGTCGACGTTGGCGTTGATGTCGTCGGAGAGGATGTACTTGATGCGCTGGCAGCACTTGCGGAGGAGGGGCGAGAGCGCGATGAACTCGCCGCGGAGCTGGAGGCAGTTGTGCATCTTCATGAGGATGTTGCCGACGTGCCAGATGCGCTGCTTGAGCTTGTGGCGGTCGAGCGAGGAGAGCTTGTCCGTCGGCGGCATGCGGCGGTCCTTGGCGATCTCGAAGATGTGGGCGTCGAGGGGCTCGCCCGGCGCCACGGCCAGCTTGAGCGCGTCGCGCTCGTCGTCGCGGAGCGACGTGAGGCCGTCGAGGCGCGCCTGCGACTCCTCGAGGATCTTCTCCCACTTGGCCCACTTCTTCGTGCGCTCCGGGTCCTTCTTCATCCACGTGCCCTCGTCCAGGGGCACGGCGCCCTTCTTGCAGCGCACGCGGTCGACGATGTGCAGGAACACGGAGAAGAACTCGATCTGCACGGCCTCGGAGCCCGCGTCCTCCGACGCGCGCTTGAAGTTGAAGCGGTTCTTGACGAACTCGGCCATGAGCAACGGCATGGCGTAGGCCAACGCCACGGACTCCGGCAGGTAGTCGCGGAGCTCCCAGACCATGCAGAGCTTGGGCCGCACGTCGTCGTGCATCGAGTCGCCGCCGCCGTCGTCCTCGCCGCCGTCCGCCTTGTGGATCCAGAGGCCCAGCACCTTGAGCGCCTCCAGCGCCGCGTCGACGCGCGTCGCCGCGTCGAGCGCCGTGCGCTTCGTGCCGTCGTTGAACTCGGACAGCGACGCGGCGCTCAACCGCAGCAGGCACTTGCGGTCGACGTTCGCGCATAACGCGACGGGCGAGCACTCCGCGGACAGCGCGAGGGGCAGCGCCATGGTCGGGAAGTGGGGCGGCTTGCCCAGGATCGCCGGCACCGTGCCGACCATGAGCTTGCGGATGCGCGGCCAGGACATGCCCAGGTACACCAGATTGCCCTGCGTGTCGAGGCCGCGGCGGCCCGCGCGGCCCGCCATCTGCTGCGCGAGCAGCGGCGTCAGCAGGGACCCCTCGTCGCCGCAGAACATGACCGTGCGGAAGGGCATGTTCACGCCGTAGGCCAGCGAGACGTCGCTGAACACGATGGCGAGCTTGCCCTGCTGCGCGAGCCGCTGGACGACCCGGCGGTAGACCGCGAACGCCGCGTCGTCGATGTAGATGGCGAAGCCGCGGCGCAGGGCGCGCACGAGGATGTGGTTCGCCGGCAGGGCCTCGCGGCCCTGCGTGTCGCGCTTCAGCTCATCCAGAATGTCGTCGATCTCCTTCGCGGAGAGCCGCGTCGTCGGCGGCGCGAGCACGAATTCCGGGTGCGGCGCGGACACGTCGACAAAGGTCTCGCCGCCGTCGTCGAAGCCCTCCTTGGCCTCCTCCTCGGCCTCCTTGGCGTTGCGCGCCGCGTTCTTCGCGCGGGCCTCGTTCTCCTTGGCCTTCTCCTCCGCCTTCTTCTTGAGCTCGTCGCCGTACTCGGGGTACCGCGCGTCCTGCGCCTCCTCGAGTTCGATGAGCAGGCTCTTGAAGAGCGCGAGGCAGCGGAAGCTGTCAAGATGAAACGCCAAAGCCGGAAATAGCAGCTTGGCGCGCATCTGCGTCGCGACGTTGAGCATGGAGAAGGACCGGCCGTTCTCGCCCACAGCGGCCGACTCGAGCTTCTTCAGGTGGCCGGGCACGAAGCCGTCGAGCACGCCGCCGAGCTTGGGCGCGTTCTTCGCCGCCTCGTCGTAGAGGCGCTGCTTCAACGCGAGCTCGTAGGCCTTGGCGTGGTCCAGCGTGATGCGCGCGCGCGCGGACGCCGCGGCCTTGCCCGCGTCGCCCGCGAGCTCCGGCGGCGGCGCGCCGCCGCGCTTGACGAAGGCGGCGCGCGCCGCCAACCGTTCCTGCTCCTCGCCGGCGGCGAGGCGCTCGAAGAAGGCCTTGGGCTCGAGGTCCTCGACGGCGGCGCCGTACTCGGCGACGAGCTTGCCGTAGAGCTGCTTCGAGTCGGCCGGCGTCATGGCGAAGGCGATCTTCTCGTCGCCCAGGAGCTGGTCCGTCGTCAGCGCCGCGCAGGGGTGGAGCCGGTCGAGCTTCGCGTCCGGGTCCAGCACGAGGTTCTGCACGTTGATGAAGCGGCCGCTGTGCTCGACGAGCTCGACGCGGTCCGAGGACTCGACGCCGTCGACGAGCGCGCAGTCGTCGCGGACGCCCTGCCACCAGCCCTGGAGCTGGGCCGCGTTGCCGATGGTCGCCGACAGCGCCAGCGTCGGGCAGGTCACGGAGCGCACGAGGCGCTGGAGCGCCGCGCCCTCGTCGCCGTCGAGCGCGTGGACCTCGTCGAAGACCGCGTAGTCGAAGTCGAAGCCGCCGTCGAGCTGGGCGTAGTCCCAGCGCTTCGACGTCGCCTCGTCGCCGACCTGGCCGCGGATCTTCACGAGGCTCGACTCGAGGGCCAACGGCGTGCCGACGACGATGCGCGACTTGTCCTCGGACGGCCGGTACGCCAATTGGTTCGTCGCGAGGGCCACCTGGGACGCGCCCGCCAACAACTTCTCGAACATGGCCGCGACCTGCCACACCAACGGCTCCGTGGGCACGACGAAGAGCACGCGGTCGTTGGCGACGCACGTGTACGTCGAGATGACCGTCTTGCCCGACGACGTCGGCGCGCAGACGACCGCGGACTTGCCCGCGTCGATGTGGCGCAGCACCTTCTTCTGCCACGCATCTAAGCGCCAGCTCTTGAGGAAGGGCGACAGCGGCGGCAGGCGGTTGTACATCTCCTCGAGCTGGAACGACGCGAGCGCGCCGGCGAGCTCCTTCCGGACCTTCTTCGCCGCGCGCAGCTCCTTGCGGAACTCGTGGACGAGGGCCGCGCCGGGCGACTTGGGCGCCTCCTTCTTCTTCTTGTCCTCGCCCTTCTTGTCCTTGGCCTTCTTGTCGTCCTTCTTCTTCTTCTTGTCCTTCTCGTCGTCGTCGCCGTCGTCGGCCTCGGCGAGCGCCGCGTGGTAGAGCGGGTTCGCCTCGACGGCCCAGAGCACGTCGAGCGCCGCGGGCCGCGAGTCGTTGCCGAGCTCCGCGTCGAGGACCATGAGGAGCTGGCGGAGCTTGCCCAGCGCCGTCGCGCACTTGGTCGCCATGATCGTCGCGCCGAGCTGGTCCTTCTTCCGGCACGCCTTGGACGCGTTCTCGAGCTTCTCGAGGTCGGCCTTGACGTCCTTGTCCTCGGAGTCGCGCTTGTTCTTCTCGATCATCTCCTCCTTCTTGCTGAGCTTTTTTGGTTTCGCGTCCTTCTTCTTCTTCTTGTCCTCGCCGGCCGACTTGGCGGCCGCGGCCGCGTCGGCCTTGGCCTCGGCGACGCGCTCCTTCTCCTTGTCCCACATGATGCGGGGGTCGAAGGCCGTGTCCGGCGCGAGGTTGCGGAGCACGACGGGCATGCGCGACTTCGTCTCCTTGTAGCTCTCGCGCCGGTTCTTCCGGACCCAGATCGTCTCCTGCGGGTAGGACTGCCAGTAGACGTCGATGGTGCGGCTCGGCACGGCGGCGTTCTCCGCCGTCGGCTCCTCCTCCTTCTTCTCCTCCGGCGGCGGCGGCGGCGCGGCCGACGAGATGCTCCCGGAGAAGCCGCCGCCCGCGACCTGGCGGCCCTTGTAGCCGAGGCCGCCGCCGGGCGCCGCGCGGACGTCGCGCTGCGCCGGCCCGCTGGGCGGCGCCACGGGCGGCGCGCGCCGCGGGTCCATGGCCATGGCGCCGCCGCGCGCGGGCGCGGGCGCCGCGCCGCCGCCGTAGCGCGGGTCCATGCTCTTGGCGCCGCCCGGCGCCGCCGCGCCGCCGCCGTAGCGCGGGTCCATGGACCGCGCGCCGCCGGGCGCCGGCGCGCCGCCGTCGCGGCCGCCGCGCATGGCCGCGCGGATGTCCTCGGCGCCGCCGCCGCCGCGCTGCGGCGCGCCGCCGCCGTAGCGCGGGTCCATCGACCGCGCGCCGCCGCCGCCGAAGCCGCCGCCGCCGCCGCGGTCGCCGAAGCCGCCGCCGCGGTCGCCGCCGAAGCCGCCGCCGCCGCCGCCGCCGCCGCCGCCGCCGCCGCCGCGGCGCCAGGACGTGTCCTGGTCGGACCGGCTCGGCCCCTGGGACGACTCCTTCATGTCACGGGTGATCCCCGTCTCCTGGCCGAACTCATCCATGCTGGTGGCGCCCGCCCGACCGGAAACGAGGGCGCGACCTTGTCGAAGCCTGTGAGAGCGACGACCGGGAAGCGCCTCGTGACCGGACGAGACGAGCGAAGCTGTGTGTGCGGAAGGCGACGACAACACAGAGGCTGGCGCGACTTTGTAATCGCTGGATAAAGCAGGGCGCGATGCAAGACGGCGTCAACAAAACCTGAACATTTCGTTGAACGAGTGTTACCGCGGGCGATGTGGTCCGGGCGGGTGGATGTCGAGGTGGTTCACGGGCGGCAGCGACGGCGGCCAGTCGTCCCAGCCGAGGGGCTGCGCCACCCGCGGCCCGCGGCACGGCGGGAAGCCCGGCCGCGCCGGGCAGTCGACGTGGATGGGCTCGACGTAGTCCGACTGGTAGTTGCGGTGGGAGCAGGCCGCCTTGACGTCGATCTTGTGGTCGCGGGGGTCGCCGTGCGCGCGGAGGTACTCCTGGACGCCCTCCTTCGGGTTGAAGTAGCCGCCGTTGTGCATCTCCGCGTTGCCGAAGCAGCACATGCCGCGGCGCATCTGCGCCTCCTTGTCGCGCCAGAAGCCCTGGCCCGCCGCGGCGAAGTTCCAGCGCCAGATCGTCGTGTTGAACAGCGCCTCCTCGACGACGTCGAGGTCGTAGAGCTCGCAGTGGGGGCGGTCGAGCTGCCAGGACCGCTTCCGCGTCTTCAGGCCGTGGAGCTGCGCGACGACGCTCCGCGCGGCCTGGCCGCCGCAGCACTGGCGGAGCACGTCCCAGTGGGCCATGTACTCGCGCACCATGAGGAACTGCTCGTCGCTCACGTCCGGGAAGACCGCGCGGAAGTTCCGCCGGATCGACGCGAGGCCCAGTTCCACGAACTCGTCGTAGGCCTGGACGCCGCCGAGCGCGCCGCGCTCCGGGAACGGCAGCGCCGCGAGCTCGGCGGCCACGTCCTCCTGGCGCGACGACACGAAGTAGAGGGCCTCGGGCACGGGCGCGCCGTCGGGCGGCGCGCCGAGGTCGAAGACCTGGTGCGCCTTCCCGACGCGGACCTCGCCGGGATGCTCCGCGGCGAGCGCCGCGAAGCGCGGCCCGCTGATGCCCTTGGGCTCGAAGCCGCACGAGACCTTCTTCCGGTAGCCGCCGGGGCTGCCCAGGCCGTGGCTGAGGTGCGCGAGGACGCAGACGACCATGAAGTCGAAGGTCGACGCCGTCCGAGGCTGCCCGTACTGCATCAAGAGCTCGTACTCGCTCGCGTTGACCGTCTCCGGTCGCGCGAGGAGCACCATGGATGCGCGCGCGTGCAAAGCGGTGCTACTACTGAGGTGCTACGAGCGAGCGGTGCGAGCTAGCTGCGGCGGTAATACTCGCAGCCCATAATCGCGGCGCCCGTCGCAGCTTCATCAACCGGCACCTCATGTGAAGCCAAAGGTTACCCTAACAGCAGAGCAGCATGGCGACGATGCCGCCGAGGACGACGGCCTTCCAGAGCGCGAGCCACCGGTCCGTGGCGTCGCGCTCGCCGCGGCTCCGCCACAGGATGCGGTGGAACTGGAGGCCGAAGAGCGACGGGAACGCGTCCTCCTCCGCGCGCGCGGCGGTGGAGAAGGGCAGCGGCGGCGCGTCGCGCGCCGTCGGGCTGCCCGTGCCGCGCCGCGGCGAGCCGCGGCCCGGCGAGTCGTAGCCGCCGGGCCGCCGCGCGGGCGACGGCGTCCGGCTCCGCGGCCGCGGGACGGGCGACGCGGGCCGCCCGCGGAGCTTCTCGAGCTCGCCGTCGCGCTCGTCGGACGCGTAGAGCGGCGTCACCTCGTTGCGGTCCACGCGCGCGCTGCACACGGGGCACCGGTTGTGGCCCGCGTCGAGCCAGCGGTAGAGGCACTGCCAGCAGTACAGGTGGCCGCAGGCCGTGACCACCGGTTCGATGGCGTGCGCCTCGAGGCAGACGGCGCAGCTGTAGCGGTTCGTCGACGCCGCGCCGCGCGGGCTCGCCTGGCGCGCGTCCATCGGTGCGCGCCGGGCGCGGCGCCGACGTTCTTGCAGCGGTGGTTGCCGCGCACGATCGGCCTCGCCACAAGGTGTGGGCGCCAGTTGGCACGACCCGCGCCGGGACGCGCGCGCCGCACGAGGTCGAATTTAACATGGCGTCGCCCGTCGACATCCTCGGCACGAATGCGATGGACGCCAAGTTCGAGTTCAAGCAGGACAACCCGAAGCGCTGCCCGTCGGCGTCCTACGACCGCTACGAAGGCTACAAGGCGGCGACGAGCCTGCGCGAGATGCTCGCCCTCGGCGGGACGCGCGCCGACTACAAGAACGACCGCGGCAAGGGCTACATCAAGCTCGAGGGCGAGGCCGAGTTCCGGGCCGTCGCGGCGCCGAAGCGCAAGCCCGCGGCGCCGTCGGCGGACCCGCGGGGGCCGCGCGTCAAGAAGGTCAAGGGCGGGCCGAGCTCCGCGCCGTCCTTCAGCGCCGCGGGCGCGCCGCCGGCCGCGCCGCCGCCGCCGAAGCGCGCGGGCTTCGTCATCTACTGGAAGGTCGACTCGAAGATGATGTCGTGGGACGACGCGCGGACCTTCGCGGGCAAGACCGACGAGCAGCGGCGCGCGGCCCAGGACGAGACGGAGACGGCGGCGCGGCGCTACGACGGCATGGGCGTCGACTCGTCCACGGTCTACGCCGACCTCGACGCGGCCAACGGCGCCGCGCTCGCGCTCTGCCTCAAAAAGGTCGGCGACATGGCGACCGAGAACGCCGTCGTCAAGCCCTGCGAGGACATGATCATGCCCAGCGAGGGCACCATCGTCAACTCCTGCACGAAGAACGACGACGGCTGCGCGACCTACCGCACGGCCGTGCACCTCACCGTCGACGCGATCCAGACCGGCGCGGAGAACCTCTCGCGGACCTCCATCACCGTGAAGACCATATACCAGAGCTCCTAGGCCGGCGGGTCCGGGCGGCCACCCGCGGCGGGAGCGCTCCCCGCCAAGTTAAGACGAAGAAGACCGACGAGTAGACCGGCGTCGACGCGGCGGCGCGCGCGCGCGCAAACGTAAGTGGAGTGAGCCGCTCTCTCGGTCGTCGTGGAGGATCATGTAGTCCTCGCCTCTCGTGCTCGCTGATAGTGTACTCCGCGTACTCCTGCCCTAGGGGCGAGGACTGACGCGTTGCAGCCTCGTAGGTCGTCGTCTCTAAAAGTGTCTCTAAACCGATATTGCCACAGAGGTGTTTCCGGCGACGAGCATTCAACGCTCGGCGAACCGCGTCCGGGCGCCCCCCCTCGCGCCCGCCCTCACCCCCGTCGCGCCGCCCGTGGTCGCCGGGCGCCATGGTGACGGTCTGGCAGGACAAGGACGACAAGTACTGGCGGCGCTGGCGGCGCCTCGGCCCCAACACGAACATCACCCACGTCGACCAGTGCGCCGACGACGACGAGGCGTCGATCTGCGGAACTCTGACAAAACGATGGTGGTTCGGCTTCTGGCGGCGCGACGTCTACGCCCAGCTCTGCGGCGGGGAGCTGAGCTTCTTCGCGAGCGAGGAATCGGACGGCGTCCTCGACGCTTTGGAGCTCGCGCCGGCGTGCCGCGTGGAGATCGCCAGGGGTTCCGTCGTGCTGCTCCCCGACGGCCCGGCCACGAAACACTTCGCCGCGATCGTGCTCGGGTGCAAGTTCCCCGCGGACTGCGAGCTCTGGCGCGCGCTCCTCCGACGGGCGATCTCGCGCCGGGCCAAGAAGGAGACGATGGCGCGCGAGAAGAAGGGCGACCTGCGCGACTTCCTCGGCGCGCGCGAGGCGACGGCGCGGCGGGGGCCGGACGCGGCGCCCTTCGATCCCTGGAAGTGCTACGACCTCGTTCGGACCGCGGGCGCGGGCTCCTACGGCGTCGTCGTCGAAGCTTTGGACCGGGCGACGGGCCGCAAGGTCGCCATCAAGAAGGTCATGCGCGCCTTCGAGGACCTGACGGAGTGCCGGCGCCTGGCCCGCGAGCTGCGCCTCCTCCACTCCCTGAGCCACCGCAACGTGCTCCCGGTCTACGACGCGTTCCGCCGGCCGGAGACCGACGACGTCTTCCTCGTGTCGCGGCTCTGCGACAGCGACCTCCACGCGATCATCTACGCGCGCGAGTCGCCCCTGTCGCCGCGCCACGCCCGCGTCATCGCCTACCAGCTCCTGGAGGCGCTGCGCCACGTCCACGCGGCGGGCGTGTTGCATCGGGACCTGAAGCCGTCGAACGTCCTCGTCGACGAGGACTGCGACGTCGTCTTGTGCGACTTCGGGCTCGCGCGCGCGCCGCCGCCGCGGGAGGCGCGGGTCCCGTTGCGGCGGCCCGCGTCGCCGGCGTCGGACGGCCACCTGCTCACGGAGTACGTGGTCACGCGCTGGTACCGAGCGCCGGAGCTGCTCCTCGCGAACGGGTCCTACGACGGCGCGGTCGACGTCTGGGCCGCGGGCTGTATATTGGCGGAGATGGTGCGCAAGCGGCCCCTCTTCCCGGGCAAGCACGTCGCGCACCAGGTCGAGCTCGTCGTCTCCGCGCTGCGGGCGCTCGAGCCGGCCGACTTCCCCGCGGCGTTCGAGGGTTTGACGAATTCGCGCGCGCGGAGCTTCGCGGAGCGCGTCCGCGCGGACGCGTCGCGGCCGCCCACCTGGGCGTCGCGCGTGCCGGACCTCGACGACGCGGGCGTCGACGTGCTCGCGGCGCTGCTCCGCTTCGACGCGGGCGACCGCGCGACGGCGGCCCGCGCGCTCGACGCGCCCTACTTCGCCGCCGCGCGCGACTACTGCAAGATCCACCTCGCCCGGCCCGCCCTCGACCGCACGCCCCTCGACGCGTCCATCGGCTCGAACGCCAGCTGCCTCTGCGAGGACGACGTCGACGTCGACCTCGGCGACGTCGAGGCCGCGGCGGACGTCGACGCGCTCAAGCGCATCCTCGTGGCGCGCGAGTTCAAGCGCACGGACCCCGCGTGGTGATGCGTATACTAGGATGCCAATCCTCGGACTGCGGACCTTGCTAACCCCGCCGACCTTGCACAGCAACAAAGGGTCAACAACCACCGAAGCATTTGGCGATTTGCGAGGCTCCGTCGTCGCGCAACCCAAGCACATCATGGCCGCCATCGTCGACCACGCCGCGATCCAGGCGCAGAGCCTGCCCGACCTCGCCGCGCCGGAGAAGGGCACGCTGGCGTCGAAGCAGCCCTTCCTCACGCCGGACAAGACGACCTACGCCGACGCCAAGGGCCTCGACGGCTCCTTCAAGCTGCCGGACGTGGGCTCGCTCAAGTTCGTCAAGGGCGACTACCCCCACCCTTCGAAGCCCGTCGCCGTCCTCTTCTGGGGCAAGTACGCCAAGGGCGACTACCGCACCATGGTCCACTTCTCCTACCTCATGCGCGCGCTGCCCGAGCTCCAGGTCCTCGGCGTGTCGTGCGACGCCGTCTTCGAGGACTGCGAGGCCATGCTCAAGAAGAACAACACGCCCATGCCGACGCAGTCCATCGACGAGCTCATCTTCGACATGTCCCTCGCCTTCGACGAGGGCAAGAAGGTCAAGGACGCCTTCGCCAAGGTCGGCAAGGCGCCCGCCCCCGGCTTCGCGTTCCTCTTCGACGGCGCCGGCACGCTGGTCTGGAAGGAGGTCTTCACGTCGTCCTGGAACCTCAAGCAGGGCCAGTTCGCCGAGCAGTGCGCCCTGCTCCTCGCCGGCAAGCCGCTCATCGACAACGGCGCGAGGCCCGCGGAGAGCGACGACGAGGACGAGGAGGAGGCCGTCGTCGGCGACATCGACATCCCGGACCTCGACGCCGGCGACTACTAGGCAACGCCTCGCCCGGCGACGTAAGGTGCCCCCGCCTTACGACTTCACACGGGGAAGACCGCGGCGATCTCGCGCTTCATCGTCGTCGGCGACGACGTCCCGACGGTGGCGACGCGGACGCCGCCCTTGTAGAGGAGGAACGTGGGCGTGGACGTGATGCCGTGCTTCGCCGCGAAGGACCGGTCCCGCGTCGCGTCGACGCGGAGGAAGTCGACCGTCGACGCCCGTTGGAGCCGCGCGTAGTGGGGCTCGAGGCGCCGGCAGGAGTTGCAGAACTTGGCCGTGACGAAGACGACGGCGTCGCCGACGGGGTCGGCGTCGAGGTCGTCGACGTCCTCGACGTCCTCGTCCCAGGCGAACTCGTCCCGGAGCGCGTCGTCGATGGCCCCGAAGTCCACCAACGCCACGGACGGCACGCAGACGTCGAGCGCGAGCCTTTTCCGCGTCTCGCCGTCGTTGGGCCACCCGAAGGCCTCCGCGTAGGCGTCGCCCCCCAACGGCCCGAGCTTGACCGCGGCGGCCGCGAGCAACGGGTTCAGCGAGAAGCCGCCGCCGCCGCGCCGCGCGAGCGGTCGGGGCGCGGCCTCCAACGCCAAAGGCAGCGCGGCCTCGACGGCCGCGGCGTCGAGGCGCAGCGGCGTCGGCGTCCGCGCGTCCGACCCGAGGCCCCAGTCGAGCGCCGTCCGCACGTCCGGGTCCAGGCACGACGCGTACGACGCGCGGTTGCCCTCGTCGCCGGCGAAGTCGAGGACCACGCTCCCGGCAAAGGCGTCCTCCTGCCCTTCGAAATAGTCGTTCTCCTCGCCGTCGTCGTCCGCGGCGAGCGCGGCGGGGTGGCACGCCTCGGCCGCGCCCCGGTCCATCGCGTCGCTCACGCCGCCGCGGCGCGCGGTGACGACGCGCGGCGCGCTGCCCAGCGCCGCGAGGGCTTGTGTGGCGGCGAGCGCCGCGTCCGTCGAGCCGAGCACCGTGACGAGCGCGCCGCGGGGCGAGCCGCCGCCGGCGGCCGCGAGCCCGGCGGCGACGTCGAGCGCCGTGAGCACGTCCTTTGGTGCTACACAGCCGCTGGCGGCGGCGGCGAGCGTGACCGTCGCGCCGGGTTTCGCGCCGGCCGCGCAGAGCCCGAAGACGTCGTCGCCCGCCTCGTCCGTGCCGGCGACGGCGACGACGTCGTGGACGGCGCCGAGGTCGCCGCCGAAGGACTTGTAGAGCGAGCCGGACACGCGGCCGTAGGCGACGTCGGAGACGACGCACGTGCGCGGTGCCGAGAGCGACGCGCTGAGCGCCGCGCTGAGCGCGGCCAGCAGCTGCAAGAAGGATCGGCCCATTGCCCTGGTCCGGAAAGCCGCAGCCAACCTGGAATGGTGAAGTCATCATTGCAGATACGTCCAAGACGCAGCCCCATCACTCGCGCCCACCATCGATCGTCGCGCATCACAGTCGACTTCCGAAAAGGCTTAGCAGACGAGCGGCGCCGCGGAGACCATGAAGCTCTTCGCCTTCCAGCCCCCGTCCGGCCCGACGCACAACATCGACGTCCAGCTGAGCGACACGGCGCGCGGCCAGCGCCGCTTCCGACTTCGCGGGCGCGCGCCGCGACGCGGCCGACGGCGCCGCGGCGGCGGCCGCGGCGCCGCCGCCGGCCCGCGCGCGCCCGGCGGACCGTATGCCGCGACGCCGCCGACGCCGGACGAGAACCGGCGCAACCCTCGCAGATTAGTTCGACGAAGAAGAAGCTCGAGGCCGTGATGCCGCACACGAACGTCCTGAAGGTGCGCGCGCGCCGCGCGACACCGTCCCCGAACCCGACGCCGCGCGTCGTAGGCCGAGAAGCAGATCCTCATCTACAAGGGCAAGAAGATGGACGACGACTCCGCATCGCTCGAATCGTACGGCATGGCGCAGGACCCGAGCCTCCGCAAGCAGTCCATCACCGTCACGGACCACTAGAGAGGCCCGCGCCCCCCGCCACCGTAACGGGCCGTCTTTCGTTAGGCTTTGCCCTCGTAGGAGCGGATTTGGGGGGGCGCGTCGTCGCCGCCGGTGAAGACGCAGTTCAGGCTGCAGAAGTCGGCGTTTTCGGTTTGCGCGCGCGTCTCGTCGTCGCGCTCGAGCTCGAGCGCGAGGGACGCCTCCCAGGCGCGCCCCTCGACCGTTGGGATGGCGATGCGCGACGCGACGTCCTCCTCGTCGCTCACGGACACGAGGTCCGCCTTCCGCGACTTGGACCGCTTCTTCTTGCCGTCGCGCGCGCGTAGACCGCTTTTGCCCTTGGCTAGAATCGCGTCGTTCGCGTGGATGGCGAGCTCCTCGATGCGGGCGAAGTACTCGCTCTGCTGCTTGGACGTCTCGTCCTCGCAGTCGCTCCGGTAGAGCGCGTGGAGCAGGGCGCCGAAGCACCCCTTGCGCTTCTCCGCCTTCTCCTCGCCGACGTGGAGCGACCGGGGCAGCAGCGCGATCTGCGCGACGTCGCCCGGCGGGCGCGCGAAGAACTTGGTCGAGATGTCGTCGAGCAGCGCCGCCGCCGCGTCGAAGTCGGCGTTGTCGCAGGAGCAGAGGTAGTAGAGCATGGACGGCCGGTCCTCGACGGACACGAGGTCGTAGACGTGGCGCTTGATGGGGTCGGTGCTGCACTGCTCGACGTAGCGCTGGAGCTTGCACATGACCCCGAAGAAGGACGTGCGCTCCGTGTGGTGGAGCGTCGCGACGAAGTCGATGATGCCCGGGAAGCTCCGGGACACCGAGTTCCAGTACATGGACCGGTGGTCCGCGCTGTAGACGGACGTGCAGCTCACGTCGGAGAGGATCACGCGGCACTTCTTCGCGACGCGGGCCATGGCCGCCACGGCGTCGGCGTCGCGCCGGCTCGCGTCGACCCACGCGCGCCACGCGAGCGGGTGGAACGAGTTCGAGATCTCGCCGGCCGCCTCGAGCGCGGACTGCGTCTCCGAGTCGCGCCGCGGGCCCCGCGGGCTGAGGGCGAGGCTAGTGAGCGACCGCAGCATCTCCTCGGGGTGGAGCGCCGACGAGCCCACGGCCGCCAGCGACCGGCGCACCGTCGCGCCCATGGACGCGAGCGACCCGCGGAGCGTGTGCGCCTCGGGCTGCGCCTCCCGGAAGCGGCCCTCGTCCGCGAGCTGGACGAGCGCTACCTTGATCTCCTTCTCGGCGCCCCGCCGCGCGCCGCGCCGCACGCCCTCGCAGATCGCCGATTGCGAACAGGCCGCGAAGTGGACGACCTGGCCGAAGATGACCCACGTGAACCAGAACTGCGAGAACCGCGCGCGCTCCCTCAAAATGCCCGCGAGGAGCGCCAGCGCCACGAGCTGCAGGCCCATGGTCTCCAGGCGGTTCAGCCGCGGCTCGATGTAGGGCTCGTTGCGCAGGTGGTCCGCGTAGGTCTGGAACACGGCCGCGAGCGCGATGGCGATCTGGAGCAGCGGGTCGTCGAACATGGTCGCCGCGAGGCAGATGACGACGGACAGGTAGATGCGCCGGATGCGCCAGCCGTGGTGCGGCGCGCGGAACGCCCCAAAGTTCCAGCCCAGCAGGTCCTGCACGTGGCTGTGGTGCACGCCGCCGTTCGCCTCGCACTCGTACTCGATGGACCCCAGGAGGAGGTGGGGCAGGCCCAGCGTGAAGACGACCGTCGTCGACAGGCCCAGGATGATGAGGAACGCCGCGTTGGGCCCGTCGCAGGACTCGTCGGGCTGCTCCCGCAGGAACTTGGCGTCGTAGCCCTCGAACGCGTCGCAGCGGAACGACGCGAACGCGTTGAACGCGATCGTCGTCTGCTGCACGTCGATGAGCGCGAGGACCGACGCCGCGGCCCGCGTCGCGCGCGGGCCGTAGGGGCCGTCGTAGTAGTGCAGCGACGCGTAGACGCCGCAGGGCCGCAGCCGCCCCGCGCAGACGTCGCGGGCGACGTCGTAGACGATGGGCCCAAAGTTGACGACGAAGCCGACGACGACGACGCCGAACTGGGCGACGACGGACCGCGTGAACGTCCAGCCGATGACGCAGCTCGGCTTCAGGATGTCGATGTCGAAGAGCGCGACGTCGAGCAGGATCTCGTAGTAGCCGAGGTTCGCGGGCGCGTTCGCGTAGTTGAAGCGGCAGATGATCGCCAGGAGCTGGAGGAAGTAGGTCATGATGTCGAGCGACGGGAAGACCTCCAGGAGGTACTTGTTCCTACGACATGTGCGACGTTTCGTCGCGCGCCCTCTCTCGAAAAACCGTCGCGGGACGCGGGCTCGCGCAGGAACACCCAGATGCCCAGGACGACGGAGAAGCCGAAGAGCACGTTGAGCCAGCGGCCCGCGAGCGACGCCGGGCACGCGAAGGGCCCGATGTCGCCGATCATGTAAAAGTCCGGGTCCTCGAGCGTCGCGCAGAGGCGCCCCTTGAAGCCGGAGGCGCAGACGAAGCCCTCCTCGGCGTCGTCGGCCTCGTAGAACGCCGTCGGGTACTTCGGGTCGCCCCAGTAGCCGTCGACGTTCCGCGGCGGCGCGCCGCCGCCGGGGCACGCGGCGCCCTCCGGGCACGCGTGGCAGGCCACGCCGGGCGCGCCCCACGTCGCCCCGCGGTCCCGGTAGTCGAAGTCGCGCACGTCCTCGCCCACGGCGTGGACGCTGCTGTAGTAGCCCTCCATGCACTCGCACTCCGTCAGGTTCTTCCCTTCGTGCATCTCGGCGTCCTCGACGTCCGGGACGCGCGCGGACCCGTCCGGGCAGGACGCGCAGAACGCGTTGCCGAAGCCCTCGGCGTAGACGAACCTGTTCGCGCAGTGCGTGCAGACGTCGGCCGCGGCCGGGTCGCGCGCCGTGCCCGGCGCGCACGCCGCGCACGCCGCCGCGCCCCCGGGCGCGCTCTCCTCGCCCGCGGCGCAGTCGACGCAGGCGTAGGCGCTCTCGTTGAAGTAGCCGCCGTCGCAGGTCGGGTTCTGGTAGTCCGGGATCAACGCCGGGTCGTAGAACTCCGCGGGCCCGTTGCCGAGCGGGATCCAGCCCGCCGCCGGGTCCCAGTCGCCGACGGACACGACCACCTGCGTGCCGTTGCGCCGCCGCACGTTCTTCAGCGTGATGAAGGCCGTCGACGCGTTGCGGTCGCCCTGGTCGTCCAGCACGACGCGGCCCGACGCGCCGGCGAAGTCGACGAGCTCCGCGGCCGCGGACACCTTGGCGAACGGCGCCTTCGGCGTGTCCGCGGCCGCGGCCGCGTCGCAGGACGCGAGCGCGGCCACGGCCACGGCGTCGTAGGCGAAGGCGGCCTCGCCGTTGAGCGTCGCGCCGCGGTCGCCGAAGCCGCCGGCCGCGTTCGAGCCCGCGAGGAACAGGGACGGGTTTGCGGTGACGTTGAAGAACCGTTTGTCGTACGCGGCGACGTCCGCGTCGGCCATGGCGTCGCTCAGGGCGTCCCAGGGCTCGTAGGGATAGGGCGACTGGCCCTGGAGGTTCAGGGACAGGGCGCCGTAGGCCAGGTCGAAGTTCTCCAGGAAATACTGCGACGCGTGCGTGAAGATCCACGCGTTGTACTCGCTGATCTTGCCCTCGACCTCGGCCTGCGTGAGCACGGAAAAGTTGGCCTCGTCGGTGCAGACCGAGATCCAGATCTTGGACGTCGTGCCGTCGAAGAGCTCGTCGACGGGCGTCGTCCCGGACGCGCCCAAGGCCTCCCAGTCGACGTAGCGGAGCTCGTAGTCGACGCCGTAGTCGACGAGCGCGTCGACGAGGGACGAGACGTAGTCCGCGAACCCCTGCTCCGCGATGATGCCCACCTTCTGCCAGTCGAAGAAGAGCACGCAGTCGGCGACGGCCCGCGTGGGCTCGACGCTCGACGTGACCGTCCGCACGAGCGTCGGGTAGTCCGAGCCGCTGAGCTTCGACGCGGTCGAGCCGCCGTGGGCGACGAGGAGCTGGGAGTCGATGCCCGCGAGCACGCCGAGCATGGCGCTCTCGTCCGTCGTCGCGCCGCCGATGTTGAGGTCGATGGCGGGGCCGCCCTTGGTCGCCGCGTACGAGAGGAAGCTCCGCGCGTTCGCGACGCTCACCGTCGACGAGAAGCTGTCGATGAACACGAGGTCCATGGTCAGGTTGCAGGGCGTGTCGAAGGCGGCGACGACGCGCGGGTCCCGCGCGTTGAAGTCGTCGGCGGCGACGGCGATGGCCAGCGCCACGTCCCGCCACTTTCCCCACTCCCGCAGGCTGCCGTCGATGTTGGAGAACGGCATGTAGACGCCGGCCTTGATGACCGTCGTCGTCAGGTCCGACGTGTCCGGCAGCTTCACCTGGGCCCGCACGACGAGGGCCGCCGCGGCGAAGAGCAGCAGAACTGTGCGCCCCATCAGAGTGATGAACCACGCTCGAGGGCAGCTGAAGGCACAAAAATTGGTTTTCCTTCTGCGTTCTCGTGGCGTTTTCCTTCCTGCCGGGGATATTATTATTATTATTTTGTATTTAGCGTCGGGGAAGCCGCATGCACAAGAGCACACGCGGCCTATAGGTCCCGGACGGAAGAAGTTGAAGTAGGCGGGGCAGCTGCCCCCCAGCAGGGGCCGGAGGCCCACGGGGGGAGGATCAGCTTCCCCAGCGCCACACGTGGCGAAGCCCCGAAGGGCGAGAGATGGGGGGGGCCCCGAGGGGCAAGGGAGGGGGGAGGGGGAGGTGGCCGGGGCCGGGCTACCCGCCAGGAGCGCCCGACGGCCCCGGACCGCCGCTAAGGGCCGTCAGAGCCGTCGGACGCGTCCGCAGCCCGGCAAGCCTGCCAGGCCGGCCACCAAAGCTTTGCGGCACACTCCGTGCGGAAACGCCGCAAGAACTTTGCGGCGCCAGACGCCACAGAAGAGTCGAAGTCTGCAACCAAGGCCGCGAACTCCGGAGTAAAATATGCGTCGCGCGCGCGCGCGTCTCGTCGCCCACACGGGCTAGGAGGGATAGGTACCGGAAAGCGGCACCCGTGGGGCAGCGACGTCGGCGGCGGCAAGGCCTCGCCTCGGAGGGGTCGGACGTCTCGCGGACGTCTCCCGAGGCGGACGCCCTCGAGCGCTCGAGGCGCCGTGCAAAACAGAGGCCGCCGCCGGCCGAGGTCAAGGCCGCGCCGACGCGAGCCCGAGTCGCCGCGCGAACCGAAAGGTCGAGACCGCGCCGGGGGGGAGGGACGCCCCGGGCCCCCGTCGTCGGCGACGGACGCGCAATGGCGTCGGCGGACCGCTTTCTCGCGCTCCAATCCATCAAGTTGAAAATATTGGCGTGCGTCGCCCTCGCGACGATCCTCGCGGGCGCCATGCGCGTCGCATGCGGCACCGAGTGCGCGCCCGGCGCCTTCTTCGTCGCCGAGTCCGGGGCCCCGGCGGGCGACATCGTCCTCGCGTCGAACGCGTACGAGCGGTCGAGCGGGCGACCCGTCGGCGACGGCCACTACGACTTCCTCGTCGCGGACGTGGCCCAGGTGACGCGCCACGAGCTCGCGTCGGGCCGCGCGGCCGTGTGGACCGTGACCCGCGGCGGCGACGACGGCGGGGCCGTGGTCCTCGCGAGCGACGGCGAAATTGCCGCCTGGGAGACGCGGTACCCGACGTTCGGCGACTACGTCGTCCGCGCGGCCGTCGGCGGCGAATTGGCGGCGTCCGCCGAGGTCGCTGCGCGGCGCGTGCGCCGCGAGCTGCGCCAGCTCGACGCCGACGAGCGCGAGCGCTACCTCGCCGCGATCGAGGTCCTCACGACCGTCGACGACGACGAGGGCCTCCGGCGCTACGGCCCGGCCTACCGGTCCGTGGCCTGGTTCGTGCGGGAGCATCTGTACGGCGCCGCGGACCGGTCCTGCGACCACTGGCACGACGGCGCCGGCTTCGTGAACCACCACGTGGGCATCACGTGGCAGTTTGAGAACGCGCTCGCCGCCATCGACGCGACTTTGGCCGCGCACTACTGGGACTACACGATCGACGCGGCGGCGCTCATGAACCACTGGCCCCAGTCCGTTATCTTCCGCGACGCCTGGTTCGGCAGCGCGTCGCCGGGGAACGACGAGCACGTCGTCGACGCGGGGCGCTTCGCGTACGCGCGGGTACTCCAGGGGACGAACTACTCGGGCGTGACGAACCCCTACGGGCTCCTGCGGTCGCCCTGGAACACGAACAAGGTGCCGTTCCTCGGGCGGTCGGGCCACGTCGTCGGCCAGCAGGCCGGCGGCTACAAGTCGCTGCCGAACTGCGCGGACTTTGCGGACACGCTATCGACGGCCGCGGCCGGCGGCGGCCTCGGCGAGATCCAGAGCGCGATCAACGGCTTCCTCCACGGGCCCGTGCACATCATGATCGGCGGGCTCTGGGGGTTGGATGATGATATTTGGGGGCCGCGGACGCGCGACGACGACCACGTCGACACCTTTGGGCGCACCGCGGACCTGTCCGCGGTGACGATGTTCCTCTTCGCCAAGTTCATGTGGCGCCAGGGCATCGTGCGCTGCCCGACGACCTGCGCCGCCGACGCGCCCCAGGAGTCCTGCCTCTGCCACTGCCCCGCGGCCGTGCGGGAGAGGGTCGCGCCGCCCGACGGGGCCGCGGCGGCCGTGCTCGCGGCCGCGGGCGCCGAGCGCCTGACGAACTACCTCCCCCGGGACCCCGACGGCAATTTCCTCGAGACCATCCTGGACGGCCTCGACCACGAGACGCTGCTCGACGCGCTCTGCCGCGTGGGCTTCCCGGGCGAGATGTTCACGTCGGCCGCGCCGCAGGACCCGACGTTCTGGCCGCTCCACGGCAACGCGGAGCGGTTCCTCCAGTACGTGCGCCTGCTCATGGCCACGGGCGACGTCGCCATCGACGACTCCTGGGCCTACCACCACGTCAAGGCCGCGTCGGACACGCACGTCGTCTGCGACTGGGCGGGCGTCGACGAGCGCGACGCGGCGGCGATGCCGGCGTGCGGTGCGGCCATCTGCCCGGGCCACGGCGAGCTGGACCTGTTGCCCTTCGACGACCTGCTCCCGGGCAACGCCGCGCCGTCGAACGCGGACTTTTTCGAGGCGACGCTCCCGGGCAAGGCGTCGCCGATGCCCTACGTCTACGACTCCCTCGCCTACTGGCCGGGCTGCGCCGGGGACAGCCTCGTCGACGCCGAGTCGCGGGCCGCGCGCGACGCCGCCGAGCGGCGGCGGCGGCTGCGTCCGCGCTAAGACCCACGTCCTTATGTCACCGGTCCGTCGCGTTCCAGTTGCGCTTCGCCCGGGGGCAGTCGCGGGCCTCCGCGCCGTCGGGCGCGCGCCAGCCGAGGGTCTCGAGCAGCAGCGTGAGCTCCTCGTAGAGGAGGCCGTGGAAGTGGATCGCGTCGCCCGGGAGGTTGTTGTCGCATCGGCCGTCGCCCAGAGCGAAGGCGTCGACGAGGCCGACGTAGGGCACGGCGGCCTCGCCGCGCCGGTACAGGAAGCGGCGGAGCCGCCCGTTGAGCGCCTCCGACGCGTCGCGCGACCGGAGGCCCGCGACGCAGTCGTCGAGCGCGCCCGTGCCCCCGAGGCCCTCGCGCAGCCACCGCTCGCAGTCGCGCGCGGCGAAGGGCTTGCCGTGGGCCGCCGCCTCGTCGACGACGGTCTTGAAGTCGTTCTGGAACTGGGAGTCGCACTGCGAGTGCGTCGTCGTCGTCGCGACGCGCGCCTCCGGCGCCGCGGCCGAGTAGTTGGCGATGGCGTGCGCCAAATCCTGCTCGTAGGTGAGCCAGTCGGCGTAGGACGTCCACTGGTGCTTCGCGGGCGCGAAGGGCGTCGGCCACTGGAGCCAGAGCCCCGCGCCGAAGAAGACCGCGTCCGGCGGCCGCCGCCCGAAGAGCTTCCAGGCGACGCCCAACGGCGACGCGTCGCGCTCCAGCAGGGCCAGCGTGCGCCGCACGGCGTCCGGGTCCACGGCCGTGGACCCGGCGAAGAGCGCGACGACGTCCGGCTGCCGCCGCGCGCGGCGCTCGTCGCCCTCGGCCGCGGGCTCGCCATCCTCGAAGCGCGGGCCGCGGCCGTCGCCCCGGTGCCTGCGGTGCTCCGTGAGCCGGCCGGCGCAGGACGCGACGCAGTGCTTGCCCTGGTCCTCGCCCGTCTGCCGCACGTTCATCGCGAGGCACAGCGCGTGGAAGAGGTTGCGCATCGTCGAGTCGCCGACGAAGAGGAGCACGAAGGGCTCGGCCGCGACGGCGGCGGGCCGCGCGGGCGGCGCGCTGCGGCGGAACCGCTTCTCGAAGGCGCAGAGGCCCTGGCGCATGAGGGGCATGCCCGCGAGCATCTCGCCCGTGACCTGGAACCGCGGCCGCCGGATGCGGTGCTCGTCCCAGTGCCGCTGCATGCGCAGGCCCTCCATCGCCGCCTGCTGCGCGACCTCCGCGACGAGCACGCCGCAGGCGACGGGCAGGGCCGCCGCAAAAATCGCGCGCATCGTACTATGACGCTGCCCTTTGCGTGAAGTTTGAACATGCCGACTTCACCCCGGAGGCTGCCCACCGGGCGCGAATCGATAATCGCGCGCTTCCCGGTGGGCTGCGAGAATCGAAATATGGCCACCTTCGCGGACGACGACGCGGCGCTCTGGATGGACGTGACCCAGCAGATGAAGGTCAAGGGCTTGACGTCGGTGTCGGCCTTCCGCGTCATGGACCGGGACCGCGGGGGCACGGTGAGCGGCGCCGAGCTCTTCGGCTGGGCGCGGACCGCGGGCATCGCGATGACGTCCGACGACGCGCGGCGCCTCGTGCGGTCCATGAACGGCGGCCGCGGCGGCGGCGGGTTCACCTTCAAGACCTTCTCCCAGGTCGTCCGGCACTACCAGCAGCTCGCGAAACGGAAGACGCGCGGCAAGACGACGCGCCAGTCGACGTCGGCCGTGCGCCGGTCCGTCCAGGGCGAGTTCGGCGGCGTCCAGGGCTCGAACATGTCGGCCGTGGGCAAGTCCGTCTTCCTCAAGACCATGACGGCCAAGTACACCCTGCCGTCGCACGGCGAGCTGAGCGCGCTCTGGGCGTCGCAGGACGTGAACGCGAACGGGCTGCTGTCGCTCGCGGAGATCGACCGCGTCGTCCAGCAGCGCTTCCCGGCCTACGACCACAAGCCCGCGCTCATGCGCGCCTACAAGTTCGCGGACGCGGACGGCAGCGGCCTCATCTCGAAGCGCGAGTTCTGCCTCCTGCTCCGGTCCCTCTTCTTCTTCAACGACCTCTGGCACAAGTTCGAGGTCATCGACACGAGCGGGGACCGGCGCCTCGACCTCGGCGAGTTCGTCCGCGGCGCGGCGCTCATCGACCTCCACTTCGCGGAAGACGAGGCGCGCGCGGTCTTCGACGAGATCGACGAGAACGGCGGCGGCGTCATCCTCTTCAACGAGTTCTGCGCCTACGTCTGCCGCATGAAGGCCGAGGAGCTCGACCAGGCCCAGGTCTAGGCGCGCGCGCGTGGCGGGGGGGGCGGGGGCGTGTAGTACGGCGTCCACGTCGACTTTCTTTGAATCTACCCAATCAGCGCCGCGGAACGCCGCAGCCCAACAAAAGCTCCGGGTCGAGCACGAAGGAGGGTAGAGCGCCGCGCGCCGCGCCCCCTCGCCAGACCATGGATTTCGTGCTCGGGCTCTTCGGCATGAACCGCTTGCGCGTGTTCGTCAAGCTGCCCGGCGCCGGGGAGGAGCGCCGCGCCCTGCAGGTCTCCGCGAGCGCGTCCTGGGAGGAATTCTCGGGGCTGGCCTGCGAGCGCCTGGGGATCGCCCGCTGCGCGCGCGTGCTGCTCGGCGACGGCGACGTGCTCCACGAGGTCGACGACCTCCAGGACGTGCGCTCGGACGACGTGCTGGTGGTCGTGCCCGCCGCGGGCGTCGCCGTCGACCGCGAGCGGGCGCGCGCCGCGGCCGCCGCGGACGACGACGACGACGACGACGACGACGACGACGACGACGAGGCGGCGGAGCGCAAGGGCTCGGGCAAGCGCAAGCGCCCCACGCCGCCGGGCGTCCCGACCCTCGAGGCGATCCTCGACGAGGCGCCCGCCGCGCCGGGCTCCGCCGCCGCCGCGCGGCCGGACGACGAGGCCACGGCGAAGATCAAGGCGCGCATCAAGAAGATGCTGGACCGCGGCCTGCACCCGACGACCCCCGAGGCCGAGGCCGCGACGTCCATGTCGCTCGCGCAGCGCCTGCTCGCGCGCCACAACCTCCGCCAGGCCGACGTGCTCGCCGGCGGCGGCGGCGACGACGCGTCCGCGGGCGGCCTCGTGCGCGTGCGCCTCGCGCACCGCAAGACCGGCCAGGCCTGCAAGACGGCCCCGTACATGAGCTGCCTCGCGTGGGCCGCGGCGAAGACCTTCGACTGCCAGTGGTACCGGGAGTGCGCGTTCAGCAAGTGGCGCAAGCAGAGCGACTACGTCTTCTACGGGCTCCGGGCCAACGCGCAGCTCGCGGCCTTCGCCTTCAAGATGGCCTTCGACCGGACCCAGGCGCTGACGGCCGCCTACGTCCCCTCGCCCGACTACGACGCGGCGCTGGCCGCGGGCGCGACGCGGCTCAAGAGCGCCGCCGCGTACGCGCGCAACGCGCGCGCGTCCTACAGCACCGGCGTCGGCCGGGGCCTCCTCGACGCCGTCAACGCGGCGAAGGCGCGCGCGGAGGCGGAGGCCGCCGCGAAGCTGTCGCGCGCGCGCGCCGCCGCCGCGTCGGGCGAGGCCTACGACTCGGACGACGACGACGACGACGACGACGACGCGCCGCCCCCGCGGTCGACGTCGGAGCGCCTCGCGCGCCTCGAGCACGAGCAGCGGTCGACGCTCGCGCTCGTCGTCCGCACGGAGAAGGTCTGCGAGGCCGTGCTCGAGGAGCACGGCATCAAGGTGAGCTCGACGAAGCAGGCCTCTAAGGCCGAGACGAACGCGTCGGCCTACAGCAAGGGCCGCCAGGACGGCAAGGCCATCGACCTCAACCAGCGGACGCTCGGCGGCGCGTGAGCGCCCCGCTCGCGACGCGACGCGCGAGCTCCTCCGACGCGCTTCGAATCACCCCGCCCTTTTTTGCGCCGACCGCCAGCCCCTGCCTTTTTTTGTATACTCCACGTCGAATCTGGAGGCGTCCCGGGGGGAGCGCGAGGCGTCCAGGAGGCGTCCGGACGCGTCGCCCATCATCTGCATCGCAAAATCGGTTGGAACCCTCCATCCCGCCGTGTGGAACGGCGGCCTCGTCGACTGCGCGTCGCTCCTCGACGCCTAGGGCTCGCGCGCGGAGCGCGGACATCGTCGACTGCGCGTCGCTCATCGACGCCCAGGGCTCGCGGGACATCGTCGACTGCGCGTCGCTCATCGACGCCGAGGTGCTCGCGCGCCACGGGCACCGCCTGCTGCGCGCCGCACACGCGATGGCCGACCGCCGGCGCCGCACGCTCGTCGTGCGCCACGAGCACCACCACCACCATCACTTCGACAAGGAGAATGTGGACCCGAAGGCGACGCCCGCGGACAAGGCGCCGAAGCTCCCGGACCGGACGGTGCTGAAGACGACGCAGCTCGACGGCACGCCGCGGACGGCGTTCGCGGATCTGCGCGCGCCGCGGACGCTCGAACGGACGGTCATCGTCAACAAGCACCCGGTCCTCCCGGACGAGACCGTCGTCGTCGACCGCGCGGCGACCGCCGTCGCGGGGCGCGAGTCGTGCGCGTCGGAGTGGTCGCTCGGCCGCGCCCTATCCTTCGGGAGCGGCGAGCCCTACTCGCAGCTGACGGACGTCGACGACGCCCCGGCGACGCCCCGCTGGTCGACGCACACGGGGGCGACCGACGAGCTCGACTTCCGCTCCGTCCAGTCGGGCGCGACGGACGAGCTCGACTACCGGCCGCGGAGCGAGCTCGTCGCCACGCCGGCGTCGTCCGCGAAGCCGGTCGCGTCTCCCGGCTCGTCGACGGCGCTCGAGGATGGGCCGGCCGCGTCGCCCGGCGCGGCGGCGAGCGGCGACGCGTTCGACCTCTCGCGGGCCCTGCGCGACCGGCTGAAGCTCGACTCCCCTGGCTCGTCGACGGCGCTGGAGGAGGGCGCGGCCGAATCCCCGGGCTCGTCGACGGCGCTGAGCGGCGGCGGCAAGCGATCCCCCGGCTCGTCGACGGCCCTGAGCGGCGACGACGCCCCTGTAAAGCCGGACTCCCCCGGCTCGTCGACGGCGCCGAGCGGCGGCGATGAGCGATCTCCGGCCGACGACGAGCACGCGCGGGACCTGTCGCGGGCCCTGGGCGAGCGGCTCCGGCTCGACAGCGACGTCGACTCGCCGGCGACGACGAGCGGCGCGTCGATCACGTCGCCCGAGGCCGCGGCGGCGCCGCGCCCCGCGCCGCGGCACCGGGCCCGGGCCCGGGCGCCGCCCCTCGACCTCGCGCGCGACGGCGACGAGGCGGCGTCGCCGCGCGGCGAGAAGCGGTCCCTGCGCGACGCGCTCGCGGCGCTGGAGCGGTCCTCGGGCGGCGGCGGCGCCGTGAGCGCGGCGCCCTGGAACCGCGAGGCCGTCGCCGCCGCCGTCGCGGAGCTCGCCGCGGACGACGGCGGCGACGAGGAGGCCGCGGGCACGCTCGTGCTCGCCGCGTCCGCGGCGCAGGCCGACGAGTGGGACCGCGCGCTCCGCGACGCGCTCGGCCCCGGCGCGGTGCTCAGGCACGGCGCGTCCGCGGCAGCGCTGCGGCGCGCGACGCCCGCGCACCTGGGCCGGGCGCGCGTCGTCGTCGCGACCTACGCGCACGCGGCGCGCGCCGACGCGTCCTTCGCGCGCGCCGTCGGGTCCTGGATGAGCCGGAGCCCGATCGAGCCCGCGAGCGCGCTCCACGCCGTCGCCTGGACGCGCCTCGTCGCCGACGACGCGCACCTCCTCCTCTCGGCGACGACGAAGCGCGCCGCGTGCGTCGCGCGGCTCCGCGCCGCGCACACGTGGGCCGTGCTCGCGCCGGCGAAGCTCGACGCGCTGCCGAAGAAGGCCGCGGCCCTGCGCCAGCTCGCGGCGCTCGTGGGGCACCCGCCGGGCGAGGGCGCGGCGACGCTCCTCGCGCGGCGCACCGTCCGCCTCGACGACGCGTTCCTCAACGACAGCTGGTTCCGCTACTAGTAAGGGCGGCGGGAAGCTCCCGGGCCCGGGGGGCTCGCGCTCGCGCTCGGTCCGGGCTCGAGCCTCCGTCGGACGACGTCGTTTACGTAGGCCGCTCACTCCCGGGGCGTCTGGAACTCGACCTCCTCGGGGAGGCTCTCGAGGAGGGGTAGGATGCGCTTCCAGTCGCGGTTCGGGAACGCGGAGAGCTTCATGCCGTCCTCGAAGGGCAGCGCCCAGCCGTTTTTCAGGTGCTTGACGGACCAGGCGCCGCCCTTGTAGCCCGCGCCCTTGCCGTCCGGGTCCGCGATCACGCGGAGGCCCACGGGCGAGAGGAGCATGTTGAGCGCCTGAAACGCGCGGAACGTCTTGAAGCCGCCCGTGTCGACGGTCAGGTCGCCCTTGGAGCTCACGCTCATGACCTCGGACCCGAAGGCCTGCACCGTCAGGATCCGCACGTTGTCCGGCGACATGGTCCACTTGTACGTGAACCGCGTCCCGCCCTGCGACGCCGACTTGCGCTCGCCGCCGCGGTCGCCGCCGCCGCGCCCGCGGCCGCCGCGGCCGCCGCGGCCGCCGTCGCGACGGCCCTTGCCGCCGCCGCCGCCGCCGCGCCCGCCGTCGCGCCGGCCGTTGTTGTCGCGCCGGCGGGCGCCGTCGCGGCCGCCGCGGTGCTGGCGCTTCTGGCCGCCGTCGTCGCCGCCCTCGCGCCGCCGCTTCTGGCCGCCGCCGTCGCCGCCGCCGCCTTCCTTCTTCTCGGACTTCTCCGTCGCGCCGCGACCGGTGCTCAGCGGCTTGTCCATCGCCCTGCTGTGTCGCGCGAGCTGCTCGCCGGCGCCGCGGAGCTGCCGCTCGAGATGGTGATCTCGAAGGCGGCGGCCGGGGGTCGGGCGTCGTCGCACGCCGCCCGCCGCTGGCCCGGAGCCGTGATCCCTGCGTCGGTACGTGTACTTAGGAGAGGCGTCATTCCTTTTCGGGGGCTTGGTTCCCGGGCGAGCGCGGCGGGGGCGAGGTTCGGCGGCCGCGACGAGGCGGCGCGGCGGCGGCGAGCGGCGGCTAGGCGGCCTCGGAGAGCCAGATGGAGCGGAACGTGTCGACGGACGGGAGCTTGACGTCGGCCTGGCCGAAGAGCGAGAGGAGCGTCTGGGCGTGGCGCGTCTGGTCGTCCGGGCCGGGCCTAGGAGGGACGCGTTCGGGGTTTCGCGCGGGACCGCGCGGGACGCGTCGACCGCGCCAAAAAAAGACGAGGGACGCGGGCTCCGCGCGGCATGGCGGGGAGGCGGAGGTCCGGGCCGAGGACGAGCGGGAAGATGCGCGGCGGGAGCGCGTCCCGCGGCATCGCCGGGGGGAGCGCGACGACGGGCGCGCGGCGCGGCGCCGCGGGCGCGGGCGCGGAGGAGGCGAGGAGGTGGAGCGGGCTCGGGTGGCCCTCGAGGGCGACGCGGCGGCGCTTGAGGCCCGGCGACGCGCCGAAGTCCGGCGCGCGGCGCGTGTGGCCGCGCGAGCCGGACGACGCGACGGACTCGGAGTCGGCGCGCGGCCGCGGGCCCCGCGGGGATCCGAAGGCGGCGCCGAAGTCCACGGGCGACGGCGGCGGCGGCGTCACGCGCGGCGGCTCGATCTCCGCGTAGAAGCGCTCGGAGAGCGCCTGGAGGACCTCGCGCGACGACGTCGCGGCGGGCGCCTCGGGCGTCCACGCGGCCTTGTCGCCGGTCCAGGGCGCCTCGTCGGCGGCCTTGTCGCCCGTCCAGGAGGGCGACTCGTGGGGCGTCGCGCGGTTCCAGGACGGCGAGTCGCCCGGCGGCGACATCAGGCCGTCCGGCGGCGTCAGGCCGTCCGAGAATCCGCCCGCCGACGGCGGGCGCGCGGGCGCCGCGGCCGCGGCGCCGAAGAGCGCGCCCGCCGGGCGCGGCGCGGCGGGCGCCGCGCTCGGGCGGCGCCGGCCGCTCCGGCTCCGCGGCGCCTTGACGGCCGTCGCGGGCGCCGAGGCCGCGAAGCCCGTCGATTCCGCCGACGCGGACCGGCCGCGCGCGGCCGTCGCGGCGCGCGAGTAGGCCGGCGGGACGCGCGCCGCGGCGATGGCCGGGCCGGGCACGGCGACGCGCACGCGCGGCGGCGCCCGCGTCGGGGCGCCCCGCCGCGCGTCCTTGCGCATGCTCGAGTACCTGGAGGCGTCGTCTCGCGGCGCGCCCCCGGCTCCGCGGGGGGGTCGAGGGCGCGTTTCGGGCGCCGGGCGCGCGCCAGAAGTTCTTGACGGCGTTGTCCGTGCGGCCCGGCAACCTGCGGCGGGCGGCGCGCGATTCGCGATTCCGCCCGTCGCGCTTCCGCCGAGGCGTTCGCGACGCCGCGCGCGCGACTTCTTGGCGATCTCGGCCCACTTGTTGCCCATGTCGCGCTGCGCGTCGCGGATGATCTCTGCGACGGGGTCGGCGCTCGCTCCCGCGCCCCCGGGGCTCGAAGCACTCACGTTCCTCCGCGGCCGTCCACGGGCCCGAGCGGATGTCCGGGTCGAGCGAGCTGACCCACCGCGCGCGCACCTGCTTGCCCGTCCGCGCACAACCCGGCCCCGTCACGCCGGAGGCGTTCAGCTCCTCGGCGACCTGGGCCCAGGCCTTCTTGCCGAGCCGCGCCACGGCCCGGTTCACCTCGTCGTCCTCCTCGACGCTCCACTCCTGGCGGCCGCCGGCGGCGCTGCTCTCGGGCTTCGATGCGCGGCCGCTGCGGCGCGTCGACATGCTGACGGTGTCGTTGATGGGCGTGCGTGAGGGTGTGATGCGACCGCGGCGACGGGCGAGTGATCGGTTGAGTTGTGATCACGGAAGCAAAATCGTCAAAACGCTCGCTCAAAATTGCCACAAGCGCGCGCGCGGAAGCGCCCCGGGGAAGAACCCAAAATTAGGGCGACGCCTCCGTGGGGAGGTCGCGGAGCCGTCGTCGCTCGCGCTCCGCGGAGCGGACGGCCGCGCGGCGCTTGACCTCCGTGTAGGACACGACGCCGGCGAGCGCGACGACGATGCCGACGCCGTTGCGCGCGTTCGTGCGGATGCCGAAGAAGATCATGGAGCCGACGATGGTGAGGATGGTCTTGAGGTGCGTGAGCACCTGGTAGGTCAGCGGCGACGTGCGGCCCAGCACGTAATAGTTCGTCACGTTCGCGCCGAGCGCGAGCACGCACGACGCGAAGATGTGGCCCTTGAGGTCGTCGTTCCAGTCGACGCTCCGGAGCTCGTCGACGCCGTCGAAGAGGGGGCAGAGGAGGAGCGCGCCGAGGGCGATGAGGGGCGCCGTGTGGTAGAGGAGCTGGTTGCTGTCGCAGCCCAGCGCGCGCTGGCACGACGACGTGTACATCTGGCAGAGGACCGTGCAGACGACGGCGACGGCCGCGTAGGCCGTGCCCGTCGCGTTGGCCTCGTAGTCGTGGACCTGGGCGACGCCGAGCCCCGCGACGAGGGGCAATAAACTCAACACCACCGCCGGCGGCTGGACCGCGCCCTCGACGACCCACGACAGGAAGAGCGTGAGCGGGATGCACGCCTGGGCAGCAGCAAAAGGGTGATTCAACGTCGCTTCAACGTGAGTGTTCCGCGCGCGCGCGTTTCGAAAACAGCACCCACGCTTCGAGACCGTTCCGAGAGATGATCGCTCGTCCAAAAATCAGCCGAAACGAGCGGAAAACGGCCGAGATCGGAGCCTTTGAAGTTGGGAATTTCGCTCTCTTTTGCTGCCCTGATGCACGCGATCTTGGACAGCTGGTAGAAGGACACGCTGTTGTGCTTGAGGTTCAGGTTCATGAAGCCCACGGAGCTCAGCGTGCCCAGGGCCACGGGCGCGACGGCCGCGGGCCGCGCGGCCTTGTAGCGGAAGACGCGGCAGCAGAGCATCGCGCGCGTGCCCACGGCCGTGAACGCAAAGTGGCAGAAGCTGAGGAAGACGAGGTGGTCGAAGTCGTGCGCGAGCTGCATGTACTTGTTCATGAGCACGACGCCGACGACGCAGCCGATGTTGCCCGCGCTGCCGATCAAGACGGGCAACGCCAGCGACGCGTCGACGCCGCAGCTGCGAGGGAGCTTGAGCATGCGGTTCTTCATGCGCGGGGAGCCCTAGGATCGAGAGCGACGCGCCGCGCGCTGCCGCATTGGGGTCGCGCGGTGCCGACGCCGCCGGCGCAGGGCAGCCCTAGGATCCGCGATGCATCATCAGAGCTCACCGACAGCCATTTCAGTGAGTTCGAGATCTTCAACTGGTTCAAGCAACTCTTCGACAAATGTTATGTACAAAGCGCTATGTGCAGGGTATGTTCAGACGGCCGCGTCGAGGGCCCGCTTGATGGCGTCCGTGATCTTGCGGCACTCGTCCTCGGTGACGATGAAGGGCGGCGCGAGGATGAGGACGTTGCAGAGGCCCGGGACCGTGCTCCCGTTGCGGCCGACGACGACGCCCATCTCCGCGCACGCGTTGACGACGGCGGCCGACCGGTCCTCCTCGATGGGCTGCCGCGTGTAGACGTCCGTGACGAGCTCGACGCCGATGAGGAGGCCCATGCCCCGCACCTCCCCCACGAGCGGGTGGCCGTCGAGCGCGGCTTCGAGCGAGCCCTTGAGGAAGTCGCCGACGTCGCGCGCGCGGTCCACGAGGCCCTCGCGCTCGATGATCTCGATGTTCTTCAGCCCGACGGCGCAGGCCACGGGGTGGCCGCCGTAGGTGTTCATGGACCGGAAGTGCGCGAGGCGGCTCGGCAGCGTCGACTTGCCGGACGCGCCGAACGGGTCGTCGTGGAAGCGGTCGAAGACGTCGGACGTGACGGCGCAGGCGCCCAGCGGGCAGTAGCCGGAGGTCAGGCCCTTGGCCAGCGTGATGATGTCCGGCGTCGCGCCGTAGTGCTGGTGGCCGAACATCGCGCCCGTCCGCCCGAAGCCCGACACGACCTCGTCCAGGATCAGCAGCACGCCGTACTTGTCGCAGATGCGCCGCACGTCCCGCAGGTAGGTCTCGTGGGGCACGAGCACGCCCCCGCCGGACATGACGGGCTCCATCACGAAGGCCGCGACGGTCTGCTCGCCCTCCATGACGATCGTCTCCTCGAGCTGGCGGCAGACCTCCGCGCCGTGCTGCTCGACGGTCACGCCCGCGGGCCGCCGGTAGGCGTAGGGCGGCGGCACGTGCAAGTAGCCCGGCGGCTGGGGCCCGAAGCCGATCTTGCGCTCCGCCTGGCCCGTCGCGGCCATCGCGCCCGCTGTGTTGCCGTGGTACGCGCGGTGCCGCGCGATGATCGTGTGGCGCAGGGGCCCGCTCGGGTCCCGCTCGACGTTCGCCGCGTGGTACTGGCGCGCGATCTTGAAGGCCGCCTCGTTGGCCTCCGAGCCGGACGCCGTAAAGTAGACGTGCGCGTCGTAGCGGAGCAGCTCGGAGATCTTCGCCGCGAGCTCGATCTGCGGCGCGGACCCGTGGAGCGGGCTCAGGAACGGCAGCGCCGTCATGGCCTCGTAGGCCGCGCGGGCCACCTCCTCGCGGCCGTAGCCGATGTTCACGCACCAGAGGCCGCCCATCGCGTCGAGCAGCTCCGTGCCGTCCATGCGCGTGAGCGTGGACCCGGCGGCCCTGGCCACGGGCACGGGCGGCGCGGCCTCGGCGACGCTCCAGGGCCGCTGCTGCGTCATGGGGTGCCAGACGTGCTTGCCCTGCTTCTCCTGCAGGGCCTCGACGTCGGCGCCGACCCAGGGCTCGAGCGCCGCCGCGGCCGTGCTCTTGAGGCGTCTCGGGAGCCGCGCCGAGGCGCGCAGCCCCAGCGCGGCGGCCATTGCGATTGTTGGTATTTGGCGGTGTTAGGGGACCGTGGAACGGATCCAACGTTAAAACGCCGCGGCTGTGGTCGAATTCTTCCGTCGTGTCGTGATCGATGTGGCCGCGTTTTGCCACAAACTTTTGAAAATGACAGCCTTGCCGTCAACATGCATTCAATTAGGCTAAAAAAACCGCTGCCGAGCGGTCGCCGCTGCGACCGCGCCGTCCATACGACGGTCCAATCCTGCCGTCGGAGGACGCTGTGCTTCACCTCATCAAGCACCGTTCCGTTGCGGCGGCCCGCGGCGTCCACGTGACCGTGACGGGCCAGCCCTCCCGCCCAATGGCGTGGACGCTCGCCGCGGTCTACGCGCACGAGTCTCGACCCTCGAAAGGCGGACGGCGCTCGACGCTGCCGCTGCCCAGGAACTCGCGTACGAACCGATTTATACAGGCGTGCGACGGGCGAGGGGGGCTAGGTGCAAAGGCGGAGAGGCCGGGGGCCGCGGTCACCGGGGCCTCAGGAAGTTGGAGGGCCGCACGAAGACCTCGTCGTCCGGCGCGTCGTCCCAGCGCACGACGAGCCAGCCGCCCTTCTTCACCTCCGCGACGACGGCCCGCCGGCCGCTGTGGCGCGCGACGACGGTCTCGCCGACGTCGACGTCGGAGCAGCGGCAGGCGCGGGGCGTCGCCGGGTCGGCGTCCTCGCGGGCCCGGCGGCCGCCCGCGTAGAGCTCGTCGTAGTGGGGCGCGAGCCGCCGCGACCGGTGCGGCTGGCGGAGCTTCGCGAACGCTGACTTCTCGATCTGCCGGATGCGCTCGCGCGTCAGGTCGAAGCGCACGGCGATCTCCGCCAACGTCTCGGGCCTCCGGCCGTCGAGGCCGAAGTGGCGGTTGAGCACGTCCTCCTCGCGGTCCTCGAGGTCGTCGTCGAGCATGCGCCGCACCTCGTCTTTGAGCAGCGACTCGGCCGCGTCGCGCTCCGGGTGCTGCGTCGCGTCGTGGAGCAGGTCCGCGAGCTGGGCGCCGCTGGCGTAGGACGCGCCGCGCCGGCCGTTGCCCGGCGCCGCGCCCCGCCGGCTGCCCAAATTCTCCGCGTCGACGTCCGTCGACACCGTGCCCCGCGCCGCGCGCCGGAGCCGCCGGAGCTTGTCCGCGTCGAGCGACATCTCGCGCGCGATCTCGTCGTCCGTGGCGTCGCGGCCGGTTTGCTTCTCCAGCGCCACCTTGTGCTTCTTCATGCGCCGCAGCTTCTCGTGCACGTGCGTCGGGAGCCGGATCGTCCGCGACTGGTGCGCGACGGCGTGCGCGACGGCCTGGCGGATCCACCAGACCGCGTAGGTCGAGAAGCGGAACCCCTTGGACGGGTCGAAGCGGTCGCAGGCCTTGGCGAGGCCGAAGTTGCCCTCCTGGCACAGGTCCGTGAACGCGAGGCCGCAGTCGCCGTAGCGCTTCGCGACCGAGAGCACGAGCCGCAAATTCCGCTGGATGAGCTCCTCGCGGCAGGCCTTCATGTGGCCCATGCGGGTCCGCAGGGCGCCGTAGTTCGCGTAGCCCGTCGCGTTCGCCCACTCGCCGCCGGACGGCTCGCGGCCGAGCGCCGCTTTCAGCTCGCTCCGCTTCGCGCGCAGCGCCACGAGGGCCTGCACCTCCGTCGCGAGGGCCACCTCCTCGTCCAGGGACAGCAGGGGCTCGGCGGCGCGCTCGGGCAGGTAGACGCGCTCCTGCTCGCGCGTCGCCAGGCCCCGCAGGGCCGTCGCTCGTCGCAACTGTTCTGCGCGTGCGTGGGCGGGCGTCGAAACGCGATGCGGCGCCACGGGCGCCGTGCGGGGCGACAGGAAGGCCCAGGCGCCGCTGCAGAGCAGCAGGGCGTGGCTAAATCGAGCCATCGGTGGCGTTCTTTCGCCCGGTCGTCGTGACGCGGCCGTCGTCGAGCTCGAGTCCGCCACGCTGGCAGTCGCGATTCAGTTTTGCGATCATCACAAGGTGAAGCTCGTTTAGCCGGGGGTAAACGTTAACCGCGCCGCAAAAATCCCTCAGTCCCAGAGCGGGAGGCCGTACCAGTCCTCGGGGCGGAGGTAGTGGTGGCGGAGCTCGAGCGCCGCGATGGCCGCGTTGTCCTCGTCGTCGAGCTCGAAGTGGAAGATGGAGAGGTTCTCGCGCATCTCGCGCTCCTTGATCGTCATGGGCATCGTGCAGACGCCGCGCTGGTACGTCCAGCGCAGGCAGATCTGCGCCGGCGAGACGCCGTGCTTCGCCGCGATGCCCAGGATCGTCGCGTCGCCCAGCGGCCAGACCTCCGTCTCGCCCTTGAACTCGCCGTAGCCCAAGGGCGAGTACGCCTGGAACTGGATCCCCGACCGCCGGCAGTGGTCCACGAGATTCCGCTGCTGGAGGAACGGGTGGCTCTCGCACTGGACGACCGCCGGCGCCTCGTTGACGCAGCAGAGCTCGTGGAGGAGCATGACGTTGAAGTTCGCGACGCCGACGTGGTCGCAGAGGCCCGCGTCGCGGCACGCGAGCATCGCCGCGTACGTGTCGTGGATCGAGATGCCCCGGGCGAGGTGCGGCGGCCACCGGCCCGTCTTCGCCCAGTGCGTCTCGTCCCAGAGCTTGCCCGTCTGCTTCGAGCACAGGTCCGGCTCGTACTCCGCCGCGAACCCGCGCCCCGTGGCCGCGTCCTCGGCGATCATGGGCACGTGCACGAAGGCCGTGGGCCAGTGCATGAGGAAGAGGTCGACCTTGTCCACGCCGAGGTCCAAAAGGCTCTTCTCCAGCGCGGGCCGGACCTGCGCGGCGGGGTCCTTCCCTTCGAGGAAACGCGCGCTCCCGTCGGAACCGCGCGCGCGCCGGACGCCGGGCTTTGACGTGCTCCGGCGCGTGGTAGGGGTTGTTCAGCTTCGTCGTAAGCCAGATGTCCTCCTTCTTCGCGATCAGGCCCTCCGCCTCGGCCTCCGCCAACGCGTCGCCGATCTCGGCCTCGTTGAGGTAGTTCGACGCGCCGTCGACCTACCACCGGGTTCGGCGCCAAGACGCATGGGCGGACGCGGCCGTCGCGACCATGGTGCCGCCGCTGCCGAGCCACGTCTTCACGGTCTGCTTCATCGTCCCCGGCTCCGCGCGCTGCGTGAACCGCGTGCCCGTGAAGGTGCCGAGGCCCAACACGGGCATCTCCTTGTTCCCCTCCTTGTGGGAGTGGAGGCGCGTCGTCGGGCAGGGCGGCAGCTTCTCGCCGCCGGAGAAGGGCGCCGCGGTCATGAGCGTCCGCCGGCCGGTCCGCGCGCTCCGGTCGTAGCCGGGCGCCATCGCGTTGTTGAAGGGCGCCGCGACGAAGCCGCCGTCGATGGGCAGCGCCGCGCCGGAGACGAGGCGCGCGCCGTCGCCGAGGAGGTAGCAGACCGCGTCGACGACGTCGTCGGGCGCCGCGAACTCCCCCAAAGGGATCCGCGACTTCATCGGCGCGGCCTTGGCCTCGTCGCCCCATTCGCGCGCGGCCATCTCCGTGAGCGTCACGGTGGGGTTCACGGAGTTGGCGCGGATGCCGAAGGGGCCCAGCTCGAGCGCGAGCTGGCGCGTGAGCGCGTCGAGCGCGGCCTTTGACGCGCAGTAGGCCGCGTGCTCGTCGAGCGCGACGAACGCGGCCTGCGAGCTCACGTTGACGATGGCGCCGCGCACGTCGCGCGCGATCATGGACTTCGCGCAGTGCTGCGCGGCGATGAGCGCGGCCCGCGCGTTGACGGCGAACGTCGCGTCCCAGTCGTCGGCGCTCGCGTCGAGGATCGGCGCGTTCCGCGCGACGCCCGCGTTGTTCACGAGCAGGTCGACGTCGCCGGCCTCGCGTTCCAGCGCGGCCCGGAGGCCCGCGGCGTCGGACGCGTCGGCGACGACGGGCGTCACGGATCCCTGGAGCTCGGCGAGGCCCCGCTCGTCGCGGCCCAGGGCGACGACGTGGGCGCCGAGCTCGAGCAGGCGCGCGGCGCAGGCCTGGCCGATGCCCTTGCTCGCGCCGGTGACGAGCACGCGCTTGCCCGCGAAGGAGAGCATCGCGGTGACGAGCACGCGCGCAGCTCGCCGGCTTCTTGATCAATGAGCTGTGGCTTTTTAGCGAATCATCGATGTGTGAGGCTAAAGGTGCTCTGAAATCCGCGGCAGCCCCAGCGCCCCGTCGCGGCTACCCGACGCAACCAAACATGGGCGCCGGCGCGTTGGCCGGCTTCACCATCGACTTCCAGGTCAAGGCGACGAACGTGAACAACTTCCTCGGCGCCAACTGGTTCGACATCTGGAAGCTCATCGACACGGAGGACAAGGGCTTCGTCAAGACCGAGGTCGTGCGGGACTTCATCGCGGCCAACGCGGGCAAGTTCACGAGCCCCGAGTTCCCCACGGGCTTCTTCGCGCCCATCCTCGGCGCCGACGGGAAGATCAAGCACAAGGTCTACCTCCGCGCCTTCCTCCACACGACGCTCCGCGACGGCGGCCACCAGAACACGAACGTCTACGACTACGAGTTCCGGCGGCTCTGCCGCTACCTCTTCCTCATGAACGAGCTCAGCGTGCTCTGCGGCGAGACGGAGGCCGAGGAGAAGACGCTCAACAAGGCCGACTTCGTGTCCTCCACGCGCGCGGTCTTCGCGGACATCGACGACGCGACGCTCGACCGCGCCTTCGCGAACATCGACGACCTGGGGGGCAACAAGTGGAAGAACGACCTCATCTGCTTCGACGAGTTCTGCCACTACATCTTCTGCGTCATGGACGCCTAGGGACCCGGCGCGGCGGGCGGTGGGCTCCGCGGGGCGCGCCCTGGGTCCGGCGTCCGCCTTAAGCTACATTCATGTGACCTTGGCTCGGGTTTCCGGGTTGGTTTGGGGCTCGAGAAATAGGGCCACGGACGTTCGTGAACTACGTTGTCGCACCGGCGACACCATGTTGAAGCGATGGTGCACCACTACTTGCACTCCCTGGCGCGGGTTCCCGCGAACGCTGGCGCCCTCGGCCGTCGGGCTCGTCTCGTAGCCGAGCCAGCGCCGACGGCCGTCGCGCTCGTCTCGTAGCCGAGCCAGCGCCGACGGCCGTCGCGCTCGTCTCGTAGCCGAGCCAGCGTCGACGGCCGCCGCCATGTGTGCGCGGTATGATTGCCGGAGCGCCGCTGGTGTGTCGGAGGCGCTCCAGGCGACGGCAGCACAGTACGTGAGCGCCGCTCGGGCCGGGGCGTTCGTTCTCAATAATATATTGGTCCAGCGCGTGAACCACCGTTTGAGTTCGAGTGTTCCAGGACTCTCGCTCGAAAGGCTCTCGATGGTCTCGCGAACATTGCGCGACATCATAACGAAACCGCGGTTCCGACCGTTCGCGAAAGCGCTGGCTCGAGCGCAGCGGATCGCGCAGAACCGCGCGCTCGAGGACGAGAACCTTCGCGACGAGTACGAGCGGCGCGGCGTCTGGACGTCGGACGACCGCCCGGCGCTCGAGCCGCTCAACGCGGTCTGCGAGGCCTTCATGGCCGGCAAAGACCCGGAGCAGCGCTGGCCCGCGCCCGACGCCGGCTTCTGGCCGGCGCTCCCCCCGGCGGTGCCCCGCGCGACGGGCCCGACGGCGGTCCTGGCGCGCATTCCGCTCGCCGACTACGAGGCGGCGGGCGTCGTCGAGGCGCACGCCGTCGCGTCCAAGCTTCTGCCCGACGTTCTCGGCACGACGCCGGAGGCCGAGCCCTGGGTCGCGGCCGCGGCCTTCGTCCTCTGCGCCGGCGGCGAGAGCCCCGTGCAGACGCTCGCGGCGCTCGCCGCCGTCGAGCACGCGCTCGGCGACTCGCGCGCCGCGTCCACGGTCGCGTCCATGGTCGCGCGCGAGTTCGGCGCCAAGCTGCTCGCGAAGCTCGTCGAGGGCCAGTGGGACCGCGCGATCTTCCACCGCCACGCGGTCTGGCGCGGGGTCCTGGTGCAAAACATCGGGCGGGCGCTCGACTGGATGAGGCTCGTCGGCGACCAGTTCCGGCGGCCGCGGCCCGCCGCGCCGGACGCGCCGCGCGCGCTCACGGCCGAGCAGGAGGCCTACGCCGCGGAGCCCCTGGATCCGGCGAACAACGACGTGATCCTCGTGAAGGCCTACGCCGGCACGGGAAAGTCGCACTCGACGCTGGAATTCGTCGCGCGGCGGCACGGCCCGGAGTCGCCCGTCCTCGTCGCCTACTTCAACGCGGCGATGGCCGCCGAGATGCGTCTGAAATTGACCGCGACGATCCCCGGCGGCGCCTGGGAGTGCGCGACGCTCGACGCGCTCGTCCAGCGCGAGTTCCTCCGCCAGGTCCCGAGCCTCGCGGCGCGCAAGTTCCACGACGCCTCCAAGTCCGGCCCGGCCATCACGAGCCAGGCGGTGCGGCGGTGCGTGGGAATCAGCGACGGCGCGTATTTCAGCGGAACCATCGCGACGCATACGAAGCGCGTCCTCGCGATTTGGGTGAACTCCGACAAACGGCACTTCGGGGACGCCATCATCCCCTACAGCGTCATTAAGTGGTGGCACGCGCGCAGCAAGGCCATGCCGCCCTTCCTCGAGCTCGCGCAGAAGCTCTGGCGCGGAATCTTGTCGCTCGCGGAGTCGAACGACGACCTGAAGCTTTCTTTCGGCGAGGTCGCCAAGTGCTTCGCGCTCCGCCCCTACGTCGACGAGCCGGACGTCCAGTGGATGCTCGCGGGCCGCGGCGACTGCGTCCTCCGGCGGCTTTCGCCCTTCGAGGGCGCGCGGGGCTACGCCTACGTCGTCATCGACGAGGCCCAGGATCTGAACCCGCCCCACTTCGAGCTTTTCGTCTCGGCGCCGCGCCGCAACGGCGACCGCGTCGCGCACGCCATCGTCGGCGACCCGTACCAGTCGCTCTACGCGTGGCGCGGCGCGAGGAACGCGCTCAAGTCGGCGGCGCCCCTGGCGACGACGACGGTCTCGCTGACGAAGTCCTTCCGATTCGGCCCCGCGGTCGCCTGCCTCGCGACGGCGGTGCTGCAGGAGTGCGAGGCGCGCCCCGAGGGCAGCCCCAAGCCCCCGCCGCTCGAAGGCGTCGGGCCGGACAGCCGGCTCCACATGCGCAACGACATCGCGTGCCACGACTACACGCAGAGCCCGCTCGCCGTGCTCGCGCGGTCGAACAAGTCCGTGATGGAGGAGGCCAACGCCTACGCGCTCCGCGCCGGCGACGACGCGGCGCCGTTCCTCTTCCTCCGCGGCCAGAACCTCGGAAAGCAGCGGATGATCGTCAACGTGCTCGTCGGCCTGCGCGACGACGAAGCGGCGGTGGCGACCTTCGGCGAGGACCGGGGCTCCTGGGAGCATTTCCTGCGGCTCCACGCGGAGGAGGCGCTCGAAGACGCGGAGCTCGTCAAGGCCATCGAGCTCGTCAAATCGAACCAGCAGGCCGTCGCGATCATCGACCGCGTCCAGGCCGCGTCGGTCGCCGTCGCCGAGGACGCCCGCGTCGTCCTCGGGACGGTCCACTCCTTCAAGGGCTTGGAGGGCACCGCCGTGCGCCTCCTCGACGACATCGTCCCGTCGTGCACCGAGCGCATGGTCCCGCGGGGCCTCTCGAATCCGGACCTGTGTCTCATCTACACGGCGCTGACGCGCGCGCGCGACGAGCTGTACCTCAACAAGGGGCTGCGGAAGTTGTGGTTGACGCGGCGGCCCCCGCGGCCCGTGCTCCGCCTCGCGCCGCCGCCGCCCGCGCCCGCTCCGGACGACGACGACGACGAGCCTCTACCCGAGCTGCCGGGCTGGTGCGGCCTCTGTGGCAACGATGTGCCCCTCGACGGTCTCGTGATTCGAGGCTTCCGCGCCGCGCCGAGCCACACGACGACGGCCCTCGTCTGCGAGGCCTGCTCGAAGTGCCACGATTTGCAGCTGCCGCTCCGCCTCCAGCGGCAGCCCGCCTTCGAATTCATCGCGGGCTGGAAGATCCCCGTGCCGGACGTCGACGAGTCCTGAGCTGGACTCGATCGAGGCCCCCCCTGTTGTAAAATCTGTGTTCTCTCAGCTTCGTCTTCGGCAGGGCGAGTCCCTGGGAGGATCGCCAGGCGGACACGCCCGCGCCTTACGAACGCCGCTCACGCGTCCGCGCGCGCCGCCCGCATGGCCCTGGCGTGCCACTCGAGCTGCTCGAGCATCCGGTCCGCGCTCTTGGCCGCGGCCGTGTCGGCCGCGAGCATGCCCGTGGTCTCGTCGAAGGTGCCCGGCCGGAAGGCCCCCGGCAGCTGGAACGTCGCGGACACGGGCAGGCAGCCGAGCTCGCTCAGGTACGCGCGGAGCGCGACGCCGCAGCGCGCGCCGCCCCACATGCCCGCGGAGTACGTGGCGATGCCGCTGGGCTTCCGCGCGTACACGGACGACCCGAAGTAGTTCATGAGGTTCACGAGGCCCGGCGAGATCGTGTGGTTCATCTCCGGGCTGGCGACGACGATGGCGTCGGCCGACCGCAGCAGCGCCGCGGTCGCCTCGAGCGCCGGCGGCGCGACCTCGTCGTCCCTGTAGTGGAAGTAGGCCTTCTCCATCAGCCGCATGAAGAAGCCGTCCTGGCTCGTCCGCGGGTCGAGCACGGTCACGGCGTGGCCGCCGCGCTCCTCGAGCTTCGCCTCGAGGTAGGCTCCGACCTTGCCGCCGATGCGCTTGGCGCGCGTGCTGCCCAGGATCAGGACCGTGTTCAGCGGCGCGTCGCCGGCGCTGAAGCTGCGCCGAGCCGCGAGACCACGCAGCGGTGGCGCGTTGCCGGCGCTGAAAATGGGTCGAGTTGCGAGAGCACGCAGCGGTGGCGCGTCGCCGGCGCTGAAGCTGCGCCGAGCCGCGAGACCACGCAGCGGCGGCGCGTTGCCGGCGCTGAAGATGGGTCGAAAAGCTCGAGCCATTGCTTCTAGATTTCGAGCTCCGAAGCCGATGTTTGACCTCAACCGATGTTCAACATAGATTGCGGAATCGAGAACGATGGTGACTCGTGGCCCTGACCAGACACGTAAAGTCCCACGGCTCCTCGAAGGGGCGTTATAGACTGGTGCGATCGGGGGGGGGGGCGGCGGCGGGATGGACACACGGACGGCTACTTCTTCGCCATGGCGAACTCGACGAACTCGTCGAGGAGGATGGGCCAGGAGGACTCGTCGGCGTCCCAGCCGAGGAAGTCCGGCGCCGGGCCGACGTTGAGGGAGAAGTCGAGGAAGGAGCACCACTGGTCGCGGTTGATTTTGAAGTCCTCGGGCTTCGTCTCGAGGAACTCGAGGAAGGTCTTCGTGTGCTTGGACCGGTCCTCGATGCAGATGGGCAGCAGGGCCAGCGCCGTGTCGCGCTCGAGGAACTTCTTCGTGCCCTCGCGGTTGAACTCGAAGCAGAACTTGAAGAACGGCCGGAAGTCCGAGTTCTCGAGGAACGCCGGGTCGAGCGTGGACCAGCCCGCCTTGAGCGTCTCGAGGGTCACGGGCTTGTCGCAGGTCGGCAGGCTCGGCTCGCTGCCGAGCTTGGCCCACTCCTCCTCGGACACGCAGCCCGGCTTCTCGGCGCCGAGGCGCCAGCAGAGCACGAGGAGCTTCGTGTCGCTGCTCGCGTCGATGCCCAGGTCCTCGCCGAGCTTGCCGAGGCCCTCGAAGGTCACGTAGCCCTCGTCGGGGTCCGCGTAGGTCGCGAAGGCCAGCGCCGTGCCCCCGGCCTTCTTCTTCGACCCGCGCGGACTGCTCGCCTTTTTCGAGCTCGCGCTCGTCGCCGCCTTCGACTTCTTCGACGCGGCGCCGCTCGCCTTGCTCGTGGACTTGCGCTTCGGCGCCTGCGCGGGAAAAAATGGGTGGGCGCGGCGAATTTCGTGCACGCGAGAGGAGGCACGACGCACCATGCTGCTCTCCCGCTCAAAATGAGATGTGGGTCCGGCACCATTGGGGAAACATCTGATGACCCTGGCCAAAGGTGCCGCTGATAATCGAGCACGCAGCCCCGCCACGATGGGCGCCGCGTCGGAGGAGCGCAGCTCGCTCATGTCGCGACCGGACGAAGCGGAAGCCGCCGAGCCGGCGCGGCGCGTCGCGGCGCTGGCCTTGGCGGTAGGACTCTCCGTCGCCGCCGTCGCCGGGGCCGGCGGCGTGCGGCGCCTCATCGCGGGGGACGCCTTCGCCGAGACGCCTCTCCGGTTCCGCGTCGCGAACCCGGAATACGGCGACGCGGCGCCGGCGTCGCTGGCGCTCTACCCCTTCGCCCACGTCGGCGAGCCGCACCGCGCGTCCCGCCTGACCGCGGAGGACGCCGTCGGGGGCGCGACGTACGCGTGGACCGTGCGCCTGGACGGCGCGCTGGTCGCGTCCGGCGCCGGCGCGACCTTCGCCTTCAACTTCACGGCGCCGGGCCGGCGCTACGCCGTCGCGCTCGCGGAGTCGCCGAGCGGGCGGACCGCGGAGGACGACGTGCACTGCAAGTACGTGCGACGGGAGATCCGCGCGCTGACGGACCGGGAGCGGTCGGCCTACTTCGACGCCTTCGAGGTCGTCGCGAAGCTGCCCCTGGAGGAGGGCCGCGCCAGGTACGGCGAACACTTCGTGAACCTCCACAGCACGACGATCAAGCACGTGCACGGCACCGGGTGCAGCCCCTTCCACGGGGGCCTGAGCTTCCTCACGGCCCACACGGCCTTCACCTACGAGGTCGACCGCGCCATGCAGCTCGTGGACCCGGGCGTCCTCACGCCCTACTGGGACTTTACGCTCGACGCGGAGTTCCTCGGCGCGAACTGGACGGAGTCGCAGCTCTTCCAGCTCGACTGGTTCGGGCCGCTCATGCCCAAGAACGCGCAGCGGACCCTCGAGGGGCGCTTCGCGAACGTGTCCGTGCCCAGCGACTGCGACTTCGACGTCCACAACGCCTACTGCCGCGTGACCGACGAGCGGAACGAGGACCCGAGCGCGCTCGTCACGCGCGCGCACGAGCTCTGCGGCCTGAAAACGGACGTCGCGTTGCCGGGCTGCTCCGAGTTCTCCCAGTGCCTGACGACGACGTCCCTCACGGACCTGCACACGTGCGCGGAGGACGTCATGCACGGCAACATGCACACGGTGATCGGCGGCTTCTTCGGCTGCCCCTACGCGCTCGGCGACCTCGTGGCGAACCACCCGTCCTGGGAGGAGATGCTCACGGGCATCGGCACGCGGGCCATCAACATCTGGCAGCACGTCTACGGCGCCAAGGCGATGAAGTGCCCCCTGAAGTGCGACGCGGCCGAGGACTCGTGGGAGACGTGCCACTGCTCCTGCCCGGCCCTGTCGCCGAAGCCGGGGCCCAACGGCACCGTCGAGGCGGCGACGCTCGGCGTCGACGCGTCGAAGCGCTTCTTCAACGAGACGGGCATCATCTACTTCGCCGACCCGTCGGACTGCTCGTCGTTCGCGTCGCCCTACGTCTACAAGAAGTACTTCGACGTCCAGACCAAGGCCGACGGCTCCTGCGACTACTCCATCAAGGGCCTGAACAACGACGACAACAAGGAGTTCCTCCACTTCCTCGCGTTCTTCTCGTGCTCGCCGGGCAAGTTCGGCGCCATGTCCACCGCGGCGTCGGCCAACGACCCCCTCTTCTGGCCCATCCACCCGCTCTTCGACCGGCTCCTGGCCTACATGCGCCTCTCGGGGGACCTCGACCTCGCCTGGCCCGACGCGACGTGCCGCGGCCACTCCCTCGACGACACGCTGCCCTTCTCCGGCTTCCGCGACGCCGACAACGCGACGGACCTCTACACGAACCGGGACCTGCTGGACGTCTTCGACCCGGCGTCCGCGGAGCTGAACTACGTCTTCGCCGACTTCTCCTGGGACCACTGCGACGCGGCCATCGCCGACGCCGCGACCTTCGCGTTCCAGGACTCCTCGGCGCGCACGGGCGGCGGCGGCCACGCGCGGAGGTAACGCGTCGTCGGATCTTACTCATCGCGCGCTCTCGAGGCGGAGCCGCCAGCGCGCCGCGCCGACCTTGCGCGCGCGCCGCACGCCGCACTCCCAGTCGTGGAGGAACGTCTGGAGCAGAGCAGTGATGTCGCCGTTCGGCTCGTCGTCGAGCGCGAGGATGACCTCCCGCTCGTCGGCGCCGCGCGAGATCGTCCATCTCGTCGGCAGGCCGACGGCCGCGAGGATCGGCGCGTTCGCGAACAGCGAGCGGATGTCGTCGACGATCTGTTCGTAGTAGGGGCCCTCGTCGAGGTCGACGAAGCCCTTGATGATCGCGCCCTTTTTGGGAGACGGTTTGCGCGGGTGCGGGCTGGGGAGGTCGAGGTCGAAGAGGGCGTGCTCGCGGCGGTAGAAGTGGCTGTTGCGGAGCATCGTAAAGGGCTGGTCGAGCATGGTAGACGGGGCTGGCGGCTGGCTGCTGGAGCGCGCTGGGCAGCACCGGTCTTTGATTGCGTTGGTTCGCGACGATGCGTTAGGTTCTCTGCGGGCAGCCTCATGCTTCCTGACAATCCGGGAATGAGAGGCTGCCCGATCCGAACCGCTTGTGCTTGTTTGCTGTGTTTATAAACAGTTTTGCCTGTGAACGTAACACGAGCGACCATATCATTCGGAGAGCACCGCTTCCCGTCAGCTCAGCGAAGTTAAGCCGGATCGAGCTTGGTTAGTACTACGGTGGGTGACCACGTTGGAATCCCGAGTGTTGCTCGTTTTTTTTTTTTTTTTTTCCCCTTTCGGCCCCTATTTGCGACGATTCGGCGTATTTAACCGTGGCACAGGGAGATTGGCAATCACGCTTCCAGATGCGAGAGGTCGCCGGCGCATGGTCAACGGCGCGCTTAAACCTTGAAGATTGGAAGGTCGGCTCCCCAGATATATCATAGATCATGCCCAGACGAGATTGAGTGGTTTCCAGCGTCGAGAGAGGCTGCCCTTCGACGTTCTGCAGCCATGATGCGCGGCGTCGTCCTCGCGAGCCTCCTGGCCGCGGCCCGCGGCGCGGCGTCGTGGAACGAGTCCTACGTCGACGGGCTGCTCCACGCCGGCGCCGTGGCGAAGGTCGAGGGGCTGCTGCCGGCGTCGTCGTTCCGGCTCGACGCGCTCGTCGCCGCGCTGGGCGACGCGGCCTGGGCCGAGCCCCTGGTGCACCTGAGCTCGGAGCGCGGGGCGCAGGCGGCGCTCGGGTCCTACGCCGACGTCGCCGCCGCCGTCGCCGCGGGCGACGCGAGCGCCGTGCTGCGCCTCGAGAAGCTCGCGGCGCCCGGCGCCGCGGTCGCCGCGGCCCTCGGCGGCGACGGCCTCGGGTGGGCCCTGGACCGCGGCGACAGCGTGCACGTCTACTGGAGCGGGCCCGGCGGCGCGGCGCTCAGGAACCACACGGACCCGTCGGAGATCCTCGTCGTGCAGCTCTCGGGGACCAAGGCGTGGCTCGTCTGCGCGGAGCCGCCGCGGAGCCCCTTCGAAGACGCCGAGGCGAAGCTCGACCGGTGCGCGTCCTACGACGACGTCGAGATGGCCGGCCGCGCCTGCGAGACGCTCACGCTCGGGCCCGGCGACGCGCTCGCGATCCCGCCGCGGACCGTGCACTCGGCGCGCGCGGTGGGCGGCGAGTCCGTGCACCTCACGCTCCAGCGCGCCGGCGCGCGGCCGGCCTGCGGCGACGTCGACGAGGAGGCGGGCTACGGCGCCGCCCTGCGCGCCGCCGGCGCCCGGGACGCGCTCGTCGCCATGGCGGACGCCGGCGTGTTCCCGCCGGACGTCGCGCTCGAGGACGCGGACGCCGCGGCGCGCAGCGACGGCCTCGCCGAATTCGCCATCGGCGACGACGACGTCGCCGACGCCTGGCGCCGCGCCGCGCGGGCCCAGGGCTGGGCGGGGCTCGACGCGCTCGCGGCGCCCGCGACGCTCACCGTCGGCGCGGGCGACGCGCTCGAGGCCGCCGTCGTGTCCCTGGCGACGCGGCGCGCGCCCGCCGGCGGCTGCGCGGGCCTCCGCGCGGTCTTCGGCGCCTTCGCCGCGTTCGACGACGAGGCGGCCTGCGCCGCGGCCGCCGCGTTCGCGGCCGCGCTCGACGGCGCGGGCGCCGTCTCCGTCGCCGCGGACCGCGACGGGTCCCCGCGCGTCGCCGTCGAGCGCGGCGCGCTGGCCGACGTCGCCGTCGACGGCGCGTCCCGCGGCGCCGCCGCCGACGACTTCTTCGCCGCCGTGGCGGCGGCGGCGCCCGCGGCGAGCGGGCCGCTCGCGAAGCTGCGCGCGTGCGCGGCCAGGGCCGCGACGGCGCTGTCCGCGACGTTCGCCGTCGACGACGGCTCCGTCGAGGTCGGCCTGGCGGCGCCGCGGGGCGCCCTGCCCCAGGTGCTCGACTGCGTCGCCGAGTCGGGCGTCGTCGACGCGTCGCGCGACGGCGCGACGGGCCTCCGCGTGACGCTCGCCGCGTCCGGCGCGGTCACCGGCGCGGCGACGGTGACCTCCGCCGCGGGCGGCGACGTCGCGCTCGCGCGGCGCCGCGCGCTCCAGACGACGACCTGGCGCGTGGGCAACGCCTGCGCCGTCGGCACCTACGGCAGCGGCTACGAGTGCGCGAGCTGCAACGAGGAGTGCGACGTGCAGCACTGGTCCGGCGCGTACTACGAGTACTCCTGCGACAGCGGCTGCACGAGCTGCGCGTCGTGCCCGGAGTGCGAGCCGGGCACCTACCAGCCCTACACGGCCCAGACCTACTGCTACAGCTGCCCGACGGGCACGTACGCGCCGTCGAACGGGCTGACGGCGTGCACGGTCTGCGAGGTCGGCAAGTACGCCATGGCCGCCGGGAGCTGCGCCTGCACGCTCTGCGAGCCGGGCACCTACGCCCCGGCCACGGAGACGGTGCTCTGCACGGAGTGCGAGGCCGGCCGCTACCAGTCGGCCTTCGGGGCCACGACGTGCTACGACTGCCCCGAGGGCTTCTTCTGCCCGACGCAGGCCGACGGCGCCACGGCGTGCCCCGCGGGCAAGTACTCGGGCGCGAACGCCGAGGACTGCATCTCGTGCCCGGACGGCTACTACAGCGACGCGGACTGCGACGGCGACGACGCGGACGCGTGCTCGGGCGGCATCACGTCGTGCGAGCCCTGCGCCGCGGGGACCTACCCGTCGACGTCCAACGCCTACTGCATCTCCTGCGACGCCGGCACCTACTCGCCGGGCGGCCAGGAGACCTGCACGGAGTGCCCCGCGGGCGCGTACTGCGGCACGGGCTCCTCGAGCTACACGATCTGCGAGGCGGGCAAGTACGCCATCTCCGGGAGCTCGTCCTGCTCCTCCTGCGCCGCGGGCCGCTTCCTCGCGGACGACGGCGCGACGCTCGAGGCCCACGACACGGGCAACGACTGCGTCGTCTGCGACGCGGGCCGCTACAGCGCGTCGTCGGCGTCCGGGTCGTGCGCCGCGTGCGCGGAGGGCACCTTCCTATGGGACGAGACGCTCCTGGACGAGCTGCTCCACGACAACGCCAACGATTGCTCGTCGTGCCCCGAGGGCACCTACAGCGGCGCCGGCGCGTCGTCGTGCGCGGCCTGCGACGCGGGCACGTTCGCGGCGGGCGAGGGCAACAGCGCGTGCGAGGTCTGCGCCGCGGGGTCCTACGTCGTCGAGGCCCAGCAGGGCGCCTGCCTGCCCTGCGCGGCGGGCAAGTACAACGACGACGCCGGCACCGACGCGTCGAACCACGACGAGAGCGCCGACTGCCTGAGCTGCGACGCGGGCAAGTTCAGCGAGGACGCCGGGTCGACGGCGTGCGACGACTGCGCCGCTGGCACCTTCGCGAGCGGCGTGGGCAACAGCGACTGCAACGTGTGCTACGCGGGCACCTACAGCCTCGGCGCCGCGGCGACGTGCGCGCACTGCCCGGCGCAGACGTCCCTCGCGGACGAGGGCACCGCGGCGTCCGCGCACGACTCCGAGGACGACTGCCTGGGCTGCGGCGAAGGCCTCTGGTGCGCCAGCGGCGGCTGCCACGAGTGCACGGACTGCGAGCTCTGCACGAACGAGAACCACGAGCCCACGTTCGCCGTCGGCGACGCGACGCTGGACTTGGGCGCCGTCGACGAGAACGGCGGCTTCGCCATCATCGGCGAGCTGGGCGCGTCGGACATCGAGAACGACTACCTGGACTACGTGATCACGGCCGGCGACGACGCGGGCCTCTTCAGCGCCGCGAACAACATCCTCTACGTCGTCGCCGACGCCGGTCTGGATTTCGAGACGGCGACGAGCTACACGCTGACCATCGAGGCGACGGAGGCGTACACGACGGAGCAGTACTCCGCGACCTGACGGTGCTCGTGACCGTCAACGACGTCAACGACATCGCCATGACGGCCGCGTCGCCGTCGACGCTCTCGGTGGTCGGCGGCGAGGCCGTCGTCATCACGGGCGCGAACCTCGGGCCCTACGGCGACGCCGCGGGCGTCGACGTGACCATGACCTACGGCAACGGCGCCGACGGCGCGACCTACTACGCCTACGGCTGCTCCGTGACGACGCCGGGCACGGAGATCACGTGCTCCACGGACGAGGGCGTCGGCGCGCTCCACTCCTGGACCGTGACCATCGCGGCGCCCGGCGCGACGACGTGGACGGCGACGGGCGCGTTCACGACGTCCTACGCGGGGCCGACGCTGGCCTCCGTGACGACGACCGCGGACCTCGCGACGGCCGGCGGCGAGGCCGTCGCGCTCGGCGGCTCCGAGTTCGGCCCGCGGTGCGACGGCTACTGCGGAGAAGGAGAGAAGCCCTGCGGCGGCGCGTGCGTCGAAACGTCCGCGACCTGCGCGAGCGCGCCGGCCGACGACGCGCTCTGCGGGGCGTGGCTCGCGGACACGGTCCGCGTGTTCTACGCCGCGGACGCCGACGACCTGGGCTCGTCCTGGGCCTGCGCGTCCGTCGACGTGTCGTCGTCGGACGGGGGCGAGCTCACGTGCGTGACGGGCGCGGGCTACGGCACCGCGGGCTACTGGGTCGTGCTCGTCGGGTCGCCGGGCGCGAACGCGGCGTACACGTACCGAACGGAGGACTTGCACGACGCCACCGTGTCCTACGCGGCGCCGAGCATCTCGGGCATCGCGACGGCCGACGGCACGGCCATCACCATGCTGCCCACGATCGGCGGCACGACCATGGTCGTCGCGGGCGCGAACTTCGGCGCCGCCGACGACCTCGCGTCCGTGTCCGTCGACATGCACGCGAACCAGGGCGACGGCGACGGATGGGTCGACCTCGAGGACTGCGCCATCACCGTGGACCACACGGAGATCACGTGCGTCCTCCCGGAGCGCGGCGGCGTCGACTATCACTGGCGCGCGACGCGCGCGGGCCTGACGAGCGACGCTTCTACCGTGCTCACGAAATACGCCCCGCCGACGGTCACGGGCGTGAGCGGCGCGCTCACGATTTCGTCGACGGCGGGCGGCGCGACGATCTACGTCCACGGCGACAACTTTGGCTTGACGTGGATGGAGTCGTCGTTCACCTACGGCCCTTTGCCCGACGCGGACCTCTACTCGGGCACCTGCTCCGTCACGGTGAAGCACGAGCGCGCGGCCTGCACGACGGGCCCGGGCACGGGCTCCGGCCACGCGCTCAAGTTCACGCTCTGGGGCCAGGAGTCCGTCGTCTTCGACGCGGGCGTCGGCTACGGCACGCCGTACATCACCTTCTACGAGAACTTCTACTCGAGCGACCCGGACCGCGACGGCTTCCTCACGGCGGGCGGCGAGAAGATCGTCGTGCACGGCGGCAACTTCGGCGCCGACGACTCCAAGATCGACGCGGTCACGTTCGGGCCCAGCGGCTACGAGTACCAGACCTGCGACGTCGACGGCGCCTACGGCGCGCCGGGCTGCGGCTGCGTCGTCGCGTTGGACCACGAGGCGCTGGAGTGCAACACGACGGCGGCCGTGGGCATGAACCACCAGTGGAAGGTCATCATCGACGGCCAGCACTCGACGACGCCGTCGACGAAGACGCAGCCGCCGTCCGTTGACGCGATCGTGATCGTCGGCAACGAGAGCGTCGCGGCCGTCGCGGCCGTCGGCGGCGGCGAGGTCGTGCGGATTCTGGGTGCGAACTTTGGCGCGGAGCAGGACAAGGTCGAGGGCGTCAGTTACGGGCCGAGCGGCGCGGAGTACGCCGCGCGCAACTGCACGCTCCTCGGCGACGGCGCGCTCGAGTGCCTGACGTCGCCGGGCATCGGCGAGGAGCTTTCCTTCACGGTGGTCGTCGCGGACCAAGCGTCCGAGCCCGGCGGCGTGTTGAGCTACGCGGCGCCGGAGATCTTCGCCATCGCGCCCGCGGCCGCGGAGACGGCCGGCGGCGCGCTCCTCGTCATCAACGGCACCAACCTCGGCCTGGACTACTACATGTCGTATTTAGAGGTGCTCGTCGACGGCGCCGTCGTCGCCCTCGACGGCGCGGAGCTCACGCGCGCGACGCCGGGGAGCTCGGGCTACACGTACGCGTGCGGCGACGGCCTCGAGTGCGTCGCGCTCGTCGCGCCGCCCATGGGCGACGCCGTCCACACGTGCGCGGTTTCCGTGCGCGTGGGCTCGACGGAGCACCCGTCCATCGTGCTGTCGAGCGGCGAGGTGAGCTACGAGTACGACGGCCCCGTCATCACGTCGCTGTCGACGGCGGACGGCGACACGTTCGGCACGGTCAAGTGCGAGATTCTCGGCCACAACTTCGGGGCCAGCGCGAACCTGGGGAGCGTCTACGTCAACGGCGCGAAGATCCCCGCGGCGCAGATCAGCGAGTACGGCCACAATCGCATCGTCCTGCTCTACCTCGGGGGCGTCACGGGCGTGCTCTACGTGGAGCTCGGCGCCAAGGCGTCCGACGAGATGAGCTTCGAGATCCGCTCGCCGCGCCTGGTCACGGAGGACTCCCGCTTCAAGCCGGACGCCGACGGCTACCGCACGACGGGCACGACGGCCGACGGCGACCAGCGGTTCGTCACCGTCGCGGGCTACCACTTCTCGGGCTCGATGGAGGTCTGGGTCGGGGCCGAGGAGGTGCTCGACGGCAACGGCGACCAGCGCTTCGGCGTCCAGGCCGAGATCGTCGGCGACCTGGAGGAGGTCGACGACGTCCTGACGACGCTCGACATCGACGACACGTGCCGGAGCCTCACGTTCAAGGTGCCCGAATCCGCGGGCGCGCGCGAGATCATCACCGTCTTCTCCGGCGGCTACCCGTCCTACGTCGGCAACACGTCCGCCGACGCGCTCTACATCAACTACCTGCCGCCGTCCATCGACAGCGTCTCCGCGACGCTCGTCGGCACCGCGGGCGGCGACGAGCTCGCGCTCGCGGGCGACAACTTCGGCCCCGCCGAGGACGCCGTGAGCCTCGGCGGCGTCGCGTGCGCCGTCGTCTCCTGGAGCCACACGACCGTTGTGGTGACGGCGCCGCCGGGCGAGGGCGCGGGGCTGTCGCTGGTCGTCGAAGCCGCGGACCAGGCCGCGTCCGTCGGCGTCGGCTACAACCCGCCGGTCGTCGCCTCCGTGGACCCGCCGAGCCTCAGCCTCACGAACGCGGGCGGGCTGATCACGATCACGGGCTCCGACTTCGGGCTCGACCCCGTCGTCTCCCTGCCGCTCGACGCGGACCGCGCCGTCGCGACGTCCGTGGTCAGCCACGACCACTCGACCATCGTGCTGAGCGTCGGCGCGGGCCAGGGCCGCAACGACCTCACGATCGACGTCGCCGGCCAGGTCGCCATCGAACCCTACGCCTACGCGGCGCCCGTCGTCGCGTCGTCGTCGCCCGACGAGGCCGCGACCGAGGGCGGCGTCGCCATGACGATCGCGGGGTCGCACCTCGGCGTCGGCAGCGACTACGTCGTGTCCTTTCAGATCGACGGCGCGACGCTCTTCTCGACGGCGGACGGGAGCCTCGTCGTGTCGTCCTACGCGACGGACGCCATCGAGCTCCTGTCGCCCGAGGGCGAGGCGTCGGGCCCGATGACCGTCGTCGTCGCGGCGTGCGGATCCGTCGACGACCCGGACAGCTGCGTCGCCAGCGGCGAGGCCGTGACCTTCACGTTCTCGCCGCCGAAGATCTACTACGTCGCCGTCGAGGCCTTCGACGGGTCCCTCCTGCGCCCCTTCGCGGGCTGCTACGTGCCCGAGGGCGAGACCGAGGAGGTCTGCGTCGACGCGTCCTGCGACCGGACGGCGGCCTGCAAGGGCGCGACGCTCGACGGCTGCGACCTCCGCACGCGGGGCGGCGCGGAGGTCGTGCTCTACGGCGCCAACTTCGGGCTGTCGCTCCCGACGATCGTCTTCGACGGCGCGCCCGTGGACGCGGAGCTCGTGTCGCACGACGCGGGCCACTCGACGCACGCGCTCGTCAAGTTCGTGCTCCCCGCCGGGAGCGGCAGGGACCTCGACGTCGTCGTCGAGGCCGGCGGCACGGCGAGCGCGGCGGCGGCCTTCGCCTACGACCCGCCGTGCGTCACGTCCGTGTACCCGAACGCGCCCGACGCGTCCGGGTCCGTGCTCAACATCAACGGCCACAACTTCGGCGAGACCGACGACGCCGCGGGCAACGTCTCCATCGTCATCGGCGGCCTCGAGTGCGGGCCCGTCGTCGTCGGCGCGACGACGCTCCCCGCGTGGCAGACCGACGGCGGCAACGCGTACCTCTACTGCGCGACGCCGCGGCTCACCGTCGGCGTCAAGGACGTCAACATCACGGCCGCGGGCCAGTCCGTCTACTACGCCGAGTCGGAGGCGATGATCTCCTTCTCCTGCGCGAACGACCACTACGGCCAGGTCGCGGACCAGGTCTACGTCGAGGCCGACGGGTCGTGCCACGAGGAGTGCGTCGAGGACGACGCGCGGGCCTGCGCCGTCGTCCACCTGCCCGACGGCAACGTGAAGAACTGCACCGTGCTGACGCGCGAGGACGAGTACTGCCTCGAGTGCCCGCTCGGGTCCATGTGCGACGCGTGGACGACCGTCTACCCCATCGAGCCCTACGCCGAGTCCGGCTACTACCGCCTGGACCTGGGCGACGCGGGGGAGTACGACGTCTCCTGCGACGCCTTCCGCGAGCACCGGCCCTTCTACTGCTACGACTTCTCGCCGTGCTCGCCCGCGGACGCGTGCGTCGGCGCGAACGAGTGCGCCGAGGGCTACACGCAGACGAAGTGCTCGAAGTGCTGCGACGTCTCGCGGAGCCGCAACGCCGACGGCTCGAAGAATCCGGAGTGCTGGAACGACGCGAAGACGGAGGAGATGCTCTACTACCGGGCCTACGGCGAGTGCGTCGAGTGCCCGACGTCGCAGGCCTGGCTCATCGCGCTCCTCGTCGTCGGCGCCGCGGGCGCGGGCGGCCTGGCGTACCTGCTGAAGAAGCGCCGGGTCGAGATCGCCGTGCTGGCCATCGGCGTGGACTACCTGCAGGTGCTGAGCGTCTTCGCGGGCACGGAGATCGCGTGGCCGCGGGTGCTCCGCGACTTCTACCGGAACCTGGCGGTGATCAACCTCGATTTCTTGGACATCTTCCCGCCGGAGTGCTCGCTCGCCATGAGCTACGAGCAGTCCTGGCTCGCCGTCGAGTTCGCGCCGCTGATCCTGGCGGCGGCGTGCTACCTCGTCTTCCTCGTCGTCTACACGTACCAGGTCTGCGCGAACGCGCACAACCGCCGCGAGATGAAGAAGAAGCTCGCGCGCCTGCGGGGCCAGCTCACGTCGGCCCTGCTGTACGGGTTCTACTTCGTCTACCTCTACATCGCGGAGAACACGCTCGACGTGCTCAACTGCGCGCGCGTGGAGAACCCCGACGGCGCGCGCACGGAGGAGGAGTACCTCATGAGCGACCCGTCCGAGCTCTGCTGGACCGAGGGCGAGACGCAGGCGCGGCTCTACCCCGTGGCCATCGGGTTCATCTTCGTCTACATCTTCGGCTACCCCCTGCTGCTCTTCTGGCTCCTCAAGTCGAAGGAGACGCGGAGCCTCATCTACGACGACCAGCTGCTGCGCTACATGCACAAGGGCGGCCACGAGGAGGGCCTGAGCCCCTACCTCGCGACCGTCGCGAAGACGCGCGCGAAGCTGGGGCTGCTCTACTACCGCTTCAAGCCCGACATGCCCTACTGGATCGTCGTCGTCGTGCTCCGGAAGATGTGCCTCGCGATCACGACGATCATGTTCCACTCGTCGGCGTCGTTCCAGCTCGCGACGCTGCTGCTCATCCTCTTCTCCTCGCTCGTGCTCCAGATGCGGCACCTGCCCTACTCGTCGCCCGCGCTCGGCACGGACGTGCTCCGCCTCGAGGACGAGCGGCTGAAGCGCCTCGAGGAGGAGGAGAAGGCGAGCCCGAACTACAAGGACCAGGCCGCGCGCAAGGCGCGGACGAAGATCATCAACTTCGACGGCTACAAGGCCCACCCCAAGGTGACGAACGTCTCCGCGAAGTTCGTCTTCGAGTACAACACGGTCGAGGGCCTGCTCCTGTCCTGCTCCGTGCTCATCTGCCTCTTCGGCGTCATGCTCGACTCGGACTACCTCGAGGACGGCAAGCACAAGTCCGTCCGCGAGGCCATCACGATCCTCACGCTCTTCATCATCTCCGTCTCGCTCGCCTACTTCGGCGCGGTCATCTGGCACGAGATCGTCTCCGAGCTCTTCCCGTTCCTCAAGTGCACGCCCTGCCTCGAGAACCGGGTCCAGGTCAAGGAGCGCGCGTCGACCTTCGACAAGAACATCGAGCTCGCCGAGGGCAACTTCAACCGGCGCGCGGCGCGGCCCGAGAAGGTGCAGGACGCGGACCTCATGTCCGTCGAGGAGCAGCTCCAGATGAAGGCGCTCCTCGCGAAGATGCAGGACGAGAACCGCGCGCTCAAGAAGGACCTCGCCGCGGCGTCCAAGGACGACGCCAAGACCGCGACGAAGGTCGTCAAGAAGAAGAAGGGCTTCGCCAACGTCTTCTCGTCGTCGAGCAAGACCGTCGCGCACCGCGGCTCCGCGGCCATGGACGGCGCGTCGGGCTTCTCCAAGGACGCGTCGGAGCAGATCGCGACGCCCACGGCGGCGAGCAACCCCATGATGTTCAAGAAGCCCTCGGCGACGACGCCCAAGCCGCCGAAGCCCGCGCCGGCGTCGCCCAAGCCGCCGCCGGCGCCCACGCCCTAGCGACGCGCGCCGCCGCCCCCCGCCCCGACCGGCCGCGCTCCTTCCCCTCCGTTCCCGCCTACCGGAGCGCGCGTCTTACGAGTCGTCGCCCCGCGAGTCCCGCCGCTTCCGGGGGCCGTCGTCGCCCGCGGCGGGCCGCTTGCGCCGCTGCGCGTCGAAGCGCGCGTCGCGCTCGCGGTCCTTGCGCTTCTTGTCCGCCTTCATGAGCGCCTTGTAGGCGTCGGGCGCCATGTACTCGCGCAGGAGGAAGAAGAAGACGCCGCCCGCGGTCCGCTTCCGCGACCCGTCGGCGGTCTTCATGCCGCCGCCGCGCTGCGTCGCGATGACGCGCTTCGTCAGGCGCTTCGCCTTCTTGGCGCCGACGGCGACGACGGCCGCGCGCAGGAGCTCCATGTTCCGCTCGCCGAGCGCGTTCCGCGCGTTCCGCGTCGCGTGGAAGTCGCGCTTGGAGAGCCGGTCGTCGGCGGCGGCCGGCCCGCGCGCGGCGCCGAGGGCGCCGTCGAGCTTGCGGGGCGCGCTCGGCGCCGGCGCCTCGTCGAGCATCTCGCGCTCCTCGCCGTCCTCGATGTCCTCGCCGGTCTCCATGCGCGCGATGGCGCCGATGATGTAGTCGATGTCGTCCTCGGTGGCCTCCGGCGCGATGGCGATGTCTTCGCTGATGTCGCCGAGGCCCTCGACGCCGAGCGACGTGTAGTTCTCTGTGGGCCCGGCCATGCTCTCTCTTTTAAAAACTTCACTTGCAGAGAGATGTCGCAGCCTGTGTCAAAAATCGAGAGGAATGGCCTAATCAATGGGCATGGCGCCAGGGCATGGGCCCATCAATCAATCCAGTCAAGTACGCAGCGCTAAAATGTTCGCGCAGCGCTAGCATGCGCCGTCCCTAGCCTTTGAACGATGTCGCGCACGCCGCTCCCCGTCTGCGCCTTCGACGGCGCCTGCGATGCCGAAACGGCACGCGTGCTCGCCCGCGACGCGGAGCTGCTCGCCGCCAAGCGCCGCGGCGCCACCTACTGGCGCGCCATCGATGGCGAACCCAGCTGCGGCCTCGAGCGCTTGGCGCTCGAGCTCGCGCGATTCCACGTCGAGGCGCTCTCGCTACAAGACGTCGCCGGCGTCGAGTGGTGGGTGCAGACGCGCGGCTGCGACGGCTCCGACGGCGGCGGGTCGATCCTGTTCCACTACGACAAGGACGAGGTCGCCTACGAGCGGCTCGGCGTCATGCGCTGCCCGGCGCTGAGCACGGCGACGTACCTCCGCGCCGACGCCGGGTCCGCGCCGCTCGCGATCTTCGACCCGCAGTTCGCCGCGCTGGCGACGCCGACCGTCGGCAAGCACGTCGCCTTCGACGGCGCGGCGCTCCACGGCGTGCCCGCGGAGCTCGGCGCGCTGTTCCACGACGAGGTGTCCCTGGGCGGGCGGCGCGTGTCGCTCCTGGCGAACCTCTGGGACCGCGAGCCCGTCGGGGCCCACGCGGCGGACGGGTCGCTCGAGCTGAGCGACGCGCGCGCGGCGCCGCTGCTGACCCGCGCGCCCGCGGCCTTCGACGACGGCGGCGGGAAGCGCCGGCTCCGCCTCTCCAACGACGTCTACCGCGACGCGACGCCGCCGCTGCCGCTCGCGGGGCGCGGCGACCGCGACCGCGCGGCGCGGCAGAAGCGCGGCGCCCGGGAGGGGTTGCTCGTGTTTCGCATGTAATTGGTGTGTCGCATTTAATTCAGGCCCGCGCACGCGACGCCGCCCCGGCAGGTCCACAGCTCCTCGAGCCTCGCCTTCTTCGCCGCGAGCTCGCCGGCCGAGAGCGCGCCGTACGCGTTCGTGAGCTGGTAGGGGTCGGCCTCCAAATCGTAGTACTCGCCCTCGGATTCCGGCGTGCCCGCCGCGCAGGCCTTGGGTTCGTGGAGCTCGTCGAAGCACTCGAAGACGCAGAAGACGGACTCGTTGCCCGGCTGCAGGTGCCGCAGGCAGTGGTACGTGTTGTCCCACTCGTCGACGCGCCAGACGTCGCCGAGGCGCTCGAGCACGCCGGGCACGCCCGTGCCGAGCTTCCAGGGCTTGATGAACGCGCCGACCTTGTAGTAGTGGAGGTCCGCGTCGGCGTGGTACGTGTGCCGCTTGGCCAGCCGCGACCCCGCGACGGCCGCCACGACGCCGCACGCGAGCCCCGCGACGCCGACGAAGGCCATCAGCGCGTCCGCGCGGCGCGCGGGCGGCGGCGTCCGCCGCGGCGCGGGCGGCCCGGTCTCCGCGTCCGACGGCGACCGCTGCACGCGCGCGGGCGACCCGTCGTCGCCGGCGTTGATGGGGCTCACGGCGGCGAGCGCCTCCTCCTCCGACGTCTTGCGGCTCGACGCGTAGTCGCCGCCGCCGGGCGCGGTCCGCGCGCGGCGCCGGACCGTCGCGTGGACGGCCACGGCGGCCAGGGCGACGAGGAACGACGCGCCGCAGGCGACGACGACGACGAGCAGCCCCGTGCGGAAGCGCGTGTTCGCGTCGTCGCCCTCGCCCCAGTACTCGAGGAGCAGGTCGTCGCGCCACGGGCCGTCGCGGTCCGCGTCGCCGCGCGCCGCGGGCAGCAGGCTCCGGCCGTCGTAGGCGCCGGCCGGCGGCGGCGACCCGTGGATCATGTCGTAGAGCGTCGGCAGGAAGTCGACGAAGCCGCCGCCGTGGGCCAGGACGACGCCCTCCTGGACGCCGGGGCCCGCGAGGACGAAGGGCACGCGCGTGTCGAACTCGTAGAGCTGCCGCTTGTCGTAGTTGAGGCCGAACTCGCCGAGGTGCCAGCCGTGGTCCGACGTGAAGATCGTGTAGGTCGCGTCCGCCTCGCCGCGGGCCGCGACCGCGGCGAGCGTCGCGTTCATGGCCTCGTCGACGGACAGGAGGCACTCGAGGCGCCGCCGGTACGTGCGGTCGATGTAGTCGGCCACGGGCGCCTTCAGGAAGCCCTGGCGGCGCACGATGGCGTGCTTGTCGGCCGCGGACGCGTTCCAGGCCGGCGTCCGCGGCCGCGACGCGCCGTCGAGCGCGCCGAAGTGGTCGGGCCGCGGCTCGAAGGGGTCGTGGGACGCGGGCGTCCCCAGGATCGCGAACCAGGGCGCCGCCGCGGCCTCGAGGAAGTTCACGGCCCGGCGCGCGACCAGGTCCGTCAGGTAGTCCTCCGGCGCCGTGCCGTGCGCCTCGCGGACGCCGTTGACGCTCAAATCGTAGTCGTAGAAGACGCTGTTCCCCAGGAGCCCGTGCCAGTCGTCCCAGCCCGGGGGCACGTGGCCCGGCCCGCCCATCTTGCCGTTGCCGTACATGTTGAGGTACTTGCCCGCGTAGAACGTCGCGTAGCCCGCGGCGGATGCGACCGTCGCGACGGAGTCGGTCTCGCCGTCGGCCTGCCAGCCCTTGGAGTTGCAGCCCGTGTCCACGGAGTTGGCCACGAAGCCCGTGTTGTGGCTGAACTTGCCCGTGAGGAACTGGGCCCGGCTCGGGCAGCAGACGGGCGTGTTCACGAAGACGCGGTCCCAGGTCGTGCCCGCGGCGCGCAGGCGGCTGTAGGTCGGCACGAGGTCCAGGGCCTCGAGGTCCTCCATGCTCGCGACGTCGACGTCGTCCGTGAGGAAGACGAGCACGTTGTGGCCCGTCGCCGCCGACGCGAGCCCGGGCAGGAGCGCGGCGAGAAGCATCCCGGGGCTGGCCAGGCCCGCCGCCGCCGACGCGAGCCCGGGCAGGAGCGCGGCGAGAAGCATCCCGGGGCTGGCCATTCCTTCGACGTCCAGAGGAGGATGTTGAACTGGCATGAGTAGACCATGCCGCTCCCTTACCCCCGCCTGAGGTCATAGCTTCCCCCGGCGGGGCACAGGAGATCTCTCCGCAGGGGAGGGGCATGGTCTACTCAGGTCAGGATGTTGAAGTGGATACGAGCTTACCTTGACTCACGTCCGCGGCCGCGGCAGCCCCGTCGCCGCGTCGACGTTCGTGAGCTCGCCGTTCGCGAAGCCGCGGATGTTGTCGGCGCACATGTCGACGACGCGCTGCCGCGCCTCGAGGCGCTGCCAGCCGATGTGGGGCGTCAGGATGATGTTGTCGAGGCCCCAGAGCGGCGACGCGTCCGGGAGCGGCGGCGGCGGCGCGGAGCCCTCGCCGAAGACGTCGAGCGCGGCGCCGGCGATGGCCTTGGCCCGCAGCGCGTCGGCGAGCGCGGCCTGGTCGACGATGGCGCCGCGCGCCGTGTTGACGAGGTACGCCGACGGCTTCATCTTGGCGATCTCTCGCGCGCCGACGAGGCCCGTCGTGCGCGCGTTCAGCGGGCAGTGCACGGACACGAAGTCCGATCGCGCCAGCAGGTCGTCGAGCGTGACGACGTCGACGCCGTCGTCGCGGGGCCCGAGCGGCGCCGCGGGGTCGCTCGCGACGACGCGGAGGCCCAGCGCCGTCGCCATCGCGGCGACCCGGAGCCCGATGGTGCCCAGCCCGCCCACCAGGCCGATGGTCTTGCCCGTGAGCTCGAAGTGGGGCAGCGCGCCGAGGTGGCACTGCGCCATGTAGGACCGGTCGCCCGTCGCGAGCGCGGCGCTCTGCGGCCACAGCGAGCACGCCAGGGCCATGACGAAGGTCACGGCCATGTGGGCCATGGCCTCCGTCGCGTAGGTCGGCACGTTGCAGACGGCGATGCCGCGCGCGTGGCAGGCCGCGAGGTCGACGTTGTTGTAGCCCGTGCCCGCCTCGCAGACGAGCCTGACCGAGGCCGGGAGCGCGGCGATCAGCGGCGCGTCGAGGGGCATCTCCTTGTTGAGGATGACGTCCGCGCCCGCGGCGCGCGCCGCGACCTCCTCCGGCGCGCTGATCTCGTAGCGTTCCACATCCGCGGCGGCCTCGAGCCTCGCGAGATCGATGCGGCCGTCGTAGTCGAGGCGCGCGGCGTTGAGCATGACGCAGCGCAGGCGCGGCGCGGTCGAGAGCGGTCGTGTTGTTGCGAAACATGCCCGCGCAGGAGCGACGGCGCGGCGCAAAAATGGAAGAGCCATGCTCGCAAAGCCAAGATCTAGCGGTCGTGTTGCGAAACATGCTGGCCGCGCCGACAGCGAGGACAGCGGTCGCCGCGCAGGAGCGACGGCGCGGCGCAAAAATGGAAGAGCCATGCTCCCAACTGGGCAAAGCCAAGATCTACTTTTGGCTGATGTTGCACAGCCTCATCTCGATATACATGTAACTCCCCAGCTCCTCCGCCAAGCCGCCGCCGCGGAACTGCGCGTCGTGTCGGAACTGAGGCGCGGGTCGGGCTGGGCCCGCGGCGCCGCATACGACGACCGGTCCATCGACCCCCAAAAAACGATGCTGCGCCGCGCCGCGCTCCTCGTCGCGCTCTGCGCCCGCGCCACCAAAAGCGACGAGGCCGTGCCGCGCGAGCTCCGGCCGAAGCACGTCGACGCCCGCGAGCTCGCGGGGAACCCCTACTACGTCGAGGACCCCGTCTTCACGAACCGGACGACGTTCCTGGTCATGAACACCTACATCTGGAACCTGTGCTCGAAGGAGCGGAACCCGAATCCCGAGGAGTTCTGCTACGGCGCGTACGACCTCTACACGGAGACGCTCAAGTACGACCACCTCGTCGTCATTCCCGACGTCGGCAGCGACATCGCCGCCTTCACCTTCGGCATCCCCGCCATGTTCGCGGCGGACCCGGAGTCCGTCACGGTCATGTGGCTCATGATCTACACGCCGGTCATGTTCCTGCTGACGCCGCTGCTGCAGGCGGGCGTCGCGACGATCCTGATCTCGGGCAGCGACCACGCGCACCCGACGGTGGCGACCTTCGGGGCCCACCCCGCGTCGTCGGCCTACGGGCTCGCGGAGCCCTGGTGGCCCGCCAAGTACGGCGACTACCCGCGGCTCTACAAGCTCGTGCCCGACGACTACCAGGGCGCGTACGAGGCCGCGCGCGAGTTCTGCCGGCTGACGAACGCCGAGGACCGCATCCACGAGATCATGCTCATCGCCATCGACCAGCTGCGGCGCGACGGCTTCCAGGACGGCGTCGCCGCGCTCTGCGGCGACCGCGGCCACGTCGTCGTCGCGGAGTTCTCCGACTTCGACGCGCTCACGGCGTACCAGGGCACCTACGACGCCATGGCGTCCTACTTCACGGCCTACCCGGGCATCTCCATCGTCCTGACGGGCGACGTGAACAACGTGCGGGCCGTCTACGACGCCGCGGCGGACTACCGGTCCGGCGGCAACGCGGAGATCATCGTCGCGGCGTCGTCGTACATGAAGGGCCAGTACGACTACGACGAGTTCCCCAACATCTACGCCGTGACGAACGCCCAGGTCGTCGACGAGGACCGGGGCGTCCACTTCACGACGCAGCGGCTCCTGGACATCGTCGACGCGGGCGAGGCCGTCGAGCTCGCGCTCGAGAAGCGCGTGCTCACGACGGCGATCCAGATCGAGGTCTTCGACATGGGCGCGTTCATCGTGCGCCAGCTCCTGCCGGTGTACGCCAAGGAGACGGCGCCGAGCTCGCCCGTGGACGTGCGCATCAACCTGCGGCGCGTCCGCATCACGGAGGTGACGCCGACGGACGCGTCGTTCTTCGAGATCACGGGCATCGTCGAGGTCGAGTGGGACGAGCCGCGCCTCGCCTGGGACGACTACCTCTTCAACGAGACGTTGTCCTACCCGCGGGCGTCCATCTGGACGCCGGCGATCTACATCGACAACAACTACTTCACGCGGGATTTGACGGACCTGCCGGTCGAGGTGTCGAGCAGCGGCCGCGCGCGCATGAAGTCGCAGATCCGGACGCAGCTCCTCTGCGACTCGGACCTCATCATGCTGCCCTTCGACGTGCACAAGTGCGAGATCACCTTCGAGAGCACGCGCCAGCGCGTCTTCGAGGCCATGGCGCACGGCGACTTCCTCGTCGCCGACGTCGACGACAACTACGAGATCGAGTACCACGCGACGACGACGGAGGTCGAGGGCGGCTTCATGAACGAGCGCCACTCCGTCGTGCGCTTCAAGTTCGTCTTCTCGCACCGGCCCTTCGGCCACTACATCCGCCTCATCTTCCCCGCGGCGCTCCTGAACATGGTCGGCTTCCTCGCGTTCTGGGTCGACGGCGCGACGGACTCGCTGGAGCTGGGCATCACGACGCTCCTGTGCACGCTGGCCCTGCGCCAGACCATCGAGTTCCCGGACACGACGTACCCGACGTGGCTCGAGGGCTTCATGTTCATCAACATCCTCTTCCAGTTCATCTGCGTCGTCCTCAGCGTGTCCGAGTACTCCGAGGGCCGCCAGGACCTGCTCCAGGAGTACATCGTCAAGCGCATGACGGGCTACTCGAAGCTCGCGAACCAGCTCGGCGGGGCGGTGACGCCGACGTTCATGCGGACGCCGCGGACGCCCGGGCGGAGGACGCCGCGGATGACGCCGCGCGACCAGAACGGCAACGGCAAGGTCCACGCCCTCGGCGGCGCGCCGCCGGGGCCGGACATCCCCGAGCTGCCCTCCGTCGACGCGCACGCGGCGAAGCGGACGCCGCGCCAGGACGCGTACGCGCCCCACGACGCCGGCGCGGGCCACGGCCGCGGCCAGGGCCACGGCCACGGCGCGGGCCACCACGACCACGGGCCCAACGGCGGCAAGCGCCGCGACTCGCTCATGGGCAAGATCAACCCCTTCGCCAGCCTCCAGCGCCTCAGCAACCCGAAGAAGTACGGCGAGGAGACGACGCCCGCGGCGGACCTCATCGGCCGCTGGATCGTCTGCCCGATCTACTTCGTCGTCATGATGGTCTACTGCGTCGACCGCGGCAGCGGCGTCAAGCCCTGGTTCCCCGAGCGGAGCGAGTAGGCGCGAAGCTTATGAACATTGTCATGCCAGTAGGAGGCGACAAGGCAGAGGGGATGCATGCCCGGGGCCGGGCGCCTCGCGGACCGCGCCGCCCTCGCCACCCCCACGACCAACCTCCGCTGCGACGCTTAGTCGGCGGCCTCGCGCCGCCGGCTAGGTCGGTTCGCCGGCCCGACTCGGAGGGGATACATACATATGGGATGCTCTGGACGCGGTCGGGGGTATGCCTCGACCGCGGAGCTGGAGGAGCAGGGCGGAGGCCTGGTGGCGGTGTAGAAGCGCAACACCGTCGTGGACACGCTGGTAAACACGACGAATGTGAGCAGGAGGAAGGTGCCAAACGATGTGCTCCGAATCGATTTTGCATTGTCGGCCGTCGCGCACATCACGGCGAGCTCGCCAAACAAAAAGATCAGTAGCGAGAAGACAATAGGGAGGACCGTCATCGCGAGCAGCTTGTCGAAGAAATTGAAAGGGCGCAGACAGGCGATTGGGAGAATCTGGACGACGTTGAATTCCAAGAACGACGTCCACGCGATGAGCGCCTCGAAGGCCTTGGGAAACGACACCATGGGGAGCGTCCACGGAAGCGCGTCCTGAATTTGGTACACGCCGAGAATAATCTTGAACTTCGTGTGGAGCGAGCGCCTCGTTTCAGCCCACGTAGATTCTTTCTCTTCTTCGTCGGTCGCTGCATCATCGGACATGGTGGCGCCGCGTCGCTCCGTCTCGGGAGCGTCGTCTTCATCGTCTCCAAGTACTTTATCGTGGACGTTTTCAAGTACTTTATCGACTTTATCGGTGATCGCATCGGTGACCCGGCCCTCGACATGGCCTCCAACCCCACGTTTTGCCATCGCGGTAGCATGAAGCAGTGCCTCTCGTTTTTTTCCAGACCGGCACGCCGCAACGATTATTGCCAGCACCAGGGCGACGAGACACACGCCGCTCACAATCGTCACCGGATCCAACGAAGTGCCTTTGCATTCGACGCAGCGGTCCTTTAACGCGTCGTGGTGGTAGTCGTTCTTGCATACGCGACACGCGACGCCCTTGTGGCCTTCGGCGCAAGCACCATCCTTGCACGCTCCGGAGTACTGGCACTTGTAGACGTCGTCGGAGTAACTGGACGCGCGCCACCAGCCGTCCTCGATGGGCACCGCGGTCAGCGTGTTGGACGTCGCGTTCTCGCAGTCCATGCCGCGTTCGCAGCTCAGACAGCACTGGTCGAAGCACTTGGTGCTGTCGCTCGCGCAGCTCGCGGCGAGCGCGGTCGAGTTGTCGCACGGGACGGATCCGCCGTCATCGAGCTCGACGGCGAACGGCGAGAAGTAGTAGTCCTCGAGGCACGAGTAGCAGCCCGTGGCGCCTTCGGCCAGCGTCGTTGAGAACGGGGGACACTGCCGACAGCAGGAACGGTATCACGGTGGCTCCAGTCTCGCTCTCATAGGCGGGCCCAACGGAGGCGATCGTCGCGGAGTCGCTGACATCGGAGAACATGTCGTCCACGAAGACTGTCTCGAGGGCCTCCTGAAGCTTGAGATTCGCGGCTTCGTTCGCGTTGAGCGCCGCGGCGTCGACTCCGTGGAGCACGAGTCACTTCGAGGCTCGCGCCAGACTTCACTTTTGCTAGCGAGCGTCGAAGCCGGCGACCGTTCGACCGTTCAAGTAGCTGCGGCCGCTGAACGTGAGGTACAGCGTCGACGGGAGGCAGGCCGTCGGACGCGACGTCGTCGGCCGCGGCGTCGTCGGCCGCGGCGTCGGCGACGCCGTCGTCGACGCGTCGTGCGCGTAGACAATCATGGAGCTGTCGCTCACGAGCACGAGCTCGTCGATGCCGTCGCCGTCGACGTCGCCGAACGCGACCTTGCCGCCGTACTCGCCGGCGGCCTTTGTTGTCAGCCCGCTGAGCAGCGTCGACGAGCTCGAGGCGAGCACTTTCCAGTTGCCCCAGCAGTACGGCGCCTTTTCGAGAACGCAGAACGCGCCGCCGGCGGCCGCCGCCGCGCCCCACAACAGCGAGGCGATGAAGAGCGCTGCCACTGTGCGCAGGGCCCCGAAGTAGAGCGCTGCCATGCTGCGCTGCAAGCCAGATGGATGCAAACTGGAGTTCCGTGTTCGGACAGCCATTGTTCAGGAACGGAATGCTCAAAAAGCGTGCAGTTTGTGCTTACCCCGGGTGCAGTCACGAACGGCCCCGTCAGGCCCAAGACGTCTCAGTTCCGGCGGCCGATCGCGAAGCGGCGGCCGCTCGCGGGCCGGGCCCAAATTGCAGCGGCGGTCCCCTAGGTTGCCTAACGCGCTAGTAAACTCGAGGCGTGCGGTCTCCGGATCGACGCCGCTCGGGCTCGGCGCAAAAATTATGGCGACGTCAGCACAGGTCCATGGCGTCCTTCCGCGGCGGCGGGTAGCGGCTCCGGGAGACGATGTCCGTGATGGCCTCGACGGCCTGGGCGCGCTGGTCCGGCGCCCCGGCGATGAGGATGCCGGCGATGTCGGACGACCGGTCGCCGCCGTCGTCGACGCGGACGCGCGCGCCGGAGTTGCGCTCGATGCCCTGGATCGTCGCGCCGCGCTTCCCGATGACGCGGCCCACGGCCTGCCGCGGCACGACCAGGCGCTCCGCGTCGTCGCCGACGGGCGTCGTCAGCGCCCCGGGCGCCGCGGCGGCCGCGACCTCGGACACGAGCGCGAGGCACGTCCCGTCGCGCGCCCCGAAGAGCGCGAGCGCCTGCGCGGTCCGCGGGCCGGGCGCGACGTCCGCCGTCGGCGCCGCCGGCGCGCGCGTCCGCGGCGGCGGCGCGGCCGCGGCGGCCGCCGGCGGCGCGCGCGCGCGCGCGCGCGTCGCGAGCGCGAAGTCCGGCGCGGTTCCGTCGTGGAACGCGCGCATGCGGAGGAGCGCGTCCGGGTCCGGCGCGAAGGACGGGTCGAACATGAAGGGCACGCGGTGGTAGTCGAGCCAGCGGCCGTCGTAGCCCCGGTCGCGGACGTGGTCCAGGAAGCGGTCGTTGGACACGACGAACGACCCGTGGACGTCCGCGTGCTGAATCAAAAAGTGGTCGTCGCGGCCGCCCGGCGTCGCGAAGAGCAGCGACGCCCGCTGCAGCTCGGCGACCTCGGGGTGGTCGTCGATCCAGCCCCGCGGGGCGAAGATCTTGAAGCCCACGCCCGCGGTCGCCCAGTACTCGACGGCGAGCTGGAGGCCCCGGAGCTCCGCGGCGCGGATCGCCGACGCGTCCGTCTCGTAGGACGGCACGTTGCCCAGCGCCACGTTCATGCCGTCGATGACGACGTGGACGCCGGGCGGGGACGCCGCCGCCCGCTCGACCTCCATGGACCGCAGCACGTGGTCCCGCGTCTCTTCGAAGGTCGGCACGCTCATGTGGCTCGCGTCGCGGTACGTCGGCTCGGCGACGGCCGTCGACGCGCCGGCGCCCATGTGCGCGTCAGCGCGGCGTCTCGGGCGCGGGCGCGCGAGCCCTCGGAGACGCGCTGCGGGCGCCGGCGCGGCCTGCGCGCCGCGCCGCGCGTGGCGGCCCGAGCGGAGTTGTGGCGCAGTGCATCATTTGGATTGTTGCACGCAACGTCGTCCCGGCCAACAACGCGAGCAATGGTGTGTGCATTGCCCCTCGGGGCTGCCAACCCGACGAGGCCGTCGAAGCGCACGGTGCGGTAGAGCCCGCACACCGCCGGCATGTTCACGCGGCCCGACGGCCTGCTCGGCGAGCCCGTCGTCTACAAGGGCCCGTCGGCGGCCCTCGTGGAGAAGCGGCGACGGACGAAGGCCGCGGCGGACCTGCGCCAGCGCCAGCTCGCCGTGCCGCGGCACCGGAGCCCGCTCATGGCGCTGAGCCACGAGAGCCGCCGGCGCGTGCTCCTCTTCCCGGCCGGCGGCCTCCTGGGCATGGACGAGCCGCGCGCGCGGGAGCGGCTCGACGAGCGCGCGCGGCTCTCGGCGTCCGAGCGGCGCAAGCCGCCGCGCGAGGACGAGGCGGCGGCGCTGTCGCTGCTCATGCAGGACGAGGGCACGCTCATCACGGAGCAGGGCTCCCTCGAGACGCCGGGGGGCGCGTCCGGGCTCCGGTCGGCGTCGCGGCCCGTCCAGGGCTCGCTGCTCCGCGCGCTGCGCCGCTACGAGAACGTCGACCGCGCCGCGGATCCGTCGCGGGCGGCCCTGCGGCGCGACGCGCAGGTCGCGTGGATGGCCGCGGACGCGCGCGCGGCCGAGGCCGCGTGCGCGGACGCGCGCGTCGCCAACGACGCGCGGCGGAAGCGCCTCGCGTGGGAGCAGTGGGAGCGCGAGCGGCCGAAGCTCGTCTGCGAGCCGCTGCCCCTGGGGCTGCGGCTCCGGGGCGCCTACGAGGAGGCGGGCGACGCGGCGGACGCCGCGCCCGCGCCCGCGCCCGTCGCCGAGGCCGCGGGCGCGCCGCCGTCGGCGCTCGAGGCGGAGGCGCGGCGCCGCGAGGAGGCGCGCGAGTTCTTCGCGGGCACGGTGGGGCGCCTGCGCTTCTTCATGGCCTACAAGGACGCCAAGGAGGTCGCGGACAAGGTCGACGACGAGTCCTTCGTCCGCGACGCGGGCGGCGGCGACCCCGTCTGGATCGCGCGCGACTTCTGCCGGGAGGTGCTGCGGCGCGGCGCGACGCCGACGCCCGCGCTGCTCAAGCAGACGGCCGACGGGACGCTGGACCTGCGGAACTGCGGCCTCAGCGACGGCGTCGCGCACGCGACGGCGCTCGTGCTCCCGCGCCTCGGCCACGTCCGGGCCCTCGACGTGTCCGACAACATGCTCGGCGACCACGCCATCGCCGCCGTCGTCCACGGCGTCGCCGCGAGCCCCCAGATCCGGTCCCTGGACCTGTCGCGGAACAAGGTCGGCGACTACGCGGCGTCGAGCGTCAAGGAGCTCCTCGGCTCGGACCACGGGCTCAAGGTCCTCAAGCTCAGCGACGCCGACGTCGACGACGGCGAGTGCGCCGAGCTGACCAAGGCGCTCGCGGGCAACGCGTCGCTCGTCGAGCTCGACCTGAGCCGGAACTCGCTCGGCGCGACGGAGTCGAAGAATTTGGTGGACCCGGACACGGTCACGGGCCCGGAGGCCATCGCCGAGGCGCTCACGGGCGCGAAGCTCGCGCTCGGCGTGCTCGACCTCTCCTGGAACATGATCCGCGACGACTCGGCGACGGCGCTCGCGGAGGCCGTCGCGGGCCTCGGGTCGCTCCGCGAGCTGCGGCTCGCCTACAACTGCTTCGGCGACTACCCGACGCAGGTCCTCGGCAAGTCGCTCATGAAGAACGCGACGCTGCGGGCGCTGGACCTGAGCTACAACTCCGTCGCGCCGTCGGCCGCGCTCGTCATGGCCGCGACGGTCAAGGTCAACGCCGCGCTCGAGTACCTCAACCTCGACGGGAACCCCATCGGCAAGAACGGCGCCCGGAGCCTCATGTCGGCGCTCCAGATGCGAGGCGGGAGCGGCGCGGAGCCGAGGGAGCTCGTCCTGTCCATGCGGCAGTGCGACACGACCGTGGAGAACAAGAAGCTCTTCGACAGCAACGAGCCCGGCGGCGAGTACCGCCTCGACCTCGCGAAGCCCTACGACGCCATGGTCGCGCGGGAGCTGCTGGGCATCGCGACGCTCCGGGACCACGCGTCCTTCGCGGAGCTGCGCTACTACCCGGCGGGCGTCGCGCCGCCGGAGAAGGAGCCCGAGCCCGCGGAGGGCGAGGAGCGGCCCGCGGCGGCGAGCGACGGGCCCAAGATCGGGCCCGGCGGGCGCGAGATCAAGCTCCACCGGTCGGCGTCGGTGGACGCGGCGGCGACGCAGCGGGCGGCGACGATGCTGAGCCCGCCGAACCGCCGCGCGCCGCCGCCGAAGTGGGCGGCCGTGCTCGCGCACGCGATGCGGGGCCGCGTCGTCCGCGACGACCTCGCGGCCGTCTTCGCCTGGCTCGGCTTCAAGCTCGGCGAGGGCGACCTCCAGTTCGCGCTCGACAAGCTCAACGAGATCCTGCGCGACGGGCCCGCGCGCGCGGCCGTCACGTCCACGGCGGCCTTCCTCAAGTGCCTCTGGGCGGCCGTGTTCCGCGTCGCGGACACGGACGCGTCGGGCTGCATCTCGCGCCAGGAGCTCGTGCACCTCGTCGAGGTCATCCTGCTCACGCCGTGCCCCGAGGACGTCGTCGACCGCGTCATGCGCGAGTACGACGCGGACGACTCGGGCGTCATCGAGGAGGAGGAGTTCGGCCTCCTCGCGTCCGCGACGTTCATCGTGCCCGAGGCGACGCACAAGGCGCCCCTCGTCGACGCGTCGGACCGGGCCTGGCAACCGCCCGACGACGGCACGCTCGACGTCGTCTTCCAGTGCCAGCCGGGCGCCGCGTCCGCGGACGAGACGGGCTCCGACGACGGCGTCGCGGGGCTCCTGCGGCTCCTGCGGGGCGCGGACTCGGAGCAGGAGCGCACGGTCATCTTCGACGTCGCGACGTCGCAGACGGAGCTCTACCTGACGGGCGAGCAGGCGCGGTCCGTCTTCGACGCCGCGCACTGCGAGCGGAGCGCCGTCGAGAAGGTCGCCATGCTCCTCCCGCAGGTCGCGTCGGCGGCCGACGCCTGCAGCTTCCTCGAGACGACGCTGAGCGGGAAGCAGCGGGGCCAGCTCCGGGACCGCCTCGGCCCGGCGTTCGGCGCGCTCACGGGCAACCCGACGGGCCACTACTGCCTCGACTTCCGGCGCGCGCTGGACCGCCTCGCCGCGACGAAGCTCGCGGGCCTCGCGAACGCGCACAAGGCCGCGGGCGTCAAGGCGAAGCGCGCGGACACGAGCCAGCACGCGAACTTCTTCAACTTCCGCAACGAGCGGCTCAACGGCGAGCCCCTCAAGCTCACGCCGGGCTGGTTCACGCACCTCGACGGCAAGGACAAGGAGGGCACGCTGCGCTTCGACTTCGTGAGCACGGAGCGGCCCCCGTCGACGGCGGCGCCCATCTCGCGGCGCCGCTACGTCGGCCTGCTCCAGGCCGCGGGGCTCGAGGCGGAGGACGCGAACAAGGAGTTCAAGCGCGCGACGTTCAAGGCCCAGACCGTCGCGGCGCTCGCCGGCGCCGTCGCGGGGCGCTTCTTCGTCGCGACGCCGCCGGCGGCGCCGGAGCCCGCCGCCGCGCCGGAGCCCGAGCCCGAGCCGGACGCCGACGCGGCGGCCGACGCGCCGGAGCCGCCGCCGCCCCTCGAGCTCGAGGCCGCGACGCCGTCGCGGCCGACGTCCGCGCAGCCCTGGCTCCCGCGGGCCGGCGCGCCCGCAGGCGCCCCCGCGGGCGCGCCGGGCGCCGCGCCCGCGCCCGCGGGCGCCGCGCCCGCGTCCGCGCCCGGCGCGGCGCCCGGCGCGGCCCCGGGCGCGGCGCCCGCGTCCGCGCCCGAGGGCGAGGCGCCGTCCGCGGAGGACGACGAGGCGCGGCGCCGCGCGGAGGAGGACGCCGCCGAGGCCGCGCGCGTGGCGCAGCAGAAGCGGTACGAGGCGGACAAGGCCGAGGCCGCGCGCGCCGCGGCCGAGGCGCTCGAGGAGGAGGAGCAGCGCAAGGCCGAGGAGGAGAAGCGGAAGCCCAAGGACCCCTACGGCGCGCCCATCCTCGAGAAGGAGGTCGACGCCTGCGCGACGCACTGGCGCGAGACCTACGCGTCGTCGAGGGACTACATCACGCCGTCGCTCTACAGCGAGGCCTACGAGATCGCGGCGCGCGCGGGCGGCAAGGTCTCGGACCTCGCCGACGACGGCGCGGACGAGGCCGAGGCCGAGGCGAACCCCGAGGAGAAGAAGGAGGAGAAGAAGGAGAAGGGCAAGAAGAAGGGCAAGAAGAAGGGCAAGAAGGGCGACGACGACGACGGCCCCGCGCCGGGGAGCCGGCCGCAGACGCCCGCCGCGGGCGCGGACCAGAAGGAGAAGAAGGAGATGGAGCTGAACCCGTCGCCGGAGTACCGCGAGGCCTGGAACCGGCTGCGCCTGCTCCAGGCGAACCTGGGCAAGCGCTTCTTCAGCGTCGACCAGGTCCGGGACCTCGTCGCGCGGTTCCCGCGGAACGCGCAGCAGCTCCGCGTGGAGGTGCTCATGGCCGTCTTCGGGCGCGTCGTCGACCTCGACAACTTCTACACGGTCGTCGACGAGCTCGACGAGGAGGAGATCGACGAGCTCGTCTTCCGCCTGGGCTACATGAACGTCTACAACCCCGTCTTCGCGGACCGCATGTACAAGCTCTGCCTCAAGGTCCCCGACGAGCGGCAGATGGCCATCGTCCTCGTGCGCCTCGCCATCGTCGAGCCGGGCGAGAACTGGGTCGACGAGAAGTTCCGGCGCAAGGAGTCGCTCCAGTGGTCGCCGGGCTGGCAGCTGCCCGCGGAGTGGGAGGAGGAGGTCGTCCACTACGGCCTCATGGAGTGCCGCTACTGCTCCACGGGCAAGGGCTGCAAGGCCGACCCGGCGGAGCGGCGCAAGCTCAAGAACATGTTCCTCTGCGCGGGGGAGCGGTCCCTCGACGAGTAATACGAAACTGGTGTCGCGCGGACTCCGTCAGACGGTCGCCGGCGGAACATATTACCGAGCTCGCGTCCTTAGGGGCGCGCGGCCTCCAACTCCGCGAGCGCGGCGGCGATGGGCGGCCGGTCCCCGGGGTCGTGGGCCCAGCAGGCCCGCGCGAGCTTCGCGAGCACCGGGTCCGCGTCGGGGGGCAGCGTCGGGCGGAGGCGCTCGTGGACCACCGCGACCGCGAGCGCGACGCCCTGAAGGTCGGGCCGGTCGTCGTAGGGGCAGCGCCGCGTCGCGACCTCGAAGGCGACGACGGCGAAGGCGTAGACGTCGGCGGCGCGGCCGTAGGGCTCGGCCTTGAGGATCTCCGGCGCCATCCACTGGGGCGTGCCGCAGCCCGCGGTCATCGCCGCCGCCGCCGTCGCCGCGGCGCCCGCGTTCCGCGCGAGGCCGACGTCGCAGAGCTTGACGCGGTCGCCGACGTCGCAGAGCACGTTCGGCGACTTGACGTCGCGGTGGAGCACGGGCGGCCGGTGCGCGTGGAGGTACGCGAGGCCCCGCGCGACGCCGAGCGCGACGACGCGACGCCGCGCCGCGGGCCACGGCGCGTCCGCGCGGAGCGCGTCCCAGAGGCTGCCCGCGGCGACGTACTCCGTCACGATGGCGTAGTGCGCCGCGCCGGCCTCGAAGGACGCGCCCATGAAGAGGCACACGTTCGGGTGCCGGAGCCGCGCCTGGGCGGGAAACGCGCGCGAACTTCCCAAAGGCTTCTATTTCCGCCGTTTTTCACTCGTGTCGGCTGATTTTGGGACGAGCGATCATCCCTCGGAGCGCGCTCGCAGCTTGGATGCTTTTTTCCAGAACGCGCGCGCGCGGAACACTCACGTTGAAGCGACGTCGAATCACCCGTTTCCCGCCCGGAGCCGCGCGAGCATGTCCGCCTCCGCGCGGAACGCGCGCTCCGCGGCCGCGTCGCCGAGGGCCGGCACGAGCTTGATGGCCACCTCCGTGCTCCGGAAGACGCCCCGGTGCACCTGGCCGAAGGCGCCGCCGCCGATGCGCTCGCGGACGTCGAGCTCGCGCATCGACAGCGACGACGACGACTGGTCCGAGTCGTCCTCGGGCGCCGGCTCCGGCGACGGCGGTGGCGGTGCGGGTGGCGGCTGTGGCGCAAGCGGCGCGAGCGGCAGCGGCGCCGGCGCGAGCGGCAGCGGCTGCGGTGGCTGCGGGTGTGGCGGCTGTGCGTGCGGCGGTTCCAGCGGCGGCGGCGGCGGCTCCAGCGGCGGTGGCGGCGGCGGCAGCGGCGCTGGCTGCGGTGGCGGCGCTGGCTGCAGCGGCAGCGGCACCGGCGGCGCTAACTGCGGCGGTGGCGCTGGTTGTGCCGGCAGCGCTGGCTCTGGCGGCGGCGGGAAGCGCTCAAAGGCCGGGACCTCGGCCGGCGGCGGGGGGAAGCGCTCGTGCGCCGACGGCTCCGCGGGTGGCGGCGGAAAGCGCTCGAACGCCGGCGGCAGCGGTGCGGCGCGCGGCAGCGGCGACGGCGCGCTGTCCGCGGGCCGCGGCAGCCCGCCCGGCGCCGGCGCCGCCGGCGCCCAGCCGGCCGCGGCGGGCGGCCCGCGCGGGAACGGGATCGACGCGGGCCGCGCGGCGTAGGCCTGCGGCCGCGGCTCGTAGTCGAAGGGCGTGCTCTGGTGCACGTGCCTGCGGTGCCGGCCGCTGCCGTGGCTCGGGCTGCCGCCGCCGCCCTCGAGGCCGTCGAAGTCGTTGACGTCGTAGAGCGGCGGCTCCTTCTTGCCGCTGCGCCGGCGCGACAGCACGTACGCGACGGCTGCGGCGACGCCGCCGACGGCGAGCAGCGGGAGCATCATGATGGACGTCGTCGGCTGCTACTCGGTGCGACCATCGTGAGCATGCCTAACTAGGATGTCGTTGCAGCCCAAGTTTGTGTTGTCGCTAGCACGACGCCATATGGGCAGACACTACTAAATGGGCAGCATCTACGGGCAGCGCGTCACAACCTAGAAAAGCTGCCCTAGGCGCATGCGGCGGGCGGGCGCGCTGCCTCTGGTGCTCCTGGTGTGAGCAACGCGACCGTTCATGCAGCGGTTCGTGCTGCCGCTGATCCTCGCCTTCATACCGCGCGCGGCGCCGACGACGCTCGTGTCCGTGCTCGTCTACGAGCAGCCTTCGTACGTCGCGCACTGCCTGCGCAATCTCGAGTACTTCACGACGTCGAGCACGCCCGTCGCGGTGCACGTCTCGGCGCGCGCGCCGCCCGAGACCCTCGCGGCGGCCGAGGCGGCCGCGGCGCGCGCGACGCGCTTCCTCGTGAACCCGACCCGCTACGCGACGGCCCACGCGACGGGGGCGATCCTGCTGGGCCACGTGGCCAACGTCGCGCACGCGCAGCGCGCGGGTGTCGTTTTCGGCTTCGTCCTGCTGCACGCGTCGACGGCGCGGTTCTTCGCGCCGGGCGTCGAGGCGTACGTGGAGGCGGCCCGCTACTCGCGCATGGCAGCCCTCCACCGGCCCGCGCGGCGGCGGCGGCTCGGCGCGCTCAATCTTTTCGCCGCGGCGCGACGGCGGCTCCGCCTCCGCGGAACGCGGCGAGCACACCTGGGCCAGGTCGAGAGTCCGTTCCTGCGCCACCTCTGCGGCGCCGGGTCCGCGGCGAACGAGGTCTACCGCAAGCACCGCTGGTTCGTCGACGACGTCGTCGGGCGGCCGGGCGACCAGTGCGCGGTGGCTTTCTCTCAGCACGAGGGCTTTTTTTCGCCGGCGGAGGTGGTACACGCGTTCCGCGCGGCCGTGGCCAACGCGACGTCGCAGGGCCAGCCCGCGGCCGCGCGGATCCTGGCGACGGCGCAACATTCGCCGTCGTGCGAGGAGCTCTACCTCCAGACCTGGATTTACCGGCGCCACCGCGACGACTACGACGCGGCCACGAAGGCGCGGCCCGACGCCGACCGCGTCTGCGAGATCTACGGCCCGCGCGGAAGGACCGTCGGCGCGGCGGAAGCTCTCGCCTGGCGCCTCGCGCGCGACGTCCCCAAGGCGTCGCGGCCGTTCGCCGTCAAGCGTTGGAGCGGCGAGGCGCGCGACGACGCGTTCCTCGACTGCCTCGGCCGCGCGGACCTGGCGTCGGCGGCGGCCGGCGGAGGCGGAGCCGCGGCGACGTGGCGCGCACAGAGGGACACGCTCGCGTGCGTCAACGCGACGCGCGTGCCGCTGGAGGGCCTTGTCGCGGACGCGGGGCCCGGGCGCGCCGCGCCGCTGCGGCTCAAGCTCCGGCTGCGGCAGCGCGCCTCCGTTTTGGGTTCCGCTGACCCGTTCCCCGACCTCGAGGCGGCCGCCCGGCAGCTCCAGGCCTGGGTCGACGAGCGCGCCGGCCCGGACCGGTCACTGGAGGACTCCGGCCGATCGGGCGTCTCGTCGTCCTCGAGGCCCTCGCCGGGCGAGAGGCGGCGGCGCAAGGCGCGTTCGGATTCCGCGTACACGCCGGCCGATGAACCCACCGAAGAGCGGTATTGGCGGCTCAGTAAAGAAAACCACACGTATCAATCGTCGGCCGGAACGCAAATTTAGCCTGTTGAACTTAGGGGTTTACTTTCGAAAGTGGCAGCACCGCTGCATTGATTCATGCTGACTTTCATGCGAGCGCTCGAGCGCGCGACGCTCTCGGGCGTGCCGAGCCTCCTGCTGACCGACGTACTCGTAACACACGTCTTCAGGCTTACACGACGTCTTGGGAGTCGTCCTGCGAGCTCTCGACCGAGTAGCGGAAGCGCGCGAGCGAGAAGGGCGCGGCCGCCGCGGGCGGCGGGCTCGCCGGCGGCGGCGCGGTCCAGTCGTCGCAGACGCGGCTCGCGAAGGCCTCGAAGCCCGTCGGCGCCGGCGGCGCGGGCGCGGGCGCGTCCGCGTCGTCGTCCGCGCCGGGCGACGGCGGCGCGGAGCCCGCGAAGGCGAAGGCGTTGAAGTCGACGGGCGCGGCGCGCGGCTTCTTCCTCGGGCCCGGGTTCTCCTTGTCCGGCGACGGCGCGACGCGGTTCGGCGCGCGCAATCGCGGCGGCGACCGGCCGGCCCCGTTCGCCCCGAGCTTCGCCGGCGGCACGAAGGGCCGGAAGACGCGCGGCGCGGGCGGATCCTCGAAGAAGTGCGTCGACTTCTCGCCCGTCTTCGGCGGCGGCGCCGGCGCCGGCGTCGGCGGCCGCGGCGGCGGCGCCGCGGGCCGCGGCCGCGGCGCCGCGGGCTTCGGCGCCGGCAGGTAGGACTCCATCGTGTTGCGCTGCGGCAGGAGCTCCGTCGCCTTGGCCAGCGACCGCTGCGCGAGGGACCGCGCGTCGCTCGCCGCGAGCGGCGCGCCCGTCTCCGGGTGGAGCTCCGCGCGCGCGATGCCCGCGGCGACGCCCGCGTCGAGCGGCGCGCCGAGGAAGTCGGGCCAGGGCCCGTGGGCCCGCGCCGCCGCCTCCGGCAACGGCGCCAGGTGCACGGCCGCGCGCCGCCGCCGGTCGTAGACCATCTGGTGGCCGAAGGTCAGCGCCGCGCGGTCGACGCGCTGCTCGTAGTCGTCGGGGCACGCCGCGCACTCGTAGCGCAAGGCCCGCAGGACCTTCTTCCGGTCCTTGTAGCGCGCCACGAGGCGGTGCGCGTTCTTGATGCCGACGCCCTTGACGGCCTCGACGTAGTCGCAGCCCGCGAGGGCGCACATGGTCACGAACATGTCCTGCGTCCAGCCCCGGACGTCGAGCGCGTTGACGCCCGGGCCCGCCGCGAAGAGGTCCGCGAGCACGACCTGCTGCGCGCTGCCGTCGGCGTCGAGCTTGAAGAGCACGCGCGGCACGCCGTAGGCGAGGTTGTCGCTGTCCTCGCTCACGATCGCCGCGGCCTCGCCGGACCGCGCGAGCTGCGCGAGCTGCGCGTCCGCCTCGTAGGGCGCCACGAGGAAGTCGACGCGGTCGCCCCAGCGCGCGGCGCAGGCGTCGACGAGCTGCTTCGCCATGACCGGCGTCACGTCGACGCACTTGGCGTACCACTTGCGCGCCTCCTCGTGCGAGTCCTCGCGCGCCTTTTGGCTCGCCATCGCCTTGGCGTGCTCGCGCTTGCCGCGCCGGCTCGCCTCCTGGGCGGCCTTGGCCGGCAGCGCGCCGCCGTCGAAGACGAGCAGGGGCTTCACCTTGTAGTGGAGCAGCAGCGCGACGCGGCCCATGCAGAACTCGATGTGCTTGTCGCTCGCGCCGCCCGCGCCGAGCTCCGACGCGCAGGCGTGCACGCCGCGGTGCAGCCACGCGTAGCCGTCGACGGCGACGACCTCGTGCGCGTAGCGCGACACGTGCACCGTCTGCGTCGACCCGCGGAACATGGGGAGCAGGCCCGAGACGCCCATCGGTCTTGGTGGGGTGCGCGGCGCGGGTTCGGCGGGCGTTTCCACGCGTCGGTCTGGCTCGTTTGCGGGAGCGGGCGCGGCGCGGCGCGGTTTGGCGGGCGTTTAAACGCGTCGGCCTGGTTTGTGTAACCCTCGAGCGGCTCGGCGACGGTGTTTTTGGTGTCGTATGGCGTTTGTGGGGTGCGCGCGCGGTGCCAACGGCGTCGATTGCGAGCACGCGCGCGTCTCGAACGCGGCTCTTGAAACACGGATAGTTGCAGTTCAAGAATTCTGAGCAAATCTTTTGGACAATGCTCACTCCTCGCGCTGGGCAGCGGCAGCCTTCCGCGGTCTGGGCGCGGGTTGCGGCGACGCGGGGGTCGGTAGCCGAAGAACTGCGCCGCGGGGCGCGACGCGCGAGCCCCCTTTGACCTCCCGTGACGCCGAGCGGGTCGGAAATCTCAGGTCCAGCATGGCTGGGTCATGTTTTAAGACCATGTGCCGCTGCCTCGCGCTCCTGACGATCTCGGGCGGGGTCTCGGGGCTGCGGGACGCGCGCGACGCGCGGGACGAGCGGCAAGCGGCCGTCTTCGAGACGTCGTCCTTCGAGCGGGCCGCCGAGCGCGCCGCGGTGCGCGACGCCCGGGACGAGCGGCAAGCGGCCGTCTTCGAGACGTCGTCCTTCGAGCGGGCCGCCGAGCGCGCCGCGGTGCGCGACGCCCGGGACGAGCGGCAAGCGGCCGTCTTCGAGACGTCGTCCTTCGAGCGGGCCGCCGAGCGCGCCGCGGTGCGCGACGCGCCGAAGAAGAGGCGGCTCCAGACCTCGTACAGCTTCGCGGACAAGAGCGAGCTCGAGACGGCGGTGGACGCGTGGATCGCGGACGCGGACGCGGCGACGACGACGTACGGCCACATCTCGACCTGGGACACGTCGGCCGTGACGGACATGTCGGAGCTGTTCGAATGGGATCGCTCCTTCAACCAGGACATCGGCGGCTGGGACACGTCGGCCGTGACGGACATGAGCCGCATGTTCTACAGCGCTGACGCCTTCAACCAGAACATCGGGGCCTGGGACACGTCGTCCGTCACGGACATGGGCTCCATGTTCGAAGGTGCTGACGCCTTCGACCAGGACATCGGCGCCTGGGACACGGCGTCCGTGACGGACGTGAGCTACATGTTCTACGATGCTGAGGCCTTCGACCAGGACATCGGCGCCTGGGACACGTCGGCCGTGACGGACATGCGCTGGATGTTCTCCTTCGCCGACGCCTTCGACCAGGACATCGGCGCCTGGGACACGTCGGCCGTGACGGACATGAGCGGCATGTTCTCCGCTGCTTTCGCCTTCAACCAGGACATCGGCGCCTGGGACACGTCGTCCGTGAGGAGGATGGGCAGCTACCACAGCGGCATGTTCACGTATGCGTACGCCTTCAACCAGGACATCGGCGCCTGGGACACGTCGTCCGTGACGGACATGAGCTACATGTTCATGGACGCTAGCTCCTTCAATCAAGACATCGGCGCCTGGGACACGTCGTCCGTGGCGGACATGAGCCGCATGTTCGGCGACGCTTACGCCTTCAACCGGGACATCGGCGCCTGGGACACGTCGACCGTGACGGACATGAGCCACATGTTTTTGTTTGCTTACGCCTTCGACCAGGACATCGGCGGCTGGGACACGTCCAAGGTGACGACCATGCACGAGACGTTCCGCGCTGCTCGCACCTTCAACCAGGACATCGGCGCCTGGGACACGTCGGCCGTGACGAACATGGGCTGGATGTTCGACGATGCTGTCGCCTTCAACCAGGACATTGGCGAGTGGGACACGTCGTCCGTGACGAGCATGTGGGCCATGTTCAGCGGGTCTAGCTCCTTCAACCAGGACATCGGCGGCTGGGACACGTCGTCCGTCACGGACATGCGCTTCATGTTCATTTACGCTTCCGCCTTCGACCAGGACCTCGGCTGGTGCATCTCGAGCAGTGTCTCGGCAACCGACTTCGCCACGTCTGCTGGCTGCACGGTCACCAAATGCGGCGTCACGTTCTCGTCGACCTGCCCGTACACCTTCGCGGACAAGAGCGAGCTCGAGACGGCGGTGGACGCGTGGATCGCGGATTCGAGCGCGGCGACGACGACGTACGGCCACATCTCGACGTGGGACACGTCGGCTGTGACGGACATGTCGGAGCTGTTTTGTGGTAATTCGTACTGCACGCATTCCAACACGAACGTGGCGTCCTTCAACGACGACATCAGCGGCTGGGACACGTCGTCCGTGACGAGCATGAGCTGGATGTTCGCGAACGCTCAAACCTTCGACCAGGACATCGGCGGCTGGGACACGTCGCCCGTGACGAGCATGAGCTACATGTTCTGGAGTGCTGACGCCTTCAACCAGGACATCGGCGCCTGGGACACGTCGTCCGTGACGAGCATGAACGCCATGTTCCACGGGGGGAGCGCTGCCGTCTTCAACCAGGACATCGGCGCCTGGGACACGTCGTCCGTGACTGACATGACCTGGATGTTCACTATGGCTCTCGCCTTTGATCAGGACATCGGCGCCTGGGACACGTCGTCCGTGACGGACATGAGCCACATGTTCTCCGGCGCTGATGTCTTTGACCAGGACATCGGCGGCTGGGACGTGTCGTCCGTGACGAACATGCACGACATGCTTAGCGCTGTAGCCTTCAACCAGGACATCGGCGCCTGGGACACGTCGGCCGTGACGGACATGGGCTACATGTTCTGGCATGCTTACGCCTTCGACCAGGACCTCGGCTGGTGCATCTCGAGCAGTGTCTTGGCTGGGCAGTTCGCCGTATCTGCTGGCTGCACGGTCACCGACTGCGGCGTCACATTCTCGTCGACCTGCAGAGAGCCCACGCCAAATCCCACGCCGAAACCCACCAAGAGCGAACTTAGGACCGCGGTCGACGCGTGGCTCGCGGACGCGGATGCCGCGACGCTGACGTACGGGCACATCTCGACGTGGGACACGTCGGCCGTGACGGACATGTCGGAGCTGTTCAGATTTACAAACTTCAACGCCGACATTGGCGCCTGGGACACGTCGTCCGTGACGACCATGAGCTGGATGTTCGAGGGTGCCAACAACTTCAACCAGGACATCGGTGCCTGGGACACGGCGTCCGTGAAGGACATGAACGGGATGTTCTCCTATACTCACGCCTTCAACCAGGACATCGGCGCCTGGGACACGTCGTCCGTAACGGACATGAGCTGGATGTTCGAAAATGCAGCCTTCGACCAGGACATCGGCGCATGGGACACGGCGTCCGTCGCGGACATGAGCGGGATGTTCTACAGAGCTTCCGTCTTCGATCAGGACCTTGGTTGGTGTGTCTCGAGCTCCGTCTCCGCTTCAGACTTCGCGACCTCGTCTGGCTGCGCCGTCGCCGATTGCGGCGTCAGCTTTTCGAACCAGTGCACGCACCGACCGACCCCAAAGCCTACGCCACTCACCCCGAGGCCCTCAACGCTTGAGCCCACGGCCTCCGTCCTGGTGATCACGAGCATTGGCACCGCGTCTACGTGCGTCCACGGCATCGAGTGCGAGCTCCTCTGGGTGTACCGCGGCCACGGCTGCGCGACCGTCGAAGTCACGGTGACCGACCCGGACGGGAACGAGGTCGGCTCGCAGACCATAGCCAATGACGGGCAGCAGATGCAGGTCGTCGCCGGCGACGCGGGTTCGAACGAATTCACGCTCACCCTAAAGTGCACGGACGACGGGTCTCTCGTGGATTCGATCGATTTTCAGGTGTCGTTTACTCCCGCGCCGACGGCCACGCCGACACCTAAACCGACTCCCGCTCCAACCACCGCGATTCCGTCTGCGACGCCGACGACGAGCGGGCCGACGACCTCCGCGCCGAGCGGCGCTCCGAGTGGCGCTCCGACCGCCGCCCCTTCGACCGCTCCGACGGCCTCGCCGTCCAGCTTGCCCAGCGCCGCGCCGACGCGGCCGCGGTGCCTACCCGGCAAATATAGCGATGACGGCTACGTGCCGCTCGATGGCGCGTGCAAGCCCTGCGCTGTGGGCAAATTCGCCAACGAGCCCAGGGCCACGACCTGCGAATTATGCCCGTACAATACCTATTCCAACGCGCCCGCCGCGGACGTCTGCACGGATTGCCCCGCCGGCAAGATCTCTGGACTCGGGCAGCGACTCTGCTCGAACTGCCTCCCCGGCGAACGCGAGGTCGTCGTCGGCGACGGTAACATCACCTGCGCGCCCTGCGAGAACGGCACGTTCAGTCCACTGGGGTTGTTTTGCGAGGTCTGCCAGCCCGGCTATTTCACGGCCGATTCCATCGAATGCCGCCCCTGCCCCGCGGGCGAATTCTCGGACAAGCCCTTCAGCACGGCCTGCGAAGCGTGCGCGCCGGGCCGTCGACAGCCCGCGGCCGGGCAAATGCAGTGCGAGCGCTGCCCGGCGTCGACGTATCAGCCGCAGAGCGGCCAGCTTGGCTGCGACCGCTGCTCGTCCTTCCAGCTCGGGCGCACGTCCCGTCAGGGCTCGACGACCTGCGACTTCTGCGAAGAGGGCCTCTACCTCGCGGACGACGACACCGCGGTCGACGGCTCGAGGTGCGTCTCCTGCCCCGATCACGCGACCTGCGCCGAGGGAACCACCATCGAAACGATCGCGGTGCACGACGGCTGCTGGCGGACGACGCCCGGCTCGTCGAAGGTCAGGAAGTGCTTCCGCGAGGACGCCTGCGTCGGCGGAGCGGGAAACGCTTCGCGATGCGCGGACGGCTACTACAAGACGCTATGCGCAGCCTGCGAGCGCGATTTTTACCGCGACATGTCCACTGGCCAGTGCCACGCCTGCGACGCCGCGGCAGCAAGGAGGTTCCGCCACTTTTTCGGATTTCACGTGTTGCTCCTCGTCCTCTTCCTCACGTCGCCGTTCCTGGTGATGCACGCGGTACGCAAGGCAGTCCGCAGAGCCGCCTCGAGGCAGCTGCCAGCGGCTTCGTCGCCGAAGAGCCCGAGCAAAGTCAGCAAGATCGCTCCGCTCTACACGGACCTGGACGACGTCGCCGCGGCCGAGCCCGATCCCGAGCCCGAGCCGGCGCCGGGCGAGTACGATAGCGACGACCACACGACGATGACCCTGCCCCCCGACGGCGCTGTCACCGACGCCTTCGAGCACGAGGCGCCCGGCGGGGGCGCGTTCTGCGAGCACGCGACGATGACCCTGCCCCCCGACGGCGCCGTCACCGGCGCCTTCGAGCACGAGGCGCCCGGCGGGGGCGCGTTCCACGAGCACGCGACGATGACCGCGCCCCCTGACGGCGCCGTCGCCGGCGCCTTCGAGCACGAGGCGCCCGGCGAGTACGATAGCGACGACCACACGACGATGACCCTGCCCCCCGACGGCGCTGTCACCGGCGCCTTCGAGCACGAGGCGCCCGGCGGGGGCGCGTTCTGCGAGCACGCGACGATGACCGCGCCCCCCGACGGCGCCGTCACCGGCGCCTTCGAGCACGAGGCGCCCGGCGAGTACGATAGCGACGATCACACGACGATGACCCTTCCGCCCGACGGCGCCGTCACCGGCGCCTTCGAGCACGAGGCGCCCGGCGGGGGCGCGTTCTACGACGACGACGGCGACGGCGCGGCGGCCGAGGCGCCCCTTCCGGGGACCGAGCGCGCGACGACGCCTCGGGATGTCCACGCGCCCCAAGCCGAACCCACGTTGGCGGAGCTGAATCGCCGCGTCGGCCCCTACGACTCGGAGGAGGAGCCGCCGCCCGTGGGACCGCCGAAGACGCCGCGGGCGAGGCCCGCCGTCGCCTGCGTGCGATCCGTCCCGGAGAGCGTCGGCGACGAGGCCATCGTCGAGGCCGCGTCCGTCGCGACGGGGTCGACCTTCCAGCAGATCCGCCGCACGAAGCGCGACGCCTTCGTCTATCTCGTCGTCGCGGGCGACGACCTCGCGGACGCGTTCCGCATCGGCGACGCGACGTACGCGGTCACCTGGAGCCTCGAGGGCGAGGCGAGCTCCGCGGCGGACCGCGCGGACCGCATCCTGGAGCCGGTGCGAGAGAGTCTCGAGGCGTCTATCGCCGACGCGCTCGAGAAGTCGTGGGGCATGGACCGCTTCTTCGAGCGGTTCGTCGCCGCCCTCGAGCTCAAGCTCGCCGACGTGCCGGACTTGGCCGATCTGCGGCTGGTCTTCGAGATCCTCGACGGCATGCCGACGCTCGCGTCTCTGAGGCTCGATCTCGTCCTCGACGCCGTTCGTTCCGCGTTCCCGAGCCTCGAGCCGCCGCAGCTCGACGGGCTCCTCGAGGTCCTCCGCGAGGTCCTGCCGAATCTCCCGGAGATCGTCGACCTCGACGCGCTCCTCGCCGCCGTCCGCGCGGCTTTCCCGTCTCTGAAGCCGCCGCGCTTGCTGGACCTGCTCACCATCCTCGACGTCAAATACCCCTCGTTTGAGCGCTTCGACTCCGACGCCATCGTCTCTGCCATCGAGGAGGCGATCATGGCCAAAGTCAAGATCCTCGTCGTTTTCCTCCAGACGATGTCGTACCTCCCAGACATCTACTATCACGTGTACTGGCCCGATCAGCTGACGCGAGTCCTTAGCCTGTTCAATCCGCTGAACCTCGACCTCTTCTCGTTGATCCACCTGGAATGTATGGTCAAGAAGCTTTCGTTTTACGACCGGCTGTTGGCCGTGACGATCGGACCAGTCCTCGCGTCGGCGGCTCTCGGAACCGTCGCCGTGGTTTCGAAGACCAGGTCTGCCAAGTGCATAGACCTCTTCCTCAAACTTTGTTTCTTCGTCTTCAGCTCCACGTCGACGTCGATATTCCAGGCGTTCGCCTGCGACGACTCCTTCGACGACGGGCGCAGCTTGCTCGCGTGCGACTACTCGATTTCCTGCAAGACGTCCAAATTTAGGGCCTTCAGTGCCTACGCGATCATGTGCGTCTTCGTCTACCCCATCGGTATCGTGGCTCTGTTCACGACGCTGGTGGTCGCGCGCCGCCGCGCGATCGACCCCCCGCTCGGCGACGACGGCGCGCGGCGCGTCCGCCTCGAAGAGACAGAGACCGTCGAGCGGTGCGGCCGCGCGTCCCTCGCGGAGCAGAGCAAGAACGCGCAGCGCCGCGCGGGCGACGACTCCACGCTGAAGAGCATCGGCTTCCTCTGGATGCACTACCTGCCGATGTTCTGGTGGTTCGAAATAACGGAGAGCGTCCGCCGCCTCCTCGTCACGGCCGTCGCGGTGACCGTCCAGCCCGGCTCCTCGACGCAGCTCGCCTACGGCCTCTTGACCGCGGTCCTATCGCTCGCGCTCTATTCGATCGCTCGGCCCTTTTCGAACCACCTCGACAACGCTCTCGCGATCGTCGCTTCCATGGTGCTCGTGCTCGCCACGTTTTCCGGCCTCTTGATCTCGGCCGAGGTGACCAAGGACGAGAGCTGGTCCGTGGTCGGAGTCGGCGCGGTCCTCGCGGGCCTCACGGTCGCGGTTGTCGTCCTGAGCGTCGCCCTGGTGCTCCTTCAGGCCAAGGCTTTACTCCAGAAGCTCGTCGCCACGAAGGAGCGCTACTGCGCGCCGTCCTGAAATCCACAGCGTCAAATTACGGCCGTAAAAACGAAAGCGCAGCGACCAACCCCCACTCGAGATCCCCCCAAAAGATAAGTCTAATGCCACCCGCGCCGGGGGCGCTCTTACGAAAAGAACGCGGACCGTCGCGCGGGTCGGGTCGGGGGAGGGGGGCGTACAAAAAGGGGACCTACGCGTCCGCGGTGGCGACGGCGTAGAGCTGGGAGCCCGTGCAGACCGAGCCCTCGTTCTCGCAGAACTTGCCCGAGCCGACGGAGTTGCGCGCGAGCACGCGGACGTAGTAGCCGCGCTCCTCCGTGAGGCCCGAGATCGTGATCGACGTCGACGTCGTCGTGATGGAGCCGCCGTCCGTGCCGTCGAAGCCGTCCTTCTCGTTCCACTCGACCTCGTACTCGATGATCGCGGAGCCGCCCGTCGACTCGGGCAGCGAGCTGCCGAGCGCCGTCGGGCACTCGGCCGGCGACGCGTCGAAGGCCGAGCAGGGCACGCCGTGGTGCGGCACGCGCGGGTAGAGCCACTCGACGTCGACCTCGCCGGCGGACGTGCCCGCGGCGACGGAGATGGACCGCGGGATGCCCGCGACCTGGAGCGCGGGCGCCGCGGACATGGTCGCGGACGCGGTGCCGTAGCCCGCCGCGTTGATGGGCAGGACCCGCACGTAGTACGTCGTACTCGTCGTGAGCTCGTCGATGGTGTAGGACATGGCCACGGACGCGTCGACGTCGACGGTGCCCTTGTGGGGCGACGCGGAGAGCGAGTTGAAGCTCGACGACGTGTCCCACTCGACGCGGTACGACGACACGTCGTCGCCGCCGTCGTCGGCGGGGTACGCGTAGCCGATCGTCAGCATGGAGTCGGACGTGATGCCGAGCTCGACGTCGCTGGGCGCGCCGCTCTCCTCGTAGGGCGCGGCGCTCGACGGCGCCGTCGACTGGGGCGTGCCGTAGCCCTGGCTGTTGCCCGCGGAGACGCGGACGTAGTACTCCTGGCCCTTGGTCAGGGACGAGATGGTCTTGTAGAAGGGCGAGCCGCCGTCGAGGTAGCTCACGGTGACGCTCTCCGTCGACGCAAAGGCCGCGTCCGTCGCGTACTCGACGAGGTAGGACGTGATCTCGTCGCCGCCGTCCCACGTCGGGCTGCTGAACTGGACGCGGAGCTGCGTCGCCGACACCGTCGACAAGACGACGGACGTCGGCGCGCCGGGCGTCGTCATGGGCTTCATGGCCGAGTCCGTCGCCTGGGGCAGCGAGTAGCCGACGCTGTTGATCGCCGTGACGCGCGTGTAGTAGAGCAGGCCGTTCTGGAGGCCGCTGCCGTCGGACGGCACGACGTGGGACACGCCCGTGCAGTCCGAGTAGGTCTCGCCGGCCTGCCACTGCGTGAGCGTGACCGACGCGCCGGCGCCGCCGATCGTGCCGTTGTAGTCCTCGAGCGAGTTCGTCGACAGCGAGAGCGCGAAGTCGTTCGTCGACGACGCGGGCGAGTCGTCGAGGAACGTGACGAACCAGGAGAAGCCGTTCGTGTCGTCGGGGCCGTAGCGGCTCACGTTGACGCCGGCGTCGATGAGCTCGTCGAGCGCCTCGAGCTTCGACTCCACGGAGCCGGAGAAGTCGAGGCGGCCGCCGCTCGAGCAGTAGCCCGTCTCCTCCTCGCAGAAGACCTCGGACGTCGCGGACGTGCCGCGGCCGCCGTGGACGCGCGTGACCTTGGCGGCCGTCTTCGACGTGCCCAGGAAGATGCGCGCCTCGTCCGTGGCGGGGTTCGTGAGGTTGAACGTCGTGCCCGACGGGTCGAGCAGCGACACGCGGTAGACCTCGCCCTCGTGGCGCTGGCCCTCGACCTGGATGAGGTCGTTGTCGAAGAGGATGCCCGCGAGGGAGCCCGACGCGACGACGACGGAGGAGTCGTTGGTCAGCTGGAACGTCCGCGCGGACACGGCGCCGGACGAGACGAGGGTCTCGTAGACGCCCGTCTCGTCGAAGGCGCTGCCGACGGCGTCGTAGGGGATCGGGTCCGTCGTGTAGGACTGGCCGGACACGGAGAGCGTGAGCTCGAAGGTGCCGTCGACGATGGGGTTCGTCGCGCCCGTGCCCGCGGTCTCGACCTTCCAGACCGTCCGCTTGTTCGCCGTCGGGCAGTAAAAGTCCTCGCGGATGGGGTCGTCGAAGGTGTCCGTCGGGTCGAGCTCGACGCGGTAGTGCGAGATCTCCGCGCCGCCGTCGCTGAGGGGCGCGTCGAAGGACACCGTGAGCGAGTCCGAGTCGCCGTCGTTGACGCCGACGGTGACGTTCGACGGCGAGTCGGGGATCTGCTGGGGCACGAGGTTCGACGCCGACGTGAGCACGGGGCCCGCGCCGTAGGCGTTGACCGCCGAGACGCGAACGTAGTACTCGATGCCCGACTCGAGGCCGTTGATCGTGTAGCTGAGCTGGTCCGCGTCGACGACGGCGGAGCCGTAGCGCGCGGGCGCCTCGCCGACGACCGTCGCGTCCTCCTTGAGGCCCGTGATGTCGTCGACGGCGTTGTCCGCGCCCGTGATGGAGAACGAGTAGGACCCGCCGGAGACGGCGCTGTAGAGGTAGGCGACGTCCTTGAAGAGCGCGGGCTGGTCGCCGACGTCCGTCGAGAACGTGACGCGGTACTCCATGCCGGCCTCCGTCGCCGACGGCGCGTAGGCGGACGCCGAGACCTCGACCTGGCCCACGGTGGGCAGGAGCTCGAGGGCCTCGGCGACCTGCGCGGCCGTCGCCGTCGCGGGGATGTAGTTCGAGTACGCGCTGCCGTCGAAGCCGAGGCGGAAGAAGCCCTTGACGGGCGTCGTCGTGTCGTTGACGGCCATCTGCGCGTCGGTCATGTCGCCGTAGATCGTGATGATCTGGACCTCGGCGTTGCCGAGGGACCGCGCGCCCGCGACGAGCTCGGAGACGTCGACCTCGAGCGACTCGGACACGGAGCTCTCGGCGACGTTGATGGGCACCAGGTCGCCCTCGTTGAGGTCGCCGTCGGCGCAGTCGGAGAAGACGATGGTCCAGGCGTAGCCGTGGTAGTTGTTCGTCGCCGTGCGCTGGACGTCGAGGGGGCCCGCGACGTACTCGGAGTCGTAGGGCGCCTCGGCCGTGTGGCCGAGGTTCATGAGCGACGACCGGATCAGCGAGCTCGCGGCGTCGTAGCCGACCTTGGACGTCGTGACGCCGTAGGTCGTCGCGTCGCGGCCGTTGCTGAACTGCATGACGAAGCCCGCGGTGCTCGAGGGCGTCGTGTCCTGGTCCCAGGTCGCGCGGATGAGCTGCTCCTCGCACGTCGCCTCGGCCGTGTACCACTCGACGAGGTAGGAGACGATGGGCGAGCCGTTGTCGCCCTCCGACAGGCTCGAGTTCGTCGCGTTGCCCGGGCCGAGCCACGAGACGTCCAAGTCCGTGATCGGCGCGCCCGACTGCTCGTCGGCCGTCGACACTTCCAGGGTCGTGCAGCGGTCCGGCGCGGCCGCGGGGGCCGTCGGGTTCGACGCCGTCGCCCAGGCGCTGGTGCCGACGGTGTTGACGGCGGCGACGCGCACGTAGTAGAGCGTGCCCGCGCTCAGGCCCGTCACGTAGACCATCGACGGCCCGTCCTCGTAGAGAGCCGCGGCCTCGACCTCGGACGCCGAGACGTTGAAGACCTTGGGGCTCGAGAACGTGCCGGAGGTGTCGTACTCGATGAGGTAGTGGCTGAGGTTCGTGCCGCCGTCGGACAGCGGCCGCTCGAATTCGAGCTGGAGCTTGTCCTTGCCCGCGAGGTGCAGCGTCGCCGACGACGGCGCGAGCGGCGTCTGCTCGGCCGTCGTCGCGAAGAGGATCTCGGACCACGTCGGCACGTCGTCCTCGTCGAGGGGGTCGTAGAGCTCGTTGCGCGCGGCGATGCGGAAGTAGTAGGTCGTGTTGATCGTGAGACCGGACACGACGTAGTCGTAGGGCGGCGTGCCGGAGATGGTCGCGCCCTCCGCGAGGCAGTCGCCGTAGCCGGCCGTGTCGCACGTCGCGGCGTCCGTGTCCGCGTCCGCGAAGGAGACGGCGTCGTCCCACTGGATGGAGTAGCCGACGATGGTGCCGGACACCGTCGCCGGCGGGTACCAGAAGACCTGGATCGTGTCGCCGGACAGGACCTCGAGGCTGAAGCTCGACGGCGCGTCGGGCGCGCGCTGCGGCGTCGACGAGCCGACGGCGGACCAGGGGCCCGGGCCGAGGTC